TTGCGCCACTTGCAATACCACCAGGACATCAATCTGAGAGTCGAAGATTAGAGGTGTTAGCGTACAAGAGAGTAACAAACACGTAAAAAGGAGGAAAGATAAGGACGATAGATGCTGATTTTAAAAAAAAGCTGGAACAAAACGCGCCAGAGCACCCGTCAACCACTCAAAAGGCAGACAGTGAGAGCAGACATGAACAAAAAATGATATAAAAAATCAAAAGAAAGCGTGTAAAATATATACATTGTCGTGTTTACACAATTGAACACACACACACACACACACACACACACACACACACACACACACACACACAAACACACGCACACATATTATACACAGAGGGGCTCTCGTGGTAAAGGTACGGTGTTCGCCTTTCATGCAATAGGCCCTGTGTTCGTAACCTGAGAGCGACGGAAAATTTTCACTCTATGATTATTTTCTCACTTTCACCCCCTTTCCTGCTCTCTAATCATATTCTTTCAACTGCTGTCTTCTCCACTTTCGTCCCCCCCCCCCCCCCCCCTCCTCTGGGTTCCAGACTTCTGCTACTCTTGGTTCCTTCTTACTGCTGTCTTTCAGCCACACCCAAGATCTTAGAGTAGTTAGATCTAACCCCCTAGCCTTCTCGGATACCTGTTAAGGGGGGTGGGTTTGGGGGGGGGGGGGGGGTGCTACACATCCAAAGTCCCGCTTCGGCTCAAAATTATGGAATTTGAGTTGTAGGCATTTTAGCTTCCTCAGCCTCTCCTACAACTATTCCATTGCATAAGAACCCAAAATAACGGTTTTTCCTCATACTGGGCATGTTTGTCACCACCATTTCCTCATAAAGTCAATATCTTATTTTTCTTTATCTGCCGTTTTCTCTAAACGCGACTTTTCTCTATACTTTTTGAATAACTCAACCATTTTTCATTCAATCTTCATGAAATTTTCACAGAATGAAGAGAAAATGTAATACTAAAAATGTTTAAGCTTAATTTTTTTATATACGGAATGGATTTTTGGTGGTGGTGTCTGGAGTGTGGATTTTCACGGATTTTTTGCCAAACTTGAATGCAGCCTCAGGAAAAAATTCATAAAAATTTTTCTAATTCGTTTAGGAAAAAAACAAACAGGCAAATTTTAGATCTAGATCTAGATCTAGTGTTTGTTAACACGCATGCAAAAAAAAAACTATGAATTTCCATGAGCAATAAGTGCGTATTCATTACGTAAGACATGATTTTAAGACTCCTATCTATGCTTGTTATATGTGTGAAATTTGGTAAAATTTGGACCAGTAATAAACGAGATAGTCTTCAGGTGGAGCCCTTAAAAATTCTTGTGAGCAAGTAACGCAATTTAAAAAACCCTTGGTGGTTCTAAAAACGATAGGAGTCTAGGCTTCCCCCGCTACCCGAGGAAAATTCTAAATTAATTTTTACCAAACTGAAAATTCTAGATATGTTCCGCTCTCATATATGACCTTATGTGTTTGTGAGCGCCGTGACACATTTACCAAAACAAGCAAACAAACAAGCAAAACAAATAAACAAACACCAAAAATCCCAACAACAACAAATAAAGACAAAAAGTGACCTGTATATTGTTTTGTTTACACGCTTTTAACGCCAGGATAGTACATAAAGGTATCCTAACATTGCAGTCATTTAACCCCTTATAATTTTCGAGACGCCCTCCATAACCATCAAGTCGTGGGTGGTTGGCGGGTGCTCTGGTGTGGTTTGCTCATCAAACATCTATCATCCTTATCTCTCCTCCTTTTTTATTTTCGTTTTCCCACTTGTAGCACCTCTAATCTTAGGCTCCTATATGACTTTATTGTGTTGCGAGTGTTGTAAAACTCTTACAATGCTTTTTTTTTAAACCTTAAGTTTCAGCGGTCTTGCCCTTGGTCACAGTATTAGTGTAGAATGCTGTGCCCTAGGTCTATTTAAGAATACTTTCAGTAAGTTCTGAAGACTGAAGAGGTATATTCTTATAATCCCCCTCGATCAGCAGTGTTTGATTTTATGGATTCGAGTTACTGATCGTGCCTTCTGGAGATAAGAATTGTGTAAAACGTACAGTAGACCTACAAGTAGATATATTTAAAGCTTATAATTTGTTCATCATCTTCTCATAAAGTTTAAGAAAAATATCCATCATGTTCAGTTCACAGACGAGTTCCGGTTTCATTCATTGAGGACGCGCACTCTGGTAATTTGACAACGCTTGCGGATGCTCTGGTGTGAAAAAGAATCGTAATTTCATTTGTTCTTTTCAAACAAAATTTCCATTGCTTTTATGGCAAGTAAAAACATACATAGATCTAGGCCTACAGAGAAATATGCTAGATAATATTCGTGTTTTTCTGCAGATGTCAATTCCTGGGATTTTCCATTACAGGGATATAACCCATATTATTATTAAATAAAACGTCTTGGCCTACAGATGAACGTAAATTGTTTAGGTAGCGTTAGAGCTACCTCCCTTGAAATTATTATCTCTCTCTCTTTTCACCCGTTGCCGTTGGGCTGTTGCCTCGGCCTCGGCTATCCTAAATCGATCTTTAAAAAAAAAGCCTTGGCTGTTGTCCTTTCCTGATCAGAGATTGTTTCTGCGATCAGTGATAGATCTATATATATATAGTGCCAGCGATTGTCCCATCGGTAGTCTTACAAAATAGCACTTTTAAGAGGAGAGCCGCTGCATGACCCTATCTGCAACTTCTGCGAGGGACATAACATGAAAGGATGTAAGATAATATCTCAGGAGAACATTTGTTTAATGTTGATGCTCCAACCCCCCAACACACACACTCACATACACGCGCGCGTGCTAACCCCTATATTTCCCTATTTTTCTTCTCTACACAAACATAGCCTAGGCCTACTAACAATACAAACATAGGCACAGCCAGACGCGCCCGGGCATACACACATACACACACACACACACACACACACACACACACACACACACACACACACACACACACACACACACACACACACACAACACGGATAGGGCCTATATGAGCCCGAGCGCAGACTGAAATTATGACTGAAAGTTTATTACCGGGTATTTTACTTTTTCTGATTATTCTGATTAATTTCTTTTCTTTTGAGATCAATTATATGTAGGATTATTTGAATGACTATTCTCAGCATTCATACGTTCTCAAATTTAACACATTATACAAGGCAATATATGCTACTGAGACTGTATACATGTACCTGCTCCTACAGAGCCAGTCCTTTTTCGAAAGATAATCAACTATAACTATATTGCATTTAGACTGTTCGATCGGTCTTTCAAACTCGGCAAAACTGTTATTAACAATAAAAACTACGATACAGTTAACAATTATAATTACTACACCCTAGATTCAATAATAATAATTATTATTATATAATAATAATGTATGCACTTTGTTATTACGTAGAGGCTAATAATAATGTGTGAAAGAGCAAGGGAAAACACACAAGATCGGATTTTCCTCAGTTATCTCCCGATAATACTTCCTGTTTATATTCAGAATGAGAATCAAAATGGCTGTCAGTTGCTAATTTTACCTCCATGATAGACTCAATTCTTACTTGCATGCGAACTTCAGGCCAGCAATAAGAACTCTTTTCGAATGATGTGACCACTTATGACTCCTGAAGTGATTCTTTGTTTGCTTGAATGAGTGAAATGTCGGGATCGGACTCCTTTCAGTGCTTCAGAAGCCAGGTCGACCTCTTCTTGAAGGGTGACAATCTATCACGCAAATTTCATGACTTATTCGAGTACAAGGATGCTGAATCAGTCAAGTATGGCGGACTATTTAGATCTAGAATCTAGTTCTTGTTTGCTCTTTAGATCGTAAACAGAACCATAGAACACTCAGTCCAATTCGTTAGTTACTGTGTTTTGCATCCCTGCTTTTTTTCCTGAGTTGTAGCACTCTCTCTCAGTAGTCCCACTTTGTTGGTCTGACTGCTACACTGCTGCTGGTGTGTACTGTAATCAATGCAAAAAAGTGATCTCCAAATATGCAAACATTCATTTTCCCTTACTTACACTTTTGCAGCAGTAGGCAGTACAACTTAGTGAAAGATGCTATTTCAGCTCAACATTGTTGCTCACAGTTGTTTCCGCCTAAGATCCCTCCGCTTACAATCTTGGTTCGCTTTTTAATAAGACTAAGATCCCGCTGTTTTAACCCTCGTCCTGCGGGGGCCGGGTTTATGTCGCCCGATAAGCCTGTTTCGGCACCTTGCCTGCGTTCTGGTCCCGAGTCAGTCTAGCATCATCTCGCGTGAAATTCGGGTCCCCCGTCGGATCCCCATTCACGCAGGTCAAGTGTGTGTGCGTCAGTCTGCTCGAGTTTGTGTGCGTTTGTGGCCTTGTTCTAGAACAGCCTGCGTTGGTTCATAATCGAGGCATACGTCTCATTCAAAACACGCCAAGTTGGTGAGCTCTAGATGTTCGTCCAATGAAATTATTGAAGAAATTGACCCACTTAAACATGAGGAGCTCGAAAGGAATAGTATCTCAGGAAACAAGACTTCCATTTTTCTAAACAAAACATTTCAAATGAGCTTGATTTTGTATGAGAAATGATACTAATGATAAAAAATAAGCTTGTTTGATAGTTTTGAATACCATAGGTACAAAGAACAATTTGAGTGCAGAACATTCGGAAATTGACCTATTGTCCCCTTTGGAACCTCAGGTCATTCATCATTTATAACAACAATCTAAGAGCGTCTAGAAAGTTTATTCGAATGGGCGTAACTAATCATAATGTTATGAAAGATAAAGCGTTATTTTCATCATCGATTAACACTCTCCCTCGGTATTCATGGCGAAAACACACGTTTCCCGGCACAAGCGCTGCACACTGAGTGACCCCGGCGGCGTGCCCGTAACGTCCGATGTAATCGGTCTTGTGGATAAAATTCGCATCTCAGCACAGATGCAGGACAAGGGTTAAAAGCATAGCTGCCACTTTCCCGCTAAATAGCGGAAACTCCGCTACATCTAGCGTTTCCCTCAACTTTCCTCCTTCCTCCGCTGGACCGCTCTTGGTCGCAAATTTCATACTTTTTTTTTTTTTCCATGCGGAAAACACCGAACCGGGAGAGAGACGAAAACGCGGTTCGTGCATGTCCGTCGTAGCTTTCTACTTCCGTTCTTCTAGGCCCAGCGCTAGTTTCACATTGTTTATTGTTGTGGAGCAACACAGTGTCGATCGGGCATCGGGACGTTAGCGCGCCGAGTTGTCATGGAAATTGGCGGAAATTCGAGAGAAATTGATTCAGAATGCAAAAATAAAAGGAACTGGAATGAGAAAGAAGCAGCCAGTGTGCAACTTGAAAAGTTCATTAGAAAATTGAACTAGATCTAGATCTAGCCGGTTTTTTGCGAAAGAAATCGCGGCCCGCGGCACTCCTGTGCCTGTGCAATTGCGGTCCGGTTTGTTTACATGACGGCTATTGTGGCTGCTGCGGAAGTGAATCTAGATCTAGATCTAGAAAATCTATTTCTAGATATAGATCTACACATATTTAGATATATCTAGATCTAGATTAGATAGCCTAGGCTATAATTTTAATTCAGTTTATCTCTAAATAAGAAACACACTACAGGGGCACTCTAAGTGCAAACGGGACCGCAATTGTACAGGAGTGCCTGTGTATCCTTGATCCGATACTGCTCTACGTCTATGTATGTACACATTTAAAGTGAAAGAAATCTTTTTTTATGAGACACCAGCTGGTAAAAAACACTAGATTTTTAGTCACCAAGTCCAAACTGTGTCAAATTGACTCGAATGCTTGTTAGTCAACTTACTGCCTTTATGTTGTTTTTTTGTTGTTGTTTTTTTTTTCAAATACATTTTAATTCAGTTGCCTATGGTTAACAATATGACAGCTTTCCCTTCCAAAACCGTTGGCTAGATTTTCCAGTATATATATTGCCTCTGGATCTCACTGGTTTCGGAGAGCGCGCGTACGCCTTCGCGTGAATTTCCTCCTTTTTATAAATTTCTGAGTGGCAGCTATGTAAAAGACAGAATTTTTACTAGAAAAGTCACCCCTAATACGGGATGCTCACTACAGCTGGATCGGGCTGATCGCCTGAAATTGAAAACACATTTGTTTTTTAGGCGACCGAGTCGGGCGATCGGCTGACCCCATCCGTAGTTTGCACTCCGTAAGATCCCGCTCTAATTCACTGTGAAGGTTTACATCGGCTAAAATCCTGCATTTCAGATCATAATTTGCGGAACAAAAACTCTGGCGGGCACTACCAATCAACCAAGAGTGAAAAGTTGAGAGCAATAAACTGTCCGTCGCGTCAAAGATCTGCCACTCTTGTGAATGTGATCCCAAGCGTTGTAAAACTTGATGAAGTGATACAATGTTTGACCCAGACGAGATCACACTGGGGTGTGAACTGACCTGTTTGTTTCCCCAAACATCGCACTCTCATTTTAGCTCTCCACTAAACTTACATCACTCCGCTCCAGGCGGGATCACATCGAACTTAGAGCTCTTCCCTGACCATTGCAGCAGTTTTCACTACTCCCGAATTTGCGGGACAGAGTTTTAATTGGAGGCCACAACGTAGTGGTGCGTTACGACAAAGGCGGGGGAGGGGGGAACCTCGGTCAGATATGGAAATCTATAATTTTCGACAGGTAAAAGGGAGAGGCAACTGGATAAGCGTGGATCTTAAGACTCATGATAGGATAATAAGTGAAAATGGCATGCCTCATGCCACTATGCACTGTGATAGATCATCAAGGTCACTCTTTGCTCGCCATATTCATAACACCACCCAGGGCTCACGTCATTTCTTTTTAGAGTGGAGGGAGACCATTTTACTGATTGTGAGCCTTAACATGGGTCCCCATAAATTCTTCCCTGGGTTCGTCGGTTAAGATCCCGGTTCGCCTAGAAGATCCCGCATTTCCTTGCTCCCGAGCACTGGAATCTTAGGCGGAGACTAAGTACTGTGTATTGCAATATATTCCTTGGTCTTAGTGTACTTTTTTTTGCTCATTTGAATTAGTTTTTAAAATATTTTTTAATGTCCATTAACTTTACTTTAAAAACTTCTCCTTGATCTATAAAAATCTTGTTCATTTTTTATAGGCCTAGTAAGTTTCTGCCTAAGATCCCCCACTTATGATCCCGGTTGGCTGAAGATCCAGGTGTTTTAAGAAAGCTGAATTTTTACTATAGAAATACATAAATGTCCCCCCCCTCTAAGGTCCTGCTCTGATTCACTCTGAAGGTCTACATTCGGTTAAGATCCCGCATTTCAGATCCTAATTTGCGGAATAACTACCTGGGCGGGCACAGCCTATCAACCAAGAGTGAAAAGTTGAGACTGCCCGTCTCGTCAAAAATCAGCAGTAGTTGTCGCTACTCCCGAATTTGCGAGACAGACTGAATTTTGATGTGTGGTCACAATGTGGTGGTGTGTAACGACTAAGACGGGAGATAGAAATTATGGACAGCTAAAAGGGAGCCTGGGGTAGATCTTGAGACTCATGATAGGAAGTGACTCATGCTACCATGATTGGTCATCAAGGTTGACCACTCTTTGCTCGCCAATGGGCCTCTATGTCATAAACCCATCCAGTTCATTTTAAAGTGGAGGGAGACCATTTTACTTGTTGTGGGTCACCATAGATTCATCCCTGGGTCCGTCGGCTAAGATCCCGCTTATCCATTGCTCCCGAGCACCGGTATCTTAGGTGGATACTACTATAGTATTTTTTACAAGAATAATTAATTCAAGAAAACATAATTTTCTTGTCTAGATTTGGTCATGATTTATAATATCTAAGAATTAAGAATAATGAATTTGATTTTACTCTGTTCAGCTTTGTACTAAAATCGAACAAAATAATTGACTCAAGATGAAGAAGTTTTTTTTATATATAATATATATTATATGGCATACGTATAAAAGGAAGAATAATGTTTTTGAATTCCTTTACGTTGTAGTATTTTTTTATATATAATATAATATATTAATAGTAGACAGGAACAATTTTTTAGATGATAATAATTGTACCCCTTTTCTTTAAATACTGTAGGGCCTACTAACTGGTTGTTGTGTGAGTTAGGCTATGGTGGTTAATTTATATTTTTTGTAATCTCTAAATGACTATCTAATCAGTGATTTATCAAGTATTCATATAAAGTAAGTAGTATGTCTGAAAGTCAGATTGGAGGATGAACACCTTTGAAATTGAAAGTATGCTGTACTGCTCCCTGCTGGGGAATAGGCCTACAATTGTATTAGACTGAAATTATGAATAGCGTCTTTTGTAATATAATTCTCGTCATATGCACATGATCTATCTAATACCAGATTCAAGCACTGCCTAATGAAGACATTATTTATTACTGAGTAAACAAACTATCAAATAAAACACTTTCTTCAATCAACAGTTTTGGAGACCTTGGGCAAAAATGTATAGAGAGTGTATTTGATGTATTTAAGCATATTTAAGCACAGTGCTGTGTGCAGTATCGATCTTGGAATTGGTGTGATGGGTGTAACTGTATGATTGATCTATCATGTATGAAGTATGTGAAGTCTTCAGGCAGGTTCAGTTGCTAAAGAACCAAATATCAAGAATTGTGGAGAAATTTCATTTATGCACACTTTCTGTTTACTTGCTATTTTTAAAAAATGCAACATTATATTATAATGTGCTGCTTGAGTGCAGAAACAGATTGTCTGCCACCTTTTTCACATGTTCAGGAAATAAACAAACATTTAATTTTTTTTTTGGCCAAAGCAAGACCATGAAATTTGCAAATATTTGCCTCTCTATACAGAGTAGTAAATAAAATTTTAATTTTTCCTTTCAGGAAAAAGCTTGAGAAGAAAAAGACAAAGAAAAAGAAAGTGAAGACCAAAGACAAGAAGCAAAAGGTTTGTTATTAATTTTTGTATTTCAACCGTTGCATAATTTTTTTTTCAGTATCAAAAGGGACGATATTTCCAAAGTCAAGACCTTGCTTGTTCTCTTCTTGTTTAGATAACTACTGGGGTTCTGTTGCTATTGTTGCTTCCAGACATTTGCTATCTGATTTCTGTTTCCTGACAAAAAGGGGATTGCCAAACCTTTTTTGCAGTGTATTTTTTACTTTTTGAAAGCCTGCCTGTGACAGCTTTTACTTTTTAAGCTATTTATATATATATATATATATATATATATATATATATATATATATATATATATATATATATATATATATATATATAAAGTGAGGCGTGCTGACAAAATGAGTTACTTCTCGCAGTCCACAAATGGAGATTTTGACAAAAAATTGACACTAGGGTCAAATTTGTAGATTTTCTATTGGTGCCATATTCTTTAGGTATAACATACCTTTTATTTCATACTTATAAATTGTAAAAACTTCACCTATAAGTGTGATGTATCTATTTCCTTAAGGCCTGAATCCGAGAAGTAACTCATTTTGTCAGCACGCTTCACATATATTTATATATATCTATATATATATATATATATATATATATATATATATATATATATATATATATATATCATGTGATCAAACAGTAATAATGGTTTAAGTAAGCATTTCTATTTTTCAAACTAGTTTGCTGATGAATGGACCTCGTATGGTTTTCGTCATTGTACAGTTTATGGGTTAAAAAAAAAAAAAGTTAATTGCAGATTTAAATCCTTTGATGTATGACTTAAATTAACTCTGGTTATACGAATTTGCATGGGGCGCTTTGTTTTATCTGTGACTTACTTTTGCATTAGAGCATGCTCCCTGAGGTCAGCTCGTGGTCACAGTGGGGAATATGTATGGCAAGTTGATGACACAATGTCAGTTATGAGAACGAAGCTCTGTTTCTTCACACCAGATCCAAAGTTATTAGAAATAACCCTTCTGGAACATTCGCAAAATTGTTGTTCTGCATTGCAGTGAGCTAAACATGCAAAAATAACTGTTCTTCCAATGAAACAAGTTATGTTTTGGGGACTTCGTCCCTTTGGTTTGCAAGGGAAAAAATACCTTCTTGTTTCAGAATATTTGTGAAATCATTTTTGTGTATCTACTTACTTTAAAACAATGAGATTGATCTTCACATCGTAGGGTTCCTTCAGCAAATTCAGCTAAAAATGAAATTACAAGATGTTACTTTGTGGTTGTTTTTGAAACATGTGAAAACCATGCGGAATTCACCTACCTTATCACACATAGGTTTGAAATTTACAATATAAGAAATTATTTTGTGAACTTCCGTGTAAACTATTGCATTAAAAAAATATCGTCGATGTTGCTACTGGTTTTTCATGTGGCGCAAAAGCCAGAAAGGAAATCACAGCTGAACTCAGTAACTCTCTGCTGCTAAGATTGCTATAAAGTCATTGGTACTTAAAGTGTGGCTATTGATTGGACAGTAATTTTAATCAATCTGAACACTGAGGAAAGCCCCCTACACTCTGGAAGGTTGAGTTACGCCCACGCCTATGTTGGCTAAGGATAAGAATAGGAAAGGTTTAAATGACACGAAAATTTTTTTGATTTGGTTGTTTTAACAGCTCTCCACCCTTATGGCTTGTCCCTTAAGTGCTCTGCTTTTGGGCTATTTTGTGACTGTGAAGATTTCTCACTTTACTAATTGTTAGTGAGCGTTCTATATTGACAATATAAATATGCAACTTGAGTTGAGATCAAGTAGCTGTATATCGTTTTTTGTGCATGTTTACATTGTTTCATTTTCTTATCTTTAAGATTCAGTAAAGACATGCATTTTAAGTTTTAGAAAATGCAGAATCTTTGTATCATGAAGTATTTCCTTTGTTATTATTATTTTTTCAAATAATAATTATATGCACTTCATTTTCAGAGAGAGAAGAGCCCAGAAATTGCAGAGTCCCAGAGTTCTGCCATCACAACACACGGCAATGCGTCCGTCTTCTCTGTGTACGCCACAGTTCGCCAGGTTGTCCTGGCCCAGGCCATCAGGGAGTCGACACGCCTCTACCACATGGCCAACACGGCCACCGACTCAGACAGTGACAGTGATGAGGATGGGGAGGAAAAAGCCAAAGACTTACAAATCAAGATACCCAAAGTAAGTTTGTTGGACTTTAAAAGTAATTTTTAGGGTTATTGGAGGAAGGAAAGTAAATACAACCTTTTAATCCCTTTATTCATTTATTGCTTTTCTGTGCTTCGTAGATTGGTGAAGTATTTTATTTTCCTATTTCTTCCTTTTTCAGATTGTTGGCTTGGGTCTCAATGGTGTATTTGAGTTGGTGAGAGAGTCACGCTCTGTGTACCCTGAGCTTTGCGTCAAAGCCTTACATGCTTTGCTTGACCTGTTGCAAGGTCAGCAGCCAGAAGGCATGAAGAGAGAACCGCCGGATATTGTGGGTAAGTGTGTTTTGAACTCTTGTGTATTCAGTTTGTACGAAGAGAAGATAAATGAGAACCAGAATTTCCTTTTCCCACCCAGATTTTCTTTTATTTTGTGTCGTTATTTTACTTTTTTGGGTAGTTGGCATTTCTTTTGGTGTGGTTTACTCCATTTCCTTCTTTTCTGTCTTGTGATTATCCAGTTGTTTATTGGAAATGTGGCTATTACAACCATTACAAGCCTTTACCCGTGATGACAGATTACAGCTCCCAGTCAGCATTCTCCAGTGATCTTCCTCCAGACATCCTCTAATCTAGGGTTTTTTATTCTGTGTTTTTACTTCAGAAAATCTCTTCTCCCTGCTGATGGACCTGGCCACCAACACAGGAGATGGGGAGCGCACCAAAGGCGGAGGTTCAATGAGCTCCCTGGCCTGCTCAGCTCTCATCAGCCTCACCATCGCACTCGGCGACACGGAGAAGCTACTCCGCGCCATCACAGTAATGCTCATGTCCCGCTCAGGACTTGAACTGCAGGACATACAGGTTGGAGAGGACAGAGAGGAAGTTAATTTGCTGAATAGGAGTTGTTTTACTATGTTGTTCAATCTCAGATGTTCACCTGAGGGTTAATTATGTCTGTATGGAAAAGAGTGTTTTGTCAACCGTGAGAGGTGCCTCATTTCTGGAAATCTCTTGAATTTTTGGAAATGTAGAAAGTCAAAATGTTTTCTTTTGTGGCCCTTCTTTTGTCTGTGTTTCTTAGATTTCTGTTCCTCACAGCTCAGCAAGGTAAAAAATCCAAGTTGTTTTAGATTTTTCTTTGGAAACTCAAAAAGTAATTTCAAAGGTAGAGTATTTGGCCTAGTTGTATGGTGAAGAAAAGGAAAAAGACATTGCGCTACATCTTGTATGTATACATTTGAACATATAGATGTTTATTTGTGTTGTCCCATCATAAACACTTTTCTGCATCTGGGCTTTTGAGTTCAAATTAGTTGAACCCTATGTTATCTTGGATGTTATTGCATCCCAAAATCCTTATGTAGGAAACTATTTGTCCAGTCAGATGCAAAATGGTCAGCATCCCCATATACATTGGATCTGTTTACATTCGGTTTGCTTCACTTGCCAGTCCTGCAAGTGTCAGGTTTAGATCTATGACTTTTTGCATTGCTGCTTTCCCCATCAATTCAACTTTCACTTTCATTTTCAATATCGCTGAGGGACTCAAAGGTTAGTTACAGAGAAATGAGCCTCACTAACATCTGATCTGTCACTTGGTGAGATATGAACATGCACTGACATTTTTCAGATCCTATGAGACTGACAGTTGAGAAACAGACCCATTTCTAATTGGGAATTCTCTCCAAAACAGCAACCATACTATGATAATTGAGATTGCCATATTTCAAGTGACCTGATATCAAAGTCTTGAGGTTTATTGGACATCCCAAAATAGTACAGCAGCTCATGTTGTGACCTCAATATCAAACACGACCTTGGGACCACATTCGGTACACAGTCAAGTGAGGTGCAGTGATGTACCCAGTGCTTTCTGAGTGATGGAGTTTAAGAGATTGCTCTGCTTTCTGGTTTATAGTGGGTCTGTTTTATTATCCTCCCACACATTGACAATGATTGTATTTCTAAAATGCTTAGTTCTTATTTTGTGAGAGTATGAGGGGGACATTACTTTGAGGTAAATACTAGTTTTTTTTCAACACAATATTGGGCTCAAAGATATGAATGGGCAGTTACTGTTTTTTGTCTTGTGTATTGCAAAAGTTTATCCTCATTTCAGGTTCCGGGAATTCTGGCAGCGCTTCAAAAGAGTGTCCAAGCAGTTTTGTTGGGCAAGTCCCATCTCCCTGATTGGTTCAACTATGGAATCAAGGCCAAGTGCCAGGCACAGATTTTCAAATTACAAAATGCCAAGGGTGAGTTGTCATGGTTTGTGATATGATTGTGCTTTAAAAAAACATAAGGGTGATTCTTGAATTTCAAAATGAAGTCAGTTGCAGAGAGTGCGTGGGTGGGGGGTAAGTTTCAACCACTGGATTAGTGCTTAAAGTATCTCAGGTTAGTGCTGTTTCAATGTTGTTTTTTAGCAGACATGAAATTATTGAAGTCATTCCAGATTAAAAGAATACTGCTGATGTATTTGTTTTTCATCAGTTGTCAAAGCATTTTTGTAACCACAGTGGCTTCTTGTTTGATTTTTTTCTGAACTGCACTGACACAGCAGTATGATCATATACACTATTTCAGAAAATGTGGACCATTCTTGGTATAAAAAGAGTTTTAAGTTTCAGTTCTATTTAGCAGTGACTTTGTTTTAATTGGGACTCTTTGGCATCAAGTACAGTTTCATGGTTATAAGTTTTATGAAGAGACTTCGGGGAATAATGGGCATAGTCATAGAAGATGGAAACCGTGGGGTATCTAATTTTAAACGCTTGTACACTAATAACCTCATTTCTTTTTTATTGTTGGTTTATTATTATTCTTGATTAAAAGGGAAATCACACAAAAATAATCAACAGTCAAACAGAAATGAAGTTATCAGTCTACAAGCTTTTAAAATCGATGTCTTCATAATTTCCATTTTGTGACTGTACTGATTTTTCCTGTGGTCTTGTATGTATTCAGCTAGACTTTCAGGGGCTTTTCAAGTTATGATAATGTTGATAAAGGTCTAGATGAAGTCTCCATTCATAACTTACTTAACATACGATATGCATCTTGGGCCTTCAATCCCTGTTGGGCTGGCATGGGAGTAGCCCTGGTGCTATGTATGCAAAAGACTTTTTAATTATTTGTAAAAAAAAAAAAGCCTTCAACTAGAACTTCACCATAATATTTGTGGTGACATACTTCTCCATACCCTCTGCTATGCGTTGTTATGTTAGGTCTTACTGATGCTATTGCGGAAGAGTAAAAGAAATATGCCACGGCACTCTTCAATGAAAATGTGTCCTTTGTGAATAAGCTTGAAACCTCTTCTACCTGCCTTTTGTATATATTTCTGTATGTTCTTCCCTTTGGCTGATTGATTTAAAAGAGTATTACTGTTCTGGTTTTTTTTATTTGTGTGTACTCTCTTGGCAGTTGGAGAATGTCTGGTTGAAAACTCAGCCATTGCCAGTGATGGTCGCTACCTGTACATACTCAACAAATATGGACTGTACAAAGTTGGCTCAGGATACGGGGGGACTGTCAAGGTGGGTAGACAAGTCTGGGATGATTACCTTGATTGTTTCTAGGATTATGTCATGAATTGTAATCTAAGAAGTTGTTCCATGTTGTAATGGTGTTTCTTTCTTAAAAGTTTTTTAAAATGTGCTTTGTTTTTGGTGGGTTTTTTTTTGTAAGTCAAAATGCATACTGCCTTTTTTTCCTAAAGAGTACAGGATAGTTAGTTTGTTAAATTTACTACATCTGGCTGGCCACATATTCTTATGCATAGAAGTTGTTTTAAGCGGATGATATTGATAGCAACATTTGATCAAATAATCGTTGTTAATTGCTTTAGTGCTATTGTATTCATAAATGCCAGTCTCAGTACATGGGTCAGTATACTGTAGTCTCCGCCTTAGATCCCACTGCTAATGATCCCAATTCGCTTAAGATCTCGTTGATTTATGAAAACAAAATTTTTACAATATAAAAGTCATCCCTAAGACCCGTCTCTGAAAGGACTAGATCTAGATTAGGCTTGGATACTGCGTTTCAGATCATACTTTACTGAACAAAAACCCACACTCATTCAGCTAATCAACCAAACAGTAAAAAATGTGTAGTCACTATACTGCCCGATCACATCTGTGCTGTAAAACACGATGGGGGGGCACAATGTTTGCCCTTGACAGGATCATGCTGAGGAGTGAACTTGTTGATGCATTTGTTTTTGCCCAAACAACACACTCGCATTTGAGCCCTGCGCCTGAACTTACCTAAGCACTGGTGTGTTAAGCTTTAGACTGCTGTAATATGGTTTTAAAAAATTGTAGAAAAAAACTCAAACACTGCTGGTATCTTTGATTATTATTATGATTTTTTGCATTCTTTATGTATTACAACAGAAAGAAAATGATAAATTGTCGATAAATTTATGATCTACCCAAATGCTGTTTCAGGGAAAACTGGAGAGTCAGAAAAAAGATTTCCCTGTTCACAAGAATACTTTCCTTGCATTTGCTGCTGTAAGTAAATGTTTGACATTTAATTTTGTTTTATGCAACATGAACTTTCCTTATTTCATATTGCACAGTGCCAGGGAATGCGTTGAATGTGTTCTTCTTGTTTGGATATGTGCTTTTTCTTAGGCACTTGTATGACCTAGTTGTGTTGCATGTACTGTAAAATACTTACTAAATAAAAAAAGCCACCAAAAACCCCCCCAAAATCATAGGGTTATAGCAATCATTTGTATACAGAGTAAACTTTTACCCAAGTAGTTTTGTTGCAATAAGTTATGAAAGTAATGAGTAATGATAAATAGCTTTTGTATGGCCCATATTCATCATGTGAAATACTGTGTCTTTTGCTGTTACCTTATTCACTATCTGTCATTATGACAACGTATTGTAAACTGTAAGTGAGATGGGAATAGGTAGTAACAAGTAGATTTCGCCAAGATGGTTGAAATGGATTTTAAAGGAATAGGTTGATGTGTGGTCATGTATATTTTAGGATATTGCAGCGAAGGAACCTATGCTAAGATAATATTTCTAGGCTAACTGAGTATTCTTCACTTTCCTGATTTTTCAGGGTAAATTGTTGTGCAAGTGGGACAGAGGCAACACCCCCAGTCTCTGTGTCATCAACAGAGCCACTCTGGCCCCTGAGAACACCTTTGGCATGGATGGTATGCTTTCTTTTGATTTTTGGAAGATAACTATTTAACTGTTGACATTTTATGCCTCATCAACTCTCTCTAGATAATTTAGGAGGCTGTCTGCTTCAACCCTGCCTGTCGAGGTCTACCTGGTCTCAGCAGAAAGACAGAGTTTAAAATTTTCCCCACTTGGAAATTGAAGTAGCGCCTTCTGCATGCGGTGCCAAAGTACCTAACAGCTAACCACAGCCAGCTGCTGGTGAAGAAGTCTTCAAGGAAAAAATATGTTACATTTTTTCTTTATCCTGATACATATTGCTTTTGGGAACTTTTGGTTCAAGAAATTTCTTTAGACTGGTATATCTTGAAGAGTTTATAAGGTGTTCAGTGTTGTCATAAATGCCAGACTTCTGTTTGGAAAGTTTAGAAATACAGAAAATCCTCAGTATAATGCACTTAACGTAAAGGTGCTTTTGTCTGTTATATTAATTTTCTGGAATCCCAAGTAATTGTAGTATTTTTAGTCTTTAAAAGCTTTGTCCATAGTGAACATGCTTAAAACATAGTTTCGGTTGTAATGTTCACATTTCAAGAGATTTTAGTGATCAAAAGCCCATTCACAATGTATATTGTGACGAAAAGCAAAATGATGAAAGTGAAAATTTTACTATAATCAGGAATACAATGTAATCAGCTGCTGCGAGTGGGGGAGTTTTACACAAGTCTGTGATATCAGTTGTGCTGCTTGTGGACGTTTGCACTCCTTCATACACACATACATTCGTGCATGCTTCCAAATCTTTTTCTTCCCCATACTCCAGTCCCCTACTCACTGGCTGGCAAGGCATAAAGAAACCCAGATGTTCCAATTGATCTGTTTTGTCACCATAATGATATCCATCCACCTCATCACATTCATACGTTTCTCATGCATGTATGTCTATGTCACTTAGATTTGAAATAAAGAAAAACGTGATCTAAACAAAACAAAGAACCACCCTCTCCCCCCCCCCCCCAAAAAAAAAAAAAAAAAAAAAAAAAAAAAAAACCCCCCCCCCCCCCCCCCCCCCAAAAAAAAGAAAAAAATTAATGAAATGAACACATTTTGATCCTCAATTATTTATGGTGCCATCCGTCTCCCTCCCCCTCCCCCCACCCCCACCCTAATCCATGTCGTAGGTCCTATGGGATTGCGTTATGACAAGGTTCTATTGTACATGATGAAACCCATGTCTTCAGCTTGCTCTTCTGGTATCCTGTTTATTGTGGACTAGATTTGTATTTTCTAAAAAATGTCTTTTGAAAATACGTAATGAGCAGTTTGTTTTTGAACAGTGTAACTTACTTTGGAGTCTTGGAAGTGTGTATTGAAATTTGCACTAAGAACATGTATTTCCAATTTGAGTAGTAGTTGGTTGGCAGGTGCTCTGGTGTGGTTTGCTCCTACTTTCCTTACAAAATCTATCGTCCTTTTCTCTCCTTTTTTTTGATGTTTGTTACTCTCTCGTAACAACTCAAGTCTTGGGTACTTATATGATCTTATTGTGTTGCAAGTACCATTAAACTCTTACTAGAACTAAAATCTAAAACAATTTGTGTGATGCCTTTTGTCTACCGGATGCATTCCTTCTTGTCTCCAGGTAACAGTTCAGGCCACAGTCTGCTGTTCAGTGATGGGGAAAACATTGGTTATATAGCCCCTGCCAAAGAGGTAAAAGAATCATGGATATGATGTTTGATAGTGTTTCTATGCTTTTCTGTACATAATGAAATGAAAACCTCGAACTTTATTTTCTTGTCCAACTAAACGAATGTGGTATCTTATGGCTAAATACTTAACGTCACAATAAGGGTAACAGTTTCTAAGTTGGTATTGGGCAATGTCGGTGAATGAGGAAAAATAATGATAAATATAAAGATAGATGGGAATCTGAACTGTTTTATGAAGAAACTGTTGGTATTGACTTTTATAGTTTTGACACTGCTCAAGGGTCCTGAACAAAATTGTGATAGGTTTTGCATGCATATTGGTAATATTATTGTATGAAGTTGTAGCAGATTCTTGTGTTTTTGGGTTTTTTTCTTCGAGCATTCTGTTATGGTTTTCAGAAGCTTAAAAAAAGATGACTTTTCATCTCTATTGACTGTATTTCCAGGAGGACAGTTTTGTGATACGGACCTTTAGCCCTATCAGCAATCCTCCCATGCAGCAAGTGAATGAAGTGCCACTCAAACTGACCCGCAAGTGCATGGATGTGATGGGGAGCACCCCTTTCGACTACACATATGAGAAGAGAACCATTGGTAAGCAGGCTTTGAGAGTAATGTTAGAAATAGTTTCTGTTTGCTTGCTATACATTAATAGATTTTTCATCTCTACGTTAATGGTGGGTAGATGGAAGGCAGTATTTTGAACTATTATTTCAAGTTATTGTTTATGTTTGTCATTTTGCTTTTTTCATTTGCACAGTATGACAATGATTGTTGTGGTGCTTCTGATTAAATCAATGAAACATGCAAATTGATCTATGATTCTATGCTTCTTATTGCCAAAATTAAAAAGAAATGTAAATTTCTGTCACATGTAGCTTTGTCAGGTATACTGTTTCTGTGCGTGTTGATCAGAAAGCTGTATTTGATCATTTCAGTTTCAGGGTTTGATGAAGACACCGTAATGATGGTTTCAGGCAAAGAGTTCAGCCTCATCAAAACTATTGGGGGCAAGGTAAGCACTGCTTTTCTAGAATAGTTTTGTGGTTGTTTCATAGCATCGTAGTGGCTGCTGATAGAATTTGTGTTTTCCTTGCGGGTTGTATTAAAGCTGTTCCCTAGAACTGTGCAACATTTAATATAAATGAAGTATTTTTGTAGGTAATAGGTGCATGCTCTTCTATATTATTATTGATGTAAAGCTTTGAAATATTCATTCTTACATTGAACATCAGTGTCTATCATAATCAGGGGTACTTTTGAAAAAAAAAATTTTTAACCAAATTTTGATGTGTTTTAATTAAGAGAATTTTATAAACTGTATGGCATTACTTTTGATGGTTGCTATTTTGTAAACTGGATTATTGTCTTATTTATTAGTGTAAATAGTTTCAATCAGTTTGAGCTGTTTAGTGTGGATAAATACACTTCAAAAAGGCCAGTTCTCTGTCTTGTGACTCCATTCTTATGCGTGTTCATATTCTGTTTTTAAGAAATCAAAGGGTAAGCATAAGTGTTGCTTATCTTACTGTTTAACAACTTTTATACATATATGCACATTTGTATTTGTATGCGTAATATTATGTTGTACCTATACACCTGTCAAGTAATTTTAAATGTGATTTTTTTTGACTAATGTGCCTTGCACATTTTTTAGAAAATGGAAATGGCATTATAAATGCTATTTATTATTATTATTATTATTATTATTATTATTATTATTATTATTATTATTATTATTATTGTTATTAATATTGCTACTACTACTCCACTGCAGGTCTTGTACCATGGCAAAGCTGCCTCCCTGGGCATCAAGCAGTCCAGCCAGGCTCAGGGCAAGTGGGCCGAGCTGACCATCACAAAGTCTCCCAAGATCACACACATTGCCCTCGGCCATGACGGCTTGCACGCTCTGATGGTGGCTGAGGATGGCAGTGTTTATTTTGTCGGCACTGCCCGCAGAGGGGAAGATGGAGATGTGGGAGGTGAGTTACTTCTTTTCTGAGAAAATATTTCTTGCATTGGTTTTTTAATCAGAATTACTTTTGGTTTCTGCTAGGTAATCAGACAGTATGGAGGAGAGCTGCTTCAGTGCCTTTTTAAAAAACTTTTTACTGTACCTTCAGTATTTAAAAAAATAATATTTTCTTGGAGATAAAACCAAAATATTTTCTGAATGTAATTTGCTGAAATGTGCATATGTGGAAGAAACTAGGAAAAGAAAAAGCCTCCTCCATTTTCTTAATAATTGTGGGGGTTGGGGGGAGGTGTTATGCTTTCTTATAGCATTCTGTGATTATTGTAAAAAAGCTTGTTTATAATGTAACCTACTCTCCACAATGAAGTAGAATGATCTCGAATCCTTGTATGTACACGCACACACACACATGTATATACACACACATGCATCTGATTCTTAAGGCAAAGTACGGCGCCAGCCCAAGCCGACCAAGCCGCGAAAGATGAGTCGCCTGGAATCCAAGTTTGTGACACTGGCATCATGCAACAGTGGCACCAGTGCTGTGGTGACAAGGGACGGGGAGCTCTACATGTTTGGCAAGGACACCAACCACCACTGCGATCCCACCTCTGGTAGGCTTCTGTTCTTAGCTTTGCTTTAGCCCCTTTGACTTATATAAGGAAAAGAATTTTTCATTTGTGTTTGATTTATGTAATAGCACCAATCTTTTCATCTCATTGATGACATTTTAGAAAAAGGGATACACGGAACAAAAAAAGTTTGGTTCCCAACTCCAGTCTGTTCACATAACCCTTGGGTACATCTTAGCTCTGTGCTGGTATTTGGCTTAATCACATCCTGCCATTGATTCAGTATAGCTGCAAAGTGTCCTGGCAATGGAGTGGCCTTTTATAAGACGGTAAAGGGTACCAAAGGTTAGCCGTAGACAGGATCTAAGAGAGAGATGTTGTGTTGATGAAAATTGCCGGTCATGCAAGTTTAGTAAGAGTGACTATACACACGGAAGGATTTTTTAAAATGCTTTAGTTTCTTGTAAAAGCGACCTTGTATGCATGTATTGGTTTTTGACTAAACTTAAATGACTGTAAGCTTGTAGGTAGATGTATTTTTTTGTCAATGGGTGAGCTGAAACTAGTCATAAAATCTAAAATAAGCTGATATTGTTTGCAAGTTCTTATATGTATGTACTGTGAAACTCCGATACAACAAACTTGGACTAAAAGAAAAATAGGACTCTAAGATAAAAGTATTCTCATTTTTTTATTAATTAAAGTCAAGTTACTCATATTCACCTAACATACGTATGAAAAAGAGTAGCGGTATAGGTGAGGAATGTCGGAAGAGATGTGTCACAATCACATTTTTCCCCTGACCACTGACCAGCGATAGGCTAGACGTAGCTGTAGCCAAACTTTGGCGAATGCTGGGACCAACACTGAAACTTGTTTGGCAAAGATATGTGGCACAGGTGTGTGTTTGAGGGACTCTGCCTTTTTACACAGCTTGCACTGGTGCCTTCAATTATCAATCATAAAAGCTCACATTGTGTCAAACCAACACTGGGATTCAACGAATTTGAAGGTCAAGTTTAATAACTGTAATCGAATGTGTCAGAAAGATACATTTTGGAGGGAAATTAGTTTAGTGCTTGGCAAAAGTAGGAAACTGGCAGAGACTATATTTGAAATTAGCCTACATTTTTAATAGAAAAGTGAAAAATAACTGGAAGTTAAAAGAAATAAAATATGATAAGATTCCATTTGAATTGATCTCTGTGGAGATATTTGGTTTGTATTTGTTTCTATCCTGTCCCTCTTCTACAGGCCAGGTGACTGAGCTGCGTGATGTGCGTGTGGCCCAGGTGTGTCTAGGCAAGGCCCATGCTGTTGTGCTCAGTTCCAAGGGTCAGATCTACACATTTGGCATCAACAACAAGGGACAGTGCGGACGCGAGTTCTCTTCGCACGCCGCTTCTCCACGGGATGGTAAGTGCCAGGAGGCTGATGGTGGAGATTGATTAAGATTTAGTTTTGATCAAGGCCTCTCAACCTTTAGTTACTGCAACCTGATTGGGGGCATCTATTAGTCTTTGTCTCACTGTTCTTAACTCCTAATCTCTAGCAAGCTGCTACTAGTGGCTTGCGGTCGGAACCACTGTGCCAGTGATCCACAGCCAGCAGCTCAAGCACATTCTATTACTATGACAACATTATATGTGTGGCATCGTGGTGAAATCAGGCGCTCGTTAAAATAATCAAATTGGAGAAACTGACAATTTTTATTGAATTTTATGTCTTTTTAAATACACATTCTTGCGTGGATTTAAATGTAAAATGTCAATCAAACGCACTAATAATGTAAATTTGCATTTTCCAAGGACTTGGCAGTTTTGGGAGTCACCAAAGTTTGGCGGCCTTTTTCTCAGTACTCACTATTTTTATCTCTAATATTAGGCAACCCCTACCTCATTCAATCGCAAATATCTTGAATTCTTTTCATGATAGGTAGATATTTTTTTCATCAAAAGTAAGGCTAATAAACAGGCTTTAAGATTATACCCTTGAGTCCATATGCTAAAAAACTGATGAGCACCTGATTCATCCTTGTCGTGACACATATTAATTTTCTGCAATTAAGTGTCTAACAGCCAGTTCTTTCATTAGGTGAGGAAGTCTCAAAATCAAGATAGGTCCATTTGTTTTAATTTAATGACCAATTTAATGATGTGTATCTCACTCTCATGTTTCCTAACAAAAGAGTGCTCCAGCGCAGTGGGGAAACCGCCTCAGGAGATAAATAGTTAAAATAGTAACTTATTTAGACGAATTAAACATTTTGTATTATCAGAATGTCCTGTCTAGAATAAAAGGATTTAATCTTCTCCTAAAAACATCGGATTTTGACCTGCGACAATGATGAATGACAGTGACAACTTGTAGTCATGCATAGGATGCAGCTCTACTTAACTGCCATCTCAAACGTGTAGCACATGTCTATGTAAGTTGGAAAAATGTGTTGCATCTTGCATTAGCCAAGGCTTGCTATGAGGGAGTTTTTGATTTTGTGTATATTTAAACACCAGCTTTATAATCAAGTCTATTTTACTCCATATGATACAAGTCATTATTTATAGCTGTTTGATCGACTTCATTATTGGCTAGCCTTTAATCACCGCACCTTCAAATTATATACAGGGAAGGAGGGATTTTGATGGTGTATTTAACTTCTATAGTTGATATCTCCATTGCATTTGTTTGTCATCCATCTTTTAAGTAAGAGAGAGGTATAAAATTTAAAAATTTCCATGTTCTCTCTATTTTTTTAAAAATCACAGCGACCCTGAACATCACAATGGCTGAAGATGAAGAGGAAGCGGAGGTTGATGATAGCCTATGTCCTCCAGGTATGTGCAATGTTATAGATGTCATGTGTTTGTGTGTATGTGTTTGTGTGTGTATGTGTTTGTGTGTGTATGTGTGTGTGGGATTTTTTTCCTGACTTTGTTGTGATTTAGGATATGATGTACTATGTGGACTGTGGAGTGGGAAGCTTGTCGAAATAGGACTTCCAGAGACTTTCATATTCTGCTTAGAGATTTTACATAAATTTGTAAAATATTTTTGTTGTTGTTATGCTTTGAGAGTAATGTACTTGTGTAGACTTCTTATAAGGACAGTGACCCAGACAAGAATATGAGACTTACTTTCGAATTGAAATAGTTAAGTGATAGGTTTTGAGTTGCCTTGAGTGTTTGAATGGAAATGGGTGATTTTATTTTGTATAAAACATATTGTAAGTCTCCAACATTAGTGTACTTTGGGTTTATCCATGTTTTGACTGTTGGCCTGGCTTCTTGAGAATAAAAATAAAGCAATGTGCCTTCACGCTATACACAGTGTGCCAGAGCCAGGTCTCAGCTTGTGTGTGTGTGTGAGGGGGGGGGGGTGTGGTAAATCCAGCTCAGGTGCTTGGGTTCTTTAGGCTCATGGATCAAAGGGTTTGAATACTTCTAGATCAGAATCAGACGCGTAATTATTGAAACCTTTCCTTTGTATTGCCAGGAAAGCACAAGTGGGTCTATGAGGTGTGCATGATCTGCCCCGTGTGCCGTGAATGCACCGGCTATGGGGTGAGCTGTATCAACAGCGGGCGCAAAGACAGGAATCCGGGCATGTGAGTCTCTCGGTCGTCAGATGTATTTGCTTTTTTTTCTGCTTTTTTTTATTTTCTTTCTTTACATTTTTTAATTTGCAGATATGTTTTCAACCGTGGGTAGGTCAGTGAAAGTGTACAAGAAATGTTTAGATTTATATATCTTATAATATGGAACTTACTGCAACTAGGCCATAGCACTCAATTTTACTCAGTAAGCAAATAATTAAAACAAATATATACAGTTGAAACTGCAAGATGACCACCCTTTGTTGAGAAGAAAAGTGTCCGTCTTAGACATGTGGCCGTCTTATACAGAATCACTATAATGTAAAAAATGCACAAAACTGGTGGGAGGTTGGCGGGTGCTCTGGTGTGGTTTGCTCCTTCTTTCCTATCGAACATCTATCGTCCTTATCTCCCCTTCTTCTTTTTTATGTCTGTTACTCTCTTGTAACACCTCTGGTCTTCTGGCGCTCTTATGACCTTATGCAATTGCGAGTGCCGTAAAACCTCTACTAAAACTAAACTAACAAAACTGGAAAAAGGAAGTTGTTGTTCCACTGTAATTGTTCCTAGGTTAGCCGTTTGAAATGGCAGCAGGAAGAGACAGGTCTGACAAACAAAACGTAGTTTGTTACAGAGAGGTATTCCATCATATGTTCTTCTTGCTGACCAGCTGTAAATGGGCATTTGGCAGTTGGCCGTGCTTGGACATGTTATTGCTATAATATGTTAAGGAAAAGATGTTTCTTGTGATTTACTTGGCCAAATGAGTGAACCAGACAAGTTTAGTGAGGTCTTATGGAGTATGTTGTGAGCCCAGTGTTAGAAGGGGCCCTATGTGATAAACTGTGACTTTAAATAGCTTTTTATAACTTCTTTTTTTTATGTGATGATGATGATTCATGTAACCTTTTGTCCCAATCTTCTCTACTGTTGATTTAAATGTATGATTTCTGTATAAGGAAAAATAAAGTTTTGAACTGTCCTCTGTGTGAATGTTCAATGGTGAGAAGTGCATGTTACCTTTGACCTATGTTCTCAGGCCCTGTGGCTGTGGTGCTGGGGACTCTGGCTGCTCCGAGTGTGGCGTGTGCCGGGTGTGTGGGGAGGAGAAGTTGGCTTTCAATGAGCTGGATGAGAGAGGCTTGCTGGATGTCGTTCGTGAGTACACAAAAAAAAATTTTTAATATATATTTTTTATGTACAGGTGAATGGTTGCTAGGTTGTTTGTTTTTTTATTTTTTTGAATACTGCATAGTATTTTTGGGGTTTCTTTGGGTTCTAAAGTGCAGTCCTTGTTGTTTCTTCTGATATTCTTACTACTATTTCCTTGTAACAGCATTATTAGTACTGGTTTGTTGTTGTCTTCCAGTGTGTCATTTATTTCCCAGTTTGTCAAAGTAACTTCCGAGTCAAGGGGCTTTAAAAAAAAAAAGCTTGTCCTGTCAAATGTCGCTACAGACATTTGTGGCTTATTTTGTTTTAGACTTTTATGACACCAATTTTTAAATTTTTTTTACAGCGGCAGTATGTAGTGCGGATAATAAGAGTTTCTTTTATATATTGTTTCTTTTTGTTCTGGTAATAGGTTGTATTTGTTACTTTTCGTCTTAGGTACTTGGAGATAAAGAATTTATTATTTGAGTTATGGAGGGAGATCATGATTTATCTTACGCAGAAATTGCCAAATTGTAATCATGAGTTTCAACGACTGATTACGTTTAACATTTTCACAAGTAGAATAGATGATGATCTACCATCGTAACGAGTGTCATAATTTTTTTATACCATACTGATTTCAGCTGATGAAATAGATCTGAATCAACAACGTTCAAATGACTAGTCTAGTGGCCAAGTGGTCCCTATTAAAAGTCTTACATGAATACAAAATTTTCATTCCGAAAGTGAGGATTTGAAAATGTCTGGGGGGGGGGGGGGGTTTCTTCTATTTTTAGGCACACAAATTACATAATATTATTAGGCCCAGTATGCTTTCCGTATGTCTGCCACTGCGAAATAAACCCAAAACAAAATAATTACGTAAACATAAGCTAAGTAAGCAGAAGACGTTATATTCAAAAGTTGAAAGATTAAGAAACTGCACTTATATGGCATGTTGTTGTAAGAATAGAGATGACTTTTACTTTGATCCGCAGCCAAAACAAACCAAAGGCTAGGAGTCATTTGCAAGCATACTACACTTTTGCATTACATTACACTGGTCAACATTGAGTTAGTTTTTGTCCGAATTTAAATATGTAGTTTCAGGTTTCCTTGAGGTTGTCAGGGACGGTAAAAATAAGTTTCTATTTAACAAGGGAAGTAACTTTTATTTCAAGAAAAGTAATTAACCAAGTGTGTTTATTTGTTAGAATGTCTAAGGTCGTATTTTTCTAAGACATATCGATTATTAATAATTATGTGTAGTGATAGAAATAAGGGTGTCCTAAAATTCAAAAGACAATGCAAATAAGCTGAACAGTGTTTTTACATTGTTTAATAAAGTGACTAGTACTTTTCAAGGGGAGGAAATCATTTGATGATCATTTATTCAAGAGGTTTCCACTGTTTAGTTGTGTCATTTTGAAAATTCATTTTTTAACTCTTTAAACCCCATCAGATGCTGGGAACGTCCAGCAGTAATAGCCCTGTTTCATGTCGTTTCATTTAGTGCTAGTTTTTGCTTCTTTTTCAGAACTATTCCCGAACCAAGTTTATTAATATTGACAAAACCTTTGTTTCTGCCATTTAAAAGTTAGAGGCAAGTTTTTGGGGTTATAATGAGACATAGCGGGCCAGATTTAGGTAACTGTAAGAAAAAACTCTGGGAAAGGGGGCAAATAATTCAGGGTCTAAAGAGTTAATTTAGTGTCTACTGTCCATCCACTGTGTTTTTTTGGTGTAGTGCTACATTGTCTTGAAGGAAAAAGCAAGTCCCAAACGTCAGTTGTGTTAATTAACCGTCGTCCTGCGGGGGCCGGGTTTATGTCGCTTGATAAGCCTATTTTGGCACCTCGCCTGTGTTCTGGTCCCGAATCAGTGTAGCCCCTGGCTCAGCGCACGCGCATCATCTTTAACTTACTTGAAATTCGGGTCCCGAGTCGGATCCCCATTCACGCAGGTCAAGTGTGTGTGCGTCAGTCTGCTTGAGTTTGTGTGCGTTTGTGGCCTTCTTCTAGAACCGCCTGCGTTGGTTCGGAATTGAAGCATACGTCTCATTAAAAGCACCCCAAGTTGGTAGCTCTAGATGTTCGTCCAATGAAATTATAGAAGAAATTGGCCCACTTAGACATGAGGAGCTCGAAAGGATAGTCAGGAAACAAGACTTCCATTTTTCCATACAAAACCTTTCAAATGAGCTTGATTTTGAATGAAATGATATTACCTGATAAAAAATAAGCTTGTTTGATAGTTTTGAATACCATTGTGCAGGTACAAAGAACAATTTGAGTGCAAAACATTCGGAAATTGAACGATATTATCCCCTTTAGAACCTCAGGTCATTCATAACATCAAGAGCGTCTAGAAAGGTTATTCGAATGAGCGTAACTACTCATAATGTCTTATCAGCTTGTGAGAAGGGGTTATTCATGTGTTTGTAACACTTTATAAATAGAAAGCTATGAAAGAGCCCATGGATTCTGATGAAGATGAAACATTCAGTCCTTCAACGTGTACCAGCTAATGGGCAGATGTAGGAAACAGTGTCACGGTTTCACCAGAGATAGATGGCTGAGGTGTAGATGTATTGCAACTAGTAGACGGCTGTGGAGTAGATAAATATTAAAGCAGATTGCTCTTGCTTGTCTCTCTTTTGTTGTTTAGCCGCTCTAGCTTTTCCCAAAGCCAACCTCTGATTCTTTGGTGAAGTACATATGTTACTTTCAGGCTTTTAGTGAGGTTTTGGGAAAGGCATGGCTGATGATGTGTATTTCACCTGCAAATAGGCACAAATAAGAAAACTTTGTAAGTGTACTGTCACTCAAAACTGAAATAATATAGGAAGGAATGTCAAGGCTTCATTCCAAGTTCATTTGCATAGACCCTGTCTAATGATTTATTCTCCATTGCGATGTATCCGGTTAGTGTTCATAAAAATCAGATGAACAAATCTAGGTCATACATGAAGCACAATTCTACGAGTAAGTCTTCACTGTGGTTCAATGTTACGCAGTGTAGAGAGAGGCTTTTATTTTCAGTATCAGAAGCTGGGCTTGAACTTGAGCGTGACCGAAACCACTTCCATAAAAATAAATAATGAGCAATCTTGATTTTTATGTATAACAATAACTTACCAGAAGTCTATTGTGCTTTTATTCCTCAGTACATCAATAACAATGTTCAGCACATTCTATTTTTTATTGAAATGACAAAAGTGTATTTGTGACTCAATGAGACGGTGAAAAGGAAGTTGAAATTGAAAAGAAGTTATAAATGGTAGTACCTGAATTTAGACCGACAATAATACGGAAGGGAAAAGTTGAGGATTCGAATATGAAATGAATGTTCACCTGATGTTTAATCTCTACTAATCTAAATTATTCTGAAGTGCTTCTGTTCATTAGTTCGTCAATAACAATGTTAATTATTTTCCCTTCTCGTTTTATCGTTACTTCAGTTTCAGTTTTGGTTTGTTTCAGCAAGTTGTGTAAAAAGAATCTTCAATGTAAAATCGACCGGGGACAAAATCTAGAGAACTGAATAGTAACAATAATAAAATTACTCACCTTAAGTAATTGTGTGACGTCCAAAATAACTTGGAAAGTGTGTTTTCTGCTGACTGATTTGGAACAAGTCTCACATTTGAAATAAAACAAACGGCTTGGATAGCGATATGGCTGATGAAATTGACCGTTCAGCGTCGCCGCGGTGAATCATGGGTGCGGGTTGCCCCGATTACTGACGTCTCGGCCAATCAAGACTTTCAATTTCGGTGTCACCCCCCCTGCCGACCAATGAAATGCCTGTATGGTGACCTGCTTCAAGCTAAGAATATTGCTAACAATGGATTTCTAGACTTTTATCGATATTACCATTAGACTGGACTGGAGTTGCGGATTCCGCCGATATATAGACATCTGGTGTGCAATAATTATAAAGAGCAATAAACACCTTTGTCAAGAGCAATTTTCACCTATTTTTGTTATTTTTCAAGGAGCACTGCTTCTTCAAAGTCAATATTTAGCTATTTTTGTAAGCTGTGAGACCTAGTGCAATCAATCTGGGAGATATTTTTCCATAGAAATCCACTAATAGCCCAAAATCGATATTGTAGAGATTTGTCAATGATTTTATCAGGACCCTGACCCGAGGAACTGCTTAATGATCTGAATGTAACAGCATCAAAGTCTGACGCATTTTGTAACAAATTTAAGGGCAATGTAGAAAGGTTGCATGAACTCTCGACTACAGTGAGACTGGGAGACTGGTGTTTTGCACTTCATTTGAGTGCCCACCCATAGTGAGCACACTTCGCAACGAAGTTTTTAATGAGGGCAAAAGCCGGCTACCATAACATTGCAATTTCTAGGAATAATATGATTCAAGTCTATACTGTGCTTATAGAGGGTTAGAAGGCAAATATAGTGTGCTGAGTAATTTATGCAAACTTTGCTTATAATCATGTGTGAAATGTCATGCTTAAATTTCACATGTGAAATATAAGGATTTATTTTACCAGACGTGCAGTGCTGAAACAACTCCATGTATGGTATAAAATATGTGTTTCATTGTTTTGTTGTTTGTTTGTTTTTTTGTAAATGATTTTTTATTGTTGCTTTCTGCAGAGGCTCGAAGAGCTCTCAAAGGAGAGGCTGGTGGTAAAAAAGATAAGCTCCAGCTGCGGCAGGCTCAAAAGCTTGCTAAAGCCAGGAAACAAAGAGGTTAGTGTGACTCATTTCATAATGTGGATGGTTCAGCTTTTTAAATTGGGAGTAACTACTTGACATGGAAGACAGGGAAAAGACCACATTGGTGTAACTTATCAGACATGTTATATGACCCGACATAGCCGTGTGAAGGCATTGCACTTGAAGGTTTAACTCTTTTCCTGCACCTCTTGAAGGAAGCTGGGCCATGCACGAATTCTAAAAACATGAAAACTCTTCTACTGCACTTTGTAAGTTGTGGGAAAAGCCACAGCAAATAGGCTATAATTTACCTTCTGCTTTTGTTGTGAATTTTGTTTATGGGAAGTATAAAAATTTTTGTGTCGCAAATGACTTAAGAAGCTCACTTCAAATGAGTTGTAATGTTTTCCTCCTGTCAATGCATTCAAGAAGTCTTATGGTGTTGAGACAATCACGCTCAAATTTGAGATTTTTGACAATAACGAGGATATTGATAGATGCCATACTGATGTTGATCCAGAATTGATAGTTCATAATGAATGAGCTCAGAATAATGAAATATTAAGACCAAGAACAAGTAGTGGTAATCACGTAGGGGGATGAATGGTCCGTGCTAGATCTAGATCTAGTACTTTAGTTACATCTATGGCATATAAAGAAAGATACCTTTAGATCCTGAATCTGTAGTACAGCACAGAAACTTTGCATAGATTTAATGGACAATTTGCGACTGAGTCAGCCATTACATCTAGTGAAGGTGAGCCTGACAAGACGAAGCACGCAAGGCGAAGGCCAAAGGAAACATCTGCAGTTTTGTGACCTTCCTTTTTTCATTGAACCCTTGCTGTTTAAAGATTTCACACATAAGTGATGAATACTTCTGCTTCAGAGTACTTTTAGGATATGTACTTTATTGGGGTTTTTTGTTTTTCAGTCACGCATAAGTGAAGCATTTTTTTCTGTATTTACAACACCTCTCTATAGACAATTACTACTAAAAAATATTTTACTTGTTTTCAAAATTTTTCCCCTTTTGTATGGTGTTTGATTCAAGAACAAGTACCTTTAGCGAAGAAGTAAAAAGTGAGAGATGCCAGTTTTGCCTCTGCATATGACAACATCATCTGATGTGAAATTTTTCTTTCAGAAGGCACCAATGAGGCAGAGGCGGAGATCACCAAGCTGGTCAGCCTGACACCTGCGGAGACACAGATCGATGGCTCTGGCAGCCCTGCTGTACAGATTGCTGTGGGTCTGCACCATACATGTGAGTTGGATTGATCATTTTGTGTCTTCTGTATGCACTTCCTGTTTTTTCCATTAGTTTGAGGTCTTGGTATATTTGATTTTATGATTGAAGAGCATTGTACAAGCCAATGTGGACGGTTCTTTCTGTCTCTTTTCAGTCTCACTATTGTTGTTGTTGTACTTCGGCATATATGTTTTCATGTGTTGGCATTTATTTGTTTTTATTCAATGTTCTTTGCGTGGACTGGCATTATCATATTCTAATGTGAATTTGTGTATGTCTCTTTGTTTCATTGTCGTTTTCATTTATTAATGATACAACCAAGGTAGTAAAACACTTTCTTAAAAAAAACCCCAACCATAAAGGGGTAGCTGGGTATACTTTATTGCCAGAGATGTTGGTGTTAACGTCCTGTTGGTGGAGTTGTAAAGGCTCTTTTTGTTATTTAGTTTTTCATTAGATTTTTGAAGAAATATCTAAACAATAAAATATTTATCCTTTTTTTTTCAGTGGTCCTCTTGCAGAATGGAGATGTGTATGCTTTTGGCAGCAATAACAATGGACAGCTTGGCCAAGGTCATACTAAGATAGAGTAAGTTCCTACCTAAACTGTAGACTTTATTTCCACTTACTACTTTTGAAAAAATATGCTTTGTTTTTTTTTCCAGGCCAGTAGGTTTCAAACTCTCCTGAAGATCTGAGAAACAAAGCCTCTATATTGTTTTAACTGAATGATGGGATCAAATTTTGTACAACCCTGAGTGTGTCCCTTGTGTGTCAGAATTTCATTCTTGTTTATTTTCTTACCTTAGGTCGGAAATTGAACTATTGTATATCTGGAGAAACAAAAAACAAAAAATGTATATGTGTGTGTGTGGCATCATGGTGACATCAGGCGGTCGTCAAAATAATGAAATGAAGAAATCTGCATTTTTTTGCTTCCAATAATTTTGCTTTAGGCTCAACACCTTTAATGTCCATTTAAAAACATATTCCTGCTTGGATTTTACTGAGAAATATTGATGAAAGGCATAAGAATATGAATTTGTGGTTTCCAAGGACATTACAGCTTTGGAGGTTGCCAAACTTTTGTGGCCATTTTCTCGCTAATTTTACCTCTGACCCCTGTCAACCCTTCATCTCCCCCTCTCACAAATGTCTCGACTTCTATTCTATATAGATAGATGTTTTTCACCATAAGAAGGGCAAATGAACATGCTGTAAGATAAGACCAAAAACGCCATGTGCCCCAAAATTGATGAATGCTTGATTCCACCGTGTTGTGACACGTAATTACTCTGACCTTGTGTAGCAATTGGCTCAGTGTTTTTTTCATAGCTTTTAATGCATTTAAGTGTAAGCACAGGTATTTTGCTCTCTTACTAAGTGGATCCTGTGTGTACCGTGACAGTTAGTTTTAGTAGAGGTTTTACAGCACTCGCAACTGCATTAGGTCATATGAGTGCCAGAAGATTAGAGGTGTTACAAGAGAGTAACAAACATAAAAAAGAAGGGGAGATAAGGACGAGCTGTTCTTACTTTGGTGTATGATATTCTTGTGTCTGTACAGAGGGCGTCCAACCAAGGTCCCTCTGCCCTTCCCAGCTGTCATGGTTGCTGCCGGCAGCCACCACTCGGCCTTCTTGCTGACCAGCGGTCAGATCTACACTTGTGGAGATCATCAAGTTAGTGCTTACTCTTTGACTGTTTGTTTTTGTAGTTTCTCCTTCATGGTTGTTGGTTCAGCAGTTTTTGATGAACAGTTCAATCAAAAAAATCTCTTCATAATGTTCTTTTTAAAGTCTAAATACTCTAAGAAAAGGAAAGCGCATGATTTCACCGAGTAGCCTCAGGTAAAAACTATAGGGAAGGCTTGAAAGATACAACTCTTAGCTTTAACAGAAGACTGATGGTAGAATGGCACAAAGTGTTTAGGTTGGAATTAGTCAAGATTTAATTATAATTTATTTAATGTTTTAATTATGTTTTCCAATTTTTTAGAAAGGTGCTTTGGGTCGCAATGGCCTGGACGAGTCCCCAGTGAAAAGCAAACACACCCCATGGTACAGTGTGCCTGGGCCAGTGCCTAATGTGGGTGAGTAGTCTTGTTTTTTTCTTGTCATCTTGTATTTTTGATGTATTGAATTGATTTATTAATAACACATTTTCTCTTTCTCTCGGTTTTTGCCAAGCTTTTGCATAATTGATACATACTATGTACCTAATTATTTGCCTTTATGTGTAGGCTAAATCATGTTTGTATAATGAACTGACAAGAGTTACTGTGTTACTGTTAGAAAAGGATTGGCCCCCCACGTTGTCATCATGATTGTTAGCCTCCGTTGGTCATTGATGCCTACCCCATGCGTCGTTATGTCCTCTCCTTCCTCTCATTTGATTTGTGTCAGGCCTGGTACTTTAGTTTTTTGTTCCAGTTGGTAACATTGTTGATATATGATTAATGCCCATCCCCATTTGAAACTGTTGAATTTTTTGTTGTGAAAGTGACATTACTCATTTGTTTATTTGGCTGCAGGTGCCAAGTATGGCAGAAGGGCAACATGGATTGGGGCAAGTGGTGACCAGACTATCATGAGGATTGACGAGTCACTGATCAATGCTCACACTCTCACCCGCTCCAATATTTTTGCCAGCAAGACATGTATTGGTAAGAATTTTGAAGTCTTTTTTGTGTAGCAATTGGTCGCTTTTAAGGACATGTGGGCTATCTCGAAATATGCTGTTTTGAGAAAATGGAAGGTAAAGTTTTTGCTCCTGTTCAATTTCATTAAAAAACAAGGAGAGTTTTCTCAATAACTAAACAAATATACACACCAATGAAACCAAACTTCTCCTGTAGGTAGGGCAATGCCCACTCTTGATGTAGGTCAAGATTTCTGGATTCCCTTTGAATCTGGGTTAGCCCGCTTGTCCTTAAAAGCGACCAATTTTACTCTACTGTCCTTTGTTGTTAGTATTTCAATAGCTTCTCTGGGACTTCATCCCATACTGTCGTTTAAAAAAATGTTGCTATTTGTCAATTTCATAATTTCATAATTTAAAAAAAATGTTTTTTGATTTTGTATAGATCAGGCATCTGTGTTTATCTGCAACATTTCAGGTTTGATTCCTAGAGGTGACGAGAATCCAGGAGCAATGAAGTGTCTCATGATCAGCAAGTCTGATGGCAACTGCAAAAGGTAACACGCTCAATCATAATTAAAGCAAGGAATAATAAATTTATTTTATATTTGCTTAAGTTTCAGGGAATAAACATTTGTAAAAGGAGCAACTTTTGTGGATAGTTACCTGTTTCTCCCACTTTTGCAGTATGATACTTTTTTTGCATTTAACACTGGCAAGACCCAATTTTTAAAGTTTTCATTTGTTTATGTTTTGTCTTTTCTCTTGAACTGGATCAAACTTAGATATGCATAATGCCAACTATGCATTATGTTATCGATGTGAGATTTCATTTAGATTTTGATTAAAGATGATATTATAACATTATTAGAGAGAAGGAGGAAGAAAAGAGATGAGAAAAACAATACAATTCTTCATCAGGCTGCGGCTCATTGGCACTCAATTCACCCATAGCGACTTATAGTTAATCTGTGATTTAGGTCATGCTTTTCTACGAAGCTTTCAAGGCACTAAATTCAATCCAATCGCCTTGTTTTTCTAGATTTATGTCGTTTTCCGCTTATCCCCAAAACAAAACGGAAAATGTGGTTCATGTATTTTAACAAACACATAATGGCCTTTGCACAGCTGTTTTTTTGGTGGTTGTTTCTTTGTCTTCTCATCACCTAACTTATTTTGTTACAGTTTGTCTTAGTATTTAACAATTTCAATAATTTTTGTGCAAAGAAAAGAGGGAATTTATTTTTCATATCGTGGGGGATATTTTATTTCTCTTGGGAAAACCCGGAAACGTGGATAAGAGCTCAGTTTTGTATAGTAATACCCACTACGTCTATTTACACAGACCGGATGTGACTCAGGCCCTACGTATATCTATGTAGGCTGGATGAAATGAGTTAAATGACTTACAGACGAATTCTGTGATTGAAGATGAGAATGGCTTTGGCAGAATTATTTTGGAAGAAAGTGCATTGGAAGGCATAATCTAAATAACTCAATAGTAGGGGCCATGCTGAAATGACTAAAGGGAATGGTTTTGTGGGGTCAAAAGTCACAAAGGAAATGAGACTGACAAAAGCCCACAAACAACAAGCAGGCTTCTTGAAATGCCACACATTTTTCGTGTATGTTGGTCACCCTCTTGCCTGATAAGGTTTTACTTTTTTGGCTTCCAAAGCTTCTCGGATGATGAACAGGAGGACCTGAGCCACCAAGCTGTGTGTCTGGACCCAGTTTATGATGTGTTGTGGGGGTGAGTACTTGTGTGTGATGTGTTGTGGGGGTGAGTACTTGTGTGTGATGTGTTGTGGGGGTGAGTACTTTTGTGTGGACCCAGTGTGTGATGTGTTGTGGTGGTGAGTACTTGTGTGTGGACCCAGTGTGTGATGTGTTGTGGGGGTGAGTACCCTGTTTTTGAACCAGTGTGTGATGTGTTGTGGGGGTGAGTACTTGTGTGTGGACCCAGTGTATGATGTGTTGTGAGGGTGAGTACTTGTGTGTGGACCCAGTGTGTGATGTGTTGTGGGGGTGAGTACTTGTGTGTGGACCCAGTGTGTGATGTGTTGTGGGGGTGAGTACCCTGTTTTTGAACCAGTGTGTGATGTGTTGTGGGGGTGAGTACTTGTGTGTGGACCCAGTGTATGATTTGTTGTGGGGGTGAGTACCCTGTTTTTGAACCAGTGTGTGATGTGTTGTGGGGGTGAGTACTTGTGTGTGGACCCAGTGTGTGATGTGTTGTTTTAGGAACCAGTGTGTGACAATGTTGTCAATTATATCAATAGTAAACTGTGAGTCCAACTTACTACTTTCAAAGCTAACAGTGTGCGAGTGCTTTGTGAACAAACTATATTGAGAAGTAATGAAAGCGGGATACCAAGAGATCTTTAAAGACAAAAATAAAACTTTACCTAATGTCAGACTTGCACAGTTTGCAACTGTTACTGTTTTGTTCTTCATAGCTTCATGCTTTTCCTCAGTTCACTCTCTTTCAGTGGGTGGTTGCCGGGTGCTCTGGTGCGGTTTGCTTCTTCTTTCCTGTGAAACATCTATCGTCCTTATCTCCCCTTCTTCTTTTTTATGTTTGTTACTCTCTTGTAGCACCTCTAATCTTCTGGCGCTCATATGACCTTATGCAGTTGCGAGCGCCGTAAAACCTCTACTAAAGCAAAAAACTCTCTTTCAGTTTATTGTTCACAGCTTCGTACTTTTTATTTCACTCCATTGCATTATATGTGCATTGCACCTCATGCTTGACATCTTCTATTGTTTAGGTACAACCCTCGCAGTCAAGAGATCCGCTGCTACAACGTGCTGGTCAGTGAGGCCCAGAGCCTTACCAAGATTGACCCGGGCTACTGTGACATCTTCAGCCCTGAACTCGCTGTGCCCACCCGCATTGGGTGTCAGGCCACACGCTCTCACTGTGCTCTACACATGCTAGGTGGGACAAAACATTGGCTTTTTTTTATATGCATAAAGAGGAAAGATTTAAAAAGGAAAATTTTTTCTTTGCTTTTGTTGCTTTCTCTCTTTTGGTCATAAAGCATGCATAAAGGGAATGTCAACATGATGAAGCAAGTAATTTCCATCTTAGCTTAGTAATCAGTGATGTTCAGTAGTCACATTTATAATTGTCACTGTTCATATTTATTATTAGTTTTTCGAAACACTATAAAAGGATACACATTATCCTATCATTTAAAAAAGATAAAATAGTCCTGTGAAATATAATTAAAGACATGAATAGAAATAACATTTTTGTTCCACAAAAGCATCATGTTTCGTATCTAATAAATTGCACAGGAAGTGCGTCATTACATGGTTTACCGTGGGAGGGTGGGTTGGGTTGGAGTGGATGGTAGGAAGAAGTGCAATGCTGGTTGTGATTAGCACTCTTTAATGCACATTATTATTGGTGCTTTTATTACTCTCTATCACCATCTACCATTATCACTATTGTTATTATTGTATTATTGTCATTATAATCATTGCTGCTCCCTCAGGTTGCCTGGACACTCTGACTGTAGCCAACCAGCTGAAGCTGCAGGTGGCGGAGGAGTCTCGGGAGAAGGCGGCCATAAGCAAGGTTTACAGCAAAGAGGACTATACAGTGGTCAACAGATTTGAAAGTGAGGAAATTTTACTTTGATGTTATGCTCACCATGTAACTGAATGAAATAAGTCAATTCTTTCTTTGTTCTTAAACATTGCAGAGGTCATTCTGCCGATCTTTATTTGAAATTTTATGTCCGCCTGCACTATTAACAGTGCAAATGTACATTGAGTTAACTTTTGCATCTTTCCTTATTGGTCTCATCTACCACAGCAGAAGCCACAAGTCATGGTAACTTTTAATTCTTCAAATTCTTCTATTTTGCTGGAGAAATATTCTCTTCTGCAGATGTATTGTTCATCGTCAGACATTGACGGACAAGCTATTATTGTTATTATTATTCTCTTATCATTTGAGTTGGAACCATTTTCTTTTCTTAGTTGAAAAAATATCAAGATACCAGTTGCATGGATAATATTTAACACCATGAATGTGCTTCTCAAAGACAACACTGTCTGTAGATCAAGATAGTTTCAAACACCCTGAGATATGAGCCGCTCAGTGTTTTATGGCTGGTCTTGTTTGTTGACGAGATGGATTTTTTTTGTGGGGGGGGCGAGTTAGAGGTTTTAAGACCTGACTGGTTTAGGATGTCATCTTCTTGATCCCTTTCCTGCTTGTGAGCTGTGTGGTGGGGATATGTATCAGGCATGGTACTGAAGGAAATAAAGGGGTTTCCCGTACAGTGTTGCTTTACTGCTTTCCTTCCCGCTTCACAAATTTTCCTTGGTCAGTCCACACATCTGGCCCGTGACTGCTCTGTATGCTGATTTTGGGCCTGAATGTTAATTTTTATTCAGTGTCTCTTCTTATGCCGCACAGAGGGACAGACCTTGCTTTTGACACTCTTGTCTTGGTATAGGTTTAGTGCTCCTATCAATACTATAAAGTTATTTGAGTGGCCGGACCTCAGAATTTAACGTCTATCTCCGAAAGGAGATGAAACTGTTCTCATGTGAGGAAAAGTATATTTGATAATGAACCATTGACTTTCAGCATACTTCGACGTGTTCATGAAAGACGAACTTTTGGGGCAGAGACATTTGTACTTAAGCTGGTTCTTGCTGAATTTTATGAACTAAGATGACTAAAATAGAACATTGAAGTCTGTGATGTCATACGGCAATTGTTTTGCACCTTTTACAGTTATCGAAGTAAACATACACATATGATGCTCAATATATTTGTTTCGATGCATTTTTAAAGAAATAGCAATGAAGTTGAGAGTAGGGAGATAATAAACTGACCTCAATTACCCCTATTTTTTTATTTTCACTTTTGAGAGTTCTTAGCTTGTGTGTCAGGTTCTTAACACTTTGCAGTCACACAGCCAGCAGTACAAAATACCCCATCTGGTCACCCAGAGTGACTGCAACGGACTTCTCAGGCCAGGCAAAGGGCAGAATTGCACCAGGTGACCAGTACGGATATTTTGCAGCGGCAAGTGACCTCAAAGTGTTAATAGTTTGAGAAGGCCAGAGCAGCTTTAAGTTGAATAGAAATCTTCAAAATCCTCGAATGGTCAAACTGAATTGTACCCAGGGTTCGTTATTGCATGTTTTAACTTTGTTTCCATTTTCTCCTGTCTGTCCCAGGTCATGGAGGAGGCTGGGGTTACTCTGGTCACTCGGTGGAGGCCATACGTTTTATGTGTGACACAGACGTCCTGCTCGGGGGGTTTGGTCTCTTTGGTGGTCGAGGAGGATACCTTGGGAGGATTAAGGTAATGCAGCAGCTTTGTGATCACATTGATATGTTAGGTCAGAGTCAGAGTGCAAATGCGTATGTCATTTTAAAAATGTTTTCAGACAACTTTAGAAAACAGTGCTTACTTAAGTAAACTTTATGACTTGAGCAAAAGTGAAATTCTCCTAATCATGGTTTTTTTAGTATAGGAAACAAAACTGCTAGATTGAGGATATCATCAGTGGCGCAAGCAATCCGGTTTAGTCTGTTTGGATACTTTTTACCACTGAGACAAAAAAAACAACTTTTGTTATGTTTTACCTGTCAGGAATCATGAAAAGCAAGAAAATTGTAAGCCCTGACCATAGCATTAAACTACATTTTGGTGATGTTGAAAAGTGCATCTTTGATAGAGCTTTGGGAGGGTGTAAAAATTGAAAATTCTCAAAATTTGGACTTGAATGGCTTACTTTTGACAGCAACGATATGTAATAGGTAACAGTTTCTGCCCATCCGTCACATTTTTAGTGTCTGGAGGAAGCATGTGTTATATTCTACCTTTTTACTTTTTTTCTGTTTCATCTATCTTTCCACTTGCATTTTCCCAGCACTGAATGACAGTGATTATGTCACCTTGCTTCTCTGTACTCAATTTTAAGTTTCTGCTGTTGTGTCATTGGAATAAACTACTTGCAGGTGGTTGGAAGGCGCCACTGGTAGGCCCTTCTTTTCTCTCCCTCTTTCTTTGTTTCAGAGGGTTATTATGTCAGTATCTTTCTCTTTACTGTAAGTAAAGATTTTTCAAGCTTTGTCAAATCCAAACTGCTTCTTTTCACAGCTTTTCGAGCTTGGTGTTGAAGGTGGAGAGAATGAGGGTGATGGAGAGCTTCTTGCAGAGACTGAGGAAACTCAGTTTGTTTGTGGTGCCAGGTAGTTTTTCATTTTTGACTTTAAGGGGTAAAATTCATTTTCAGTGCGATAAACCACTGTACATATAGCGTATGGCATTGCTTTTTTGTGTTCTGCATTCCTATTCCAATATGGTTTGCAATATATTTTTTATTTTTTATTGTTTTAATCGAATTTAATATTTTGTAGTTAGTACCTGCCCTTGTAGAGTTCGTCTTGTGTTAAAAAAATTACATCTGTTATTTGGAGTCACTTAGAAGAGGGGTTTGCTAATCTAGTATTTTGGACTCTGAGTCCAATTCCCAGTTGTTGCAGAATACAGTTGGTTAGTATGGAAATAAGTTATAAATAAAACAACCCCTCCCCAGCTGAGGTGCTGTTCCTATAATGGTTGAGCAGAGTGCGGGAACATCTGTATCATTTGTGTGTTCTTTACTTCCTCTTTCCCTTACTCTCAACTGGACCAAGGATCTGCTTTTAAAATTATTTTGTGTTTAATAAAGCGTGGAACTTTTACTTTCAAAAGTTGGGAGAAGAAGAACTTCATGTTGTGCTGTGCATTACACTTTTACATAATTTAAAGTAGAAAAGGTAAGCTATTATTTGTCATGAATAATGTCAAACTTTTACACATACTAAAGCATGAACCCAGAAAAAGTTGAGCTTACATCTGTTTCATTACAGGGAGAAGTATTCAATGCTTTTCGATGAGCCTGTACCCATTCAGGCCAACTTCTGGTATGTGGCCTGGGCCAGGATCTCTGGTCCAAGCAGCGACTGTGGGGCCAATGGTCTTGCGACAGTTCACACTGAAGACTCGTGAGTTGCCATTTTTTGTTCAGTCAATTTCTTGACTTCAGAGGTCCCATGAATATTGTGATTTATACGTTTGTAAAAATTTTGTTATTTTAATTTACCTGGCTATTCATTCTGATGACCTCATGGGCTCTTTAAAAATGTAGATTTTTGGGCAAAAATTTTATCTGCTGAAAATCTATGTAAAAGATTAGAAATACCATTCAAAGGATTCCAACTACGTTATTTTGTGGGTTTTTTAAACAGTTTTGAACACCCTCATCTTGATTTTGTGTTTTTGTTAATGTTGTGTATGAAGCCCTTCTAGGATGAAAGAGAGCGTGGGGGTGCAGTCGATGAATTGCTCTTTTGTTTTTTCCCATGGAGGATTTAATGTGGCTCTACTGACAGATTTTGTTTGATATTGTGTTTTCGAAGTATCGTTTACAACAGACTCGTAAAATGAGTGTGAAATGTTAAAAGCCTTGATGATCAATTTCTCTTTTCAGAGTTGTGTTCAAGTTCAAGAGTTCCCGCAAGTCGAATAATGGCACGGACGTCAATGCTGGACAGTTGCCACAGCTGCTCTACAAGTAAGTCTTCAACTTGTTTCATCTCAAAGTGAGACCTGTAGTCAAAGCTGAATGATTTTTTAGCTATTGGAGAACACTTTGAGAAAATAATGTTAATGGTAGTCTGGTATGGGCTATGGCGTAGGTGGGTAATAGGTGATTGGAGGGTGCTGTTGGCAGGTCCTACTTCTTTTCTTTCCCTTTGTTGCATATCATTGTTTTTCTTGCTTTGTCCCTGGACGAAATGACAGTTATAGTGTTGCTGTGCTTCTCTTTCATTGAACTTCGTTGTGGTAGGGTTTGTTCCTTCTTTTTCTTTTTCTCTGTACAACCTATTTGTCCTTACATGCTTCCTGGAGAGATGGGGCAATAAACTTGATAGACTACAACTCAATAGTGGAGGAAGACAAAAATTACATTTGTGTTGATTGTTTAACTGTATATTTAGACTGATATATTCTCTGAGAATTTGACAGAAGTCACTGCCAATGAATGAACAGTTTTCATGAAAATTTGCTTTTGATGTTTACAATAGCAACTGTGACTGATTAATCATTTTCCTCCCCCCATCCCTGCAGACTTCCACCTCGAGATAGCCCAGCAGTCACACGGAAGGCTGATCAAGTGGACCCAGCGCACATCTTGAGCACAGATTTTTCGCATCTGGTCTCACCGGTAAAGAAAAAAATGTTCTGACATTCTTTTTGTTCTCTTTTGTAATGTTTATACCGATTCATATATTTCATCTTAATATTTTATCATAATATGACTCAAAAGACAGACTTATTGAAAACATTTAGAACCAGCGCCTGTGGTTCAATGTTTAAGTTCTTGGTGAGTTTGGTCCCTCAGTGGGTAACTTATTCTATCAAGTTTTGTCCCTGTCTGTCTGTTGGAAAGTGTATTCCGTTTAGCCTGGGTTGGCTCTGAGAGGATGGGTCAAAGTAACCAGGCTCCTAAATAATTAAAATTGTGTGAATGAGGGTGAAAACAGTCACAAATTTAGGGTCGTTGCAACCCTCCTTGTAAACTATCAAAATTATGTTCATGAGGGCATAAAACATTTACTTAGGAGTCAAAAACCTTTCCACCCAGCAAAGTGTACAGTTTTTCATGGTGCTGTTTGTTCCCAGCAAAGCCTGGAGGCCCTCCTGAAGCTGCTGGAGTACAGCTGGTCCGCCCTGCACGCCACAGTCCCCACAGCCTCAGGCTTCAAGGGAGAGCAGGAGGAGGTGCTGTCTGACCTCCAGAGGATCGTCTTCATTGCCAGGGCGTGCCTGAGGCTGCTTCGTACCTATGTGGCTGACATCTACCCTGATGGAGGTATTTGGATTTGTTTGTTTGTTTGTTTCTTTTTTTTCTTTTTTTTTCGCGTCTTTTGTCCTAGATTAAAGTCTTATCAGACTCAAGTAAGCCTACGATTGGAGGGCACCACAGATTATACTTCTTTTCTCTTTCTCTGTCGTTTTTTTTTTCTTTGCTTTTTACTGAAAGTAAATGGCTGTTGTGAATTTGTTTCTCTATCCATTAAGTCTTTTCAAAGACTGGGCTTTAGTTGGTGGCCTAGTGGTTAAGGTACCGGATTGGTAATCGTGAGTTGCAGGTTTAGGGGTTTGAGCCGTGGGCTCGATGTTGTGTCCTTGGGAAAGGCACTTTACCCGAATTTCCTCACTTCACCCAGGTGGGAATGGGTGGAAAGATCTTTCAGTATGTTAGTGTTTTTGGGCCTATAAATGGCTGCTTGCACTGTGTGCTTCCCAGAAAGTTGAGGTTGTTTCAGAATGCTCTCAGGTCTGTTGGGGTAATAGTATAGATTGTGAAACGCATAGAGCTTGCTGTTAAGCGGGGATTTGCGCTTTACAAATGCTGTCTACTATTATTTAGTTGCAACGGTAAGAATAAAGGAAGACAGATATGGAGTTGAAATCGCTGTGGAAGGCTTGACCATGAATGTCTCTATGCACTCCTTTACCAATAGAAGGGACTGCACTTTCTGATGATGAGCAGTGGGTTTTTTTTTATCCTTAACCCACATGGTGATTTACTAAAAGGGAAATAAGGTCTTTGTCTTTTAGGCACTTGAGTGTGTACATCTGTGTTTCTCATACTGTTTTGGAGCAGGATATGGAGCAAATTCTCTTTTTTCCTTGACACTCGTCTAATGAATTTTACTAAAGCTACCTCTTGACTGTCATGGCCATCTTTGCGACTCATTGGAGTTGTAACTGTGCGTGTAAGTTGTACATAACTTTCGTACTTGCACATTCACCGCGAGTGTGTAAAGGCATATCACCTAAGTTGTTCTTACTATATGTATCCCGGAACCACTTTCAAAACTGTTTTATTGAATGTGTTGTGAAAATAAGTCTGTATTTTGGTCGCAAGCTTTCATGTCCTGAGAATATTCAGTTCATTGCCCTATACATTGTATGTTTTTATGTTTCTTGTTCTTTTTTTTGTCTTTTGGTAATGTTTTCAGGATTTGTTTATATTATTTGACTCAAAATTAATATCTGTGAGTGGAAGCTTTTAAGTGAGCTCTGACAAATGAACTGGTCTCTTTGCAGCACTACTCTAGGGATCAATGACAAGAATATTTGTTTTTGTAGAAAGCTATCTGACTTCGCCAGCCACTATCTCCAAATATTGGCTTAGCAGAAGTAAACACATTCTTTGATAATTCATTAGGTACTTTTGTTTCTGTACTGAAAGTATTCCTATAAAAGGGAAGAATACACTTTTTCTTAGAAAACGTAGCCAGAAGCTGAGAGTCGTGGTCTTGATCTAATCTGCCGGCTGCAGGATGACTGGACATACTAATGTGTGGGTTCTTCGAGCTTATCTTAAAACTGATCTGACAGTTGTAGTCTCACAACTTGACTATGGTGTCCTCGTTCACAGTGATTAAAAAGAAGACGCCACCAGAGTCCTCCCACCTTGCAGAGCGCGTGGGTGATGCCCGTGACCTTTTGCGCAGAATCCTGGCGGAGGACCTTCACCTGGGCAAGTTCCGTGTGAGCCTGTCAGAGCACCAGGGCATGCGTCGGTACCGGCAGATGCGTGAGGACGTCCTGAACGAATGCCACGCCACCTTCCGCACATGCTTCCATGCCTTCTACCCGACAGGCCACCTCAAGTGGTGGTGTCTCTGTGACCTTCTCTGTCAGATGGAGCCGGTGAGTATTCTAGGTGGCTCTCAGTTGTTGGGAGTGGGACAAATGATTTCATGTTTTGATGGGAAAAGATGGCTTATTTTAGCTCAAATTTTGCCAGGCTGTTTTTGGCTGTTTGGTTACAGTTGGCAGATACATGTTGGGGATGGGTAAATAGATATTTGAAGTATATGAAGGGTGTAGCTTTCTGGGGAAAAGTCAAGTAATCTTTGATGTTCCAGATGGTTTTGTGTACTCTTAATTTGAGAGCATCCAACTATGTGGAGGTAATGGGAACATCTAATTTGGAGTCTTTACAAACCAGTACTCATTGAAGTGTGTGCTCATCGCCTTGCCTCCATTTCTTTCATCCTGTAAAGTGCTCTTGTTTATTTCCAGGGTAGTGTGTAAGAAACTATTTTAAAACAGGGAAAGACATTTTGATGTTAATATTACCTCGGGTAAAGAAATGGGTAACATTGAAAGATTAGGGAAACATAGCTTTTTTAAGAGCCTCCAAGCAAAGGATTGAATGGAGAACTATGATCGCTGATGTCTGTCGCAGATCTGGCACTGGATGATGATGATGGTTACCTTGGCATTTGATTGTGATGATTAATTCTTGCTAGTGAATAACAATGAGAGATAATACTTCTGGATGTGTAGCCTGCTTAATGTGCCCTTACTTACTGAATTCACAGGTGTTGAAGTTTTACAGTTCTCTATCTCTTTGCCGAGTGTTTCACTTCAAAACAGGATCTAGATCATTCTTTAATTTTTTTCGTACTTAATTGCCTGCCTTACAATTTAAATGTTAGCTTTCCTTAAAAAAAAACAAGGATGCTCCCCTCTATAGGGCAAAAGGGATGAAGTAAGATTACCACATTTATAGGGATTATGATATTAAATGCTGGGCGAGAGGTCAAGATGTCCCATGTTTGTGTTTGTACCATTTCATCATCTATAGTTGCTGTGTCCTACTTTTGATTTCTCACTGTTTCTTGTAATGAGTCTATCAGCTTTCCCACACCTGCCATCACATCAGTTTCTTATTTGAAATTGTTTTACATTTGGTACCTTGTGTACTATGAAAACAGTGATGTGTCAGTGTTTTCAACACATGCTCCAAATATACACTATTCGGGTGGTTAGCAGATGCTCTGGTGTGGTTTTCTTCTTCTTTCCTATCCGATATCTATCGTCTTGATCTCTCTTTTTTAAAATGTTTATTTCTCACTTGAAACACCCCTGATCTTGGGCATTTATATGACCTAATGTGTTGCAAGTGCCGTAAAACTCTTACTAAAACTAACTAATATACACTACATTCATTCTACCTTTATGTACCCTGCGAATATTTCAACGAATAAAGGTTTCATTCCTTGAGGTATGTGGAGGGTGTGATTTCTTTAGCGCTGTAGTGCGTGCTACCATTACTATAAAAATGCATGAACACAAGGGCCTTGTTACGAGATGGTCAGGTCAGGGGAAAAGTTTGTCCAGTCTTCAATTCAGTAAGTGGTAGACTGGTTTTATTTTTGGTGCGTGTTTGGGTGCTCACAGTTTGTGTTTTATAGCCTATATGGGAGGTATTTCCGGGTCTTCTCCACGCTTTAGTTTCTCTATCAAGATAGCTATGGCTTGAGGGCTGTTTTAAAGATGTTCAAGTATGAGGATGCAGACATATGACGTCATGGTCACATCCCTTAAGTCGTTTGTCTTACGTTTGTCATAGTGAGGATGTATTTAATTTAATCTATTTCTGCACTGCCAAATGCACTGCAGTCTTAGTCACCTTGTATTTGAACCATGTGGGTTGACTGCAGTAAAACGGGACTGATGGCAGAACTAAGGTCAGTAGCGAAGAGGGTCAACTTTGTTGATGGTTTGTGAAGCTGAGAAGACTTTTCACAGGGAACGGAGACTGGGATTCTTCTAAAAATGCATGTTAGGAAAGTACCTTTGTTCTGGTCTAGGTCAAAGTTGAAAGCATACTTAAACTACCAACGTGCTTCGCGTCCGATGAATGGCTCTCTTTGATCAATGCTTATAGTGCCAGAAGAGATATAACATTATCCGTGATTGCCAAGTGATGATGGATCTCTACAAATCAAAAGCTTCCTTGTAATCGTTTCATGTATTAACTGTCAAAACAAAAAAAGAACCTTTTTTTCAAATGATCTAGCTCTGAGTTTTAAAAAAAATTAAAAAGTCATAAAAGTAGTCCGATTTTAGGATCAGTATGTCTTCTCAAAGATTAGTAGAATGAAAAGTTTTCCTGATGCAATTGATAGCTTGAGGAATGTAATCTTGGCTTTTAAATTCTTGCTTTATTTCCTTCTTTATTTATTTGAAAATGGGTGTCCAAGATTTCTTATTGTGCGTGACATTGCAGGGCAGTGGAAAATCTGTTGCTTGGAAGCTTTGGGTCAGAAAATATAATATTCAAACCAATGAGACTCAAAACCTCTTTGATAAAATACTGTGAAAATATTATTCCCTTTGAGGAGTCATTGTCTCATGGGACAACAGATCTTTTGATGCTATATCTTTAACTCTTTATCTCCGAGGGGGGTAAACCCACTATGCTGGGGCCATATTTTGGTACTAAATCTAAAAATGACGAAAACGTCACTATATTGGTAATTAAATCAAAACAAGTGTACCTGTTTTGATGGTTCTTCATCTAATGAAAGAGACCTGTTTTTGACAATTGCCGAAAAGTAATTTAATGTCGAAGTCGTCATAAAGGAATGTGCCCGAGCCGCTGTCAGCGGCTGACTGGCACAGCGGTTCCGACCACGAGCTGCTGGGAACAGCTTGCCGGAGATAAAGAGTTAAAGTCATGGTGTAAAGAGATGTATTTTGATCATGATCTTGCTTTTTTGTTGTTGTCGTTTAGTGTTTGGTTTTGATAAAAAGTAGACATGGATATGCGAAAATGAATTATATAAATAAGGATGTGGACTTTGCATGTTAGGTTGTCCCTTTTTAATATCGATAGTGAGACGGGCAGTGAAAAGTAGTAGAATTTTGAATGGTAAATATGGAAGGATAATACAGCTTACTAATTTATAGCCTTTGTTCTCCCTGGTTTTATTCCTTAATCTTTTTTCTGTCACTCATTAACTTTTTGTAATTTATTCAGTCATGTATTTCACTGTTATTTAAAAAATTATAATTTTTTTTTTAGTAATGAGCCATTACGCTGTTAATTTTATTGGTCTTTAGGAGGTCAAGAGTGATTGTAGCAGATGAAGGGGAGCATGACATTTTTTATCATATGATTGATGTGTGCACATATTGCATAAATAGTGCAATAAGTCTTGTGATTTAAATGTCTCCGTTAATATTACAAATTAGCTGGCCGTGATTATTGTATGGTAGGGAAGTGGGAGAGATAAATAGGCTTAAAAGGTGGGAGAGGGACCGTTTGATTAATATGCTGTGTTGCTTGAGATAAGTGACTTTCTTTGCTGGTCATGTGATACTGACTGATGTTCATTTGATTGATTTGCTCCTATTTGTGACCTTTTTGTTTCCTTTTTGTGAACCTATTTTTTGGGGAATTATATTGCTTTCCCAATTTGTGACTTTTTAAAATTGTTCTGTTCGTGCGTTTTGCCACCAACTGACACACTGACTCTCTCAACCCACTCCAGATAATCGAAAGAAGAGGGACAGGACAGCAGGTGTGTACTACTCAGTGTTACAGATGCCTTTCTTTGCGAAATAGTTGTACCTCAATGTAGTGCCTTGAGATTCCTGTAGAGATGTGTAGCTGTCAGGCGATAGGTGGAAGACTGAGCACATTTCATTACATTATCTTTTGATCATAGACAATTTTGGGGATCATTTTCTCTATTATTTTTTTTTTCTACTGTTTACCACTTAGTTTTCTGAGGAAGGTGCTAGGTGGTCATTCTTATGTCGTCTACTCCTTCTTCTTTAACACTTTGCCGTCACTTGGCGCAATAATGTGATGATGAAGATTATCCGTTCCGGTCACCTGGCTGTGCCAGGCCCGAGAAGTCCTTTGCAATCGCTCTCCTGGCTGGGTGACCAGATGAGGTGTATTTTGTGCTGCTGGCTGCTAAGTATGTAAGGAATGCGGTTATTGTTTTGACTTGCTATAGTCTCAACTGTACTAGGGAGGATGGGGGGGGGGGGGGGGGGGGGGGGGTGAGAGGTTTTTTTCCTAATGCTTGTCTCTTATTCAAACCTATTTATTCTTAAATTTAAGATTTTTGACATCTTCTTTTGAGTAAGACTTCAGCAGAAGTCCTATCCTTGAGTGCATGTTATGAAAGGTCATTGAAAGTTCCCTTTAAGCTCTTGCCTAGTGGATTGTTATAGGATGCTTGTTTTCTTCTTTTATAAAGTGTAGAATGTTTCAATTGCAATCTCAGAATGGAATGCCAGTCTCTTTGTCCTATCTCCACTTACATCCAGCTTGAGTGCACAGTTTTTATTCTAAGTTAGTGGCTACAGAGTATAACATTTTTCTGCTCTGTATGACATTGTGTTATGAGTACACCTTGGGATTTGTTGTAATGATAATGAGATACACCATGGCCTCAAATTCTGTCACTACTGCACAGTTTAACATCGTGGGTTTTTGCTTTGGTTTGGCTTTCTTTGTGGAGGTTCTGTTTACTTATTTTTATTTTCTTCATACCTCATTTTGGTATGCTTTAGTGGAAGCATTTTGCAGACGCACGCTGTATGTTGCTTGTCATATTATCGTTTGCTTGTTCTGTAATTGATTAACACCCACTAGCTTCAGCATTTTGTGTTTTTAATAATTGCCTTCTGAAAGCACAGTTCTTTTAATGTAGCTTTTAGTTCATTTGTTCATATCTTTTGATAGCTTGTCTTCTACTTTGAAGAGGCTATTGTTCAAAAGAATGAATGGTTGGAGGACGCCACTGTTGCGTCTTATTTGTTTTTTGTTTCCCTGTTGTTTCTGTCTATCTTGCTCTTTCCGTGCACTGAAATCGTCATTACTGTGTCAATATACCTCTCTTTACTCAAAAACTACTGAGTTTATTTCCAAAACAGTGGATCTGATTTAGTATGCGTTTTCGTTGATTTTTTTTGGTATGATCTAATGTGGATATTTTGCTGATATTGCTTTTTCCATCAGTAATGATTCACATGGCTATTGCTTGTAATGCTGCCGTTGTGACGATAGTTTGCAATGTGAATCATAAAACTAGTTCTTTTTTTACAAACAGACTTATCAATTGTTTTATTTCCGTTCTTTAATCTTCTTGGAACTTCCTCATCTCAAAACCTCTCTTTCAGTCTGTGCTTGTTTTCGTTTGTATTTTGCGATTTTATCCTCGTTTACTGCTGGTGCCCCTTGTGGTCTTGATCTGCTAGGCAATTTCTGTGATATAAAGTAATCCTTATTGTAGCCTACTTACAAGCAATCTTGTTTTTTTAAAAAGCATTTCCGAATGCAAATGAAATTATGGGTTGTTCAAAATCTAGAGTAATCCTTTAAATATGATATGATACCTTCTGTCAGAATATCGTGTTGCCCACTGCATTTCACTAGAATCATTCAGTGAGCATTTATTGATGTACAGAACTGGAAAGGCACTTGATGGGACCCACTGTTGCTTTAACATGTATGTTTTGTTGTTGTTCTTTAGGGGGTCTCTTTGTACCTCATTTATGCAGCTCTTTTGTATTTTGCAAATCGCAGCCCGTGACACCCAAAAGGGTTTAAGCGGTGGATAAAAGTAAAGTAAAGCAAATCACAACAGGAGTCTACTAGCAGAACAATGGAAAGTTTTAGACCAGGTTGTAGACTACTTCACAAGATCAAGTATTTCCTGTCAAGTTTTTGAACATAAATCTCTACATCAAGACTCAAGATAATAGTCAATAGTGTAGGCCTACCCAGTATGGGTTCTGAGCACATGACTTTACGCTAGTGAGACCCAAACATGGCACTCGCATCTGGAGGAAAAGTCTCCACAGCTTTATTATCAAATGCTTTGGAAAGGTTCTAGCCACAACACAGCCTGACAACATTACAAATGTAGAGATACTGGAAAAGTATCTGGGTTTTTTCAAAACTATTTTCTTTTCTCATACAACCCAGATTGGAATGTTGAGGATGCCCACATCAAATAAAACATGGGAAAGTAAGGAAAGAACTTCTCCATTGAAAAGCAAAGAATTAGAGAATGAAAGCAGCCAGCAGCTTTTTAGACTCAAGGATGTCTGCAAGAGGGAACTTTACCTAAACTGAGATCTATATTAGAAGCAGTTAACAAATGACAGAAGATGGCAGTGACTGATAAAGAGAAGTCAAGACCTTGTCTCCAGATTAAAAAAAGACTTAAACAGTGAAGGTTGAGGCATAGAATCCAAACCATGTCCATAGCTGCTCATCTCTCTTTTCCAGCATCCACCCGAGGGTCTTCGTGCTAATTGTCTCCATGAGGAGCTGGTTTGAATGAACGAATGAAAAATTTCCATCCTTTCCTTGTGCTCCCAGCTTTTGATATTTTTTGTTTTTGCACCGATAGGCCTAATTAGCTAACCCCCCCCCATCATCGTCACAGGACTTGGAATGTATATGATTACAGCACTTACGCTGCGTCATCTGTTGTTATGAAACAACGCATACTTTAAAATCCTCTTTTGTCTCTTTGAGATTTTTAAAAAGACAGTGGGGAAGTCTTCAAATGTTATTTATGTGAATTTTGATTTTTTGGCAGCATTGTTTTCACTTTTCAAGTGGGTGGTTTGCAGGTGCGCTGATGTAGTTTGCTCCTTCTTTCCTATCAAACATCTATCATCCTTATCTCTCCTTCTTTTTGTGTATGTTATTCTCTTATAGCACATCTATTCTTCGGTACTTATATGACCTTATTGTGTTGCAAGTGCAGTAAAACTCTTACTAAAACTAAAGTGCCCACCATCTTGACCCACCGCGTGGTTAGAACCTTTTTTTTTTTAAGATTTGAAAAATTGGGAGCTATGCAAATGACTTAAAAGTGGGAGAATAGTTTACAACCGTGTCCTTTTAGTCTTTTTTTACTTGTTCTTCCGTGCCCTCATGTTAGTTACGGATAGAAAGGGGAAAACAGAAAAAGCAGGACTTACTATGAGAAAAATGGTACTTACATGTATTTTACATAAGCTTTTCAAGTACAATAGTCACCGCCTAAGATCCCGGTGCTCGGTAGCAAGGAAGATGTGGTTTCCTAGGTGAACAGGATCTTATCCAACGGACCCAGGGAAAAATCTACGGTGACCCATGTTGAGACTCACAACCAGTGAAATGGTCTCCCTCTACTCTAAAATGAACTGACATGACACGTGGGTGGGTTTATGACATATGGCGAGCAAAGAGAGGTCAACCTTGATAACCAATCACAGTGGCATGAGGCATGGTATATACCCTCATTATCCTATCGTGAGTCGGAAGATCTACATTTATCCAGTTGCTCCTCCTCTTTACTTGTCCAAAACTTATAGCTTTCCATCTCTGACTATGACATAGTTCCCCCGCCATTACATTGTACCAACACCAAATTCAGTCTGTCTCGCAAATTCGGGAATAGAGAAAACTGCTTCAATGGTCAGGGAAGAGTTCACAGTTCGATTATGATTCCGGCTGCAGCGAACTTGTAGCCCTACCCACCCAGCGAGTGCTGTAAGTTTAGGTGGTGAGCTTGGATGCGAATGCAATGTTTGTGGGAAAACAAACCCAGTCAGTTCACACCTCTGTGTGATCCCGTCCGAAAAAAAAGTATGGGGAAGCGGTCTGTTATGGTCTTATAAATTTGTGTGGGTTGATTGCTTTTGTTATGTGTTCAGACTTTGTTGTATGTTGTTCTTTATCAAGTTTACTCGTTAGGATTATGTTTAGTAAGCTTTGTACTAAACCCAAATGCAGATTTGTTGTGGAATTCTTTGTCTGACTGACACATATATTGCCTTGTAGAAAAGCTCGATGGAATGTAGTGAAGTTTAACGTGTGGCTTTATTGAATTGTAACTGACTCTTATTCCTTGGTTGTTGTTCTGGTTTTATAACAATAAATCTAGGTCATTGCTGTGATTTAAAAAAAAAAATTTTTTTTAAACCTGGGTAATTTTGTTTCCCCTTATGTTATAAGGTGAATAAAGACATTGATGGTACTCTTAATTTCTTCTGACTGAGGCTATGTAAAAAAATGCACTAGATGTTTCATGCTTTCATCAACACAATTTAGATCATTTAGGAGGTGGGCTGCTCCAATGCTGCATCCCTGTCCATTGGGGCAAACCTGGACTGAGGAATACAACGTCCCCTAGTAGACACACGGAGATAGAGTCTATGCACAAGTCCAATAATGTCCTTTGTGGGCAAAATGTGTAGTAGTCCTCACATGCCTTAATTAGGCATTATCGTAGAAAATGTTGTATATGTCACTGTGCTTGCGTGAACACTTGACTGCCGTGTTTGTGGTGAGTCTCACTTTCAGACTCTTTACTTCTCCGCTTGTTTATTACCATAGGAGTCTTGCTGAAGTGGGGCTGGTGATGTGCACGTTTGCTTTGCATTTACATGTATCATCTAGAAAATTTGGTATTGAGGATGGTTTATTTCTTTGTTATTATTGTTACTAAAGAACATGGATGGAATCGGGCGCTTGTCAATTTTTGGGCGTGTGGAATGATTGGTGTCATCTTAAAGCTTTTTCATTAAGTCTTCCCCCTCGATGAAGAAATTACTTATCTATCTTGAATAGAAGTTGAGATATTTGGGATTGAAGTAGGTGGGATCGCCTGGTTTCAGAGGTAAACTAAGCGAGAAAATGGCTGCCAAAGTTTGGCGATAAGAACTTAAGTCTTCATTTTTTGTGCCTTTGATCAGTGTTTTGTTTGTAAAATCCACACAGCAATGTTTTTAAATGGACATAAAGGAGTTGAACCAAAAAATAAAAACTAGGTAAAATTGGCTCGACTGGAAGAAAAGTGCCAGTTATTTTTTTATATTTGCCGACTTGTCTTTTAAGTATTCAGTTCTATCTTGGTCAAAGGCGGTGGCAGTCTGAAGGTCAGTGACGGGTGACTGAGATGAGTCAATGCCTGGATTTTGAGCTGACCATTTATGATTAATTAATGCTGTTATTCTTTGGTCTCATAAAATTGTTTGGTTTTTTTAAAGTGAGTGTGCAATTGTGTCTATGACACATTTTTTTATAATAATAGGAGGCACGGATTTGTCACTGCAAACTACTTTGTTTGTTCTGTATTGGTCTAAATTCTATGTCCAGTGATAGTGCTGCATTGATTTAGGTCAGTGTGTGCCAGAAAATGCTGGCTGTGGTTGGTGTTGAGGAATGATTGGGCTTTCTGTATTCTATTTCACCTTTTAGTGTTGCTACTTGTGTTACATGCTACTTGCTTCTTTTTCATTTTGAGGCTTTTCTATTATGTACAGGGTGATCCCAAAAAAAATGTTACAACTTTTTTTCTGAATATCTCGCTCAAAAATTGTTGTAGAATGCTGTAATTTGGAACAGACATAATTCATTCAAAAGGAATTTTTGTTTGATATAAAATCCACGAAGAGGAAACGTGTTTTGAAAAAGGAAACAGCTAAAAGAAAAAAGCACCCAAAAACGTAAAGTTTACAAATATTTAAAAATCTTGTAAAAGAAGTCGTGAAAAGAGTAGTTGATCTTTTTCCTTATTTTCTCTTTGACAGTAATTTTTCATCCCTGTGACAATTAAACAATATTTAATTTCTTTTACAGAGTTTTAAAAACCTAATGATTTCGTTCTGAAATTCCTAAGCAGTGCTCCACATTCCCTCCTTTGGACTCTACACATTTTTAACGTGTCGTTCGAAATGTTCTGTGACGCCCTAACACAAGACCTGCTAAACCATGAGTTTTTAAAGCCACATACACTGTGCATGTTCACTAAGAAGTGGCTTCTAGAGACAGTAGAGTGGGATGCCCAATAAACAGCATTTTTGGAGTTAACACATCCCACAGGGTGAAAATTTGCTTTGCTTTAAACTAAAACTAAATGTCATCGAGGAAATGATCCCTCTTTACAAAACTATCGAGGAATCATGAGCACATTGCCATGCTCTGATCCATGTCATCTCGACCTAGCGAAGATGGACTTAGTATAGTCGTGGGTTAAGATCTGCCATGAGAATGCAGACTGTTGATGTGCAGGAAAGTCCTAGCTGCAGATCGTCTAGGTATAGATGTCTCATGGGACTCGGCTACTGAAACCTGCACTCCGGTGACGTTTAAAGGGCTGCGCATGGTGCATGTTCGACCTGAAGTGGTCATTTTTTAAAGAACTTTTTAGTTCTCATTCGCTCTAGATCCAAACTGACGGAACTTCTCTACTCATGACGCCATAGGTCTTGAGGGCACCTAAGCATTCTCTCCATGCCGTGCGCAGAACTTACGAATTGTCAGGGATGGTGAGTTTGTGGAGAGGTAATGTTCAATGCAAAAGCTCTCTGTTCTTTACTAAACGTAACCATGATCTCAGCAGGCAAACTAAATTTGGGAAAAATAATATCTGCAGACTTCTGTTGACTTGTTAGACTGCTGTAGCTTGCAATATGACGCGATTGTTGCAACTTTTAGTGGTGGGCCTAATGCAAACTGGTGCGTCTTGCTATGAAAATGGCGACAAGGTTGAAAATGGGTTGTTTTTTTAATGCGCTATATAGAGCAAAACTATTTAATGGACTTACCTAAAATACATATCAGAGAAATTCCTTTTGGCTTCCAAACGTTATGTTCAAATCTGAAACGCAAAACTTCAGTATGGAGGAAGATATTTACCCAACAAGTTGTAAAGTTTTTTTTGGATCACCCTGTTCTTCAGATTAGTATAATGTGTAGTTGGAGGGCACATCCAGTGGGTCCTACCTCTTTCCTTCCCCACTGTTGTTTCTGCCTAAATAATAATATATTGATTTTTTCCAGCGCTGACTGGCCATTATTGTGTTGATGTGCTTCTTTCTACTAAAAAAAAAACAACTTACGATCATTGCAACTGCTTGGGGGTTACTCACCATCTTCCGGCTACTCCTGTCCTCAGAGCAGTCCCAATGTGACGGGCATAAGCCGGCTGCTGGCTGCCGTGATGGAAGCCCTATGCCACCCAGCGGTCAAGCTGACCTCGCTGATGCCCATCAACTGTGAGCCGGAGACGGAGGCGGTGCTCCGACGTCACAGCATGAGCATCGATGACAACACCAACGCCATGGCTAGGCTGGGGGAGCCTCACCGATACCCTGTGCTGGCTGCTCACATGACGTGTCGCATGGAGGTACGGGAGGGAGGGAGGGAGGGGGGAAGAGAGGGAGGGAATGGAGGTTTGTGTGTGTGTGTGGGGGTGGGGGGGAGAGAGAGGGAGAGAGGAGAGGGAGGGGGGGAAGGTTTGAGAGGAAAAGAGAATTTAAGGGAAAAGAGAGATAGATATAAATAAATAAGGAGCCTCACAGATACCCTGTGCTGGCTGCACTCATGACATGTCGCATGAAGGTACAGGAGAAAGGGAGGGAGTGAGGGGAAAAGAGAGGGAATGGAGGATTGAGTGGGGAAGAGAGAGAAAGAGAGAGAGGGGGGGGGGGGGTTGAGGGGAAAAGAGAGTTTAAGGAAGGAGAGACAGAGAAATAAATAAATAGGGAGCCTCAGTGATACATTTCGCTGGCTTCACACATGTCTTCACTTCCCTTGTGGAAGTATGTCAGGGATATGTGTAAAAGAGAGAGATCTATGGAAAAAAAATAGGTGCAGAGATGAAGGGAAAGAAAGAATTGAGAGAGATTAAGGGGAAAAAAGAAAGAGGGGGGAAGTATATGATTGAGGAAAAAGAAGTAAAGAATAGATTGTTTTTAAAAGTAAGTGTTTCTATGCCCATAACGGCACAATTTAGATAATTTAGGAGATAACACTGTGTGAGTGCACTTTTGAATATGTGTTTATGGGCTAAGATGTCAATGTTATGAAGATATGAGAGGAAGGATGAATGAGGTAGCGAGATACACAAAGAGAGGATGATAACGAGAGTGAGCAAAAGAGTGGGAGTGAAAGAATGAAAAAGAAAGAGTGGGAGAGAGAGATAAAGAGAGAGAGAGAGAGATAGTGTGCATAAGAGAGAGAAGTGGAGATGGTGTGTGAAAGTGAAACAGAATGTGTGTGAAAATGAGAGTGGGGGCGAAAGAGATAAAAAGTGTGTGTGAGAGAGAGAAAGAAAGGCCATTCTTCTGTAATGTTTTTTTTCCTTCTCCAGGAGGACAACATCCCTGCTGGCTCTCACGTGACCTTCAAGGAGGTGCTAGATCGGCTCCTGATGATCGTGGCTGTCCCCGTGAGACAGCTCCTGAGCAAGGAGAGCCCATCGTTCCCCCCGGCCCTGGTGGCCAACACATGCGCTCTGCTCACCACCATCATTGGGGAGCTGGCAGCCTCTGCCATGGGGTTGGAGGTGAGGACATCAGCCCCACCCCCACCCCATCACCACTCTCTCACGGACATACGCACACAACCACACACGTACACACACACACACACACACGCGCACACACACACACACACACACGCGCACACACACACACACACACACACACTTACACACACTCTCAATCACCATAGTGAATGTCTAGGGCCAGAGGTCTAAAGGTTTAGTTTGCATTGTTTTATCGATTGTCACTAATGTGGAGTGTCTTTCTTTTCACAATTAGGTCTTGAGATTTAATCTGTGTGAGTGGTCGGTGGGTGCTCTGGTATAGTTTGTTTCCTCTTTCCTATTAAACATCTATCATTCTTATGTCTCCTCCTTTTTTGTGTTTGTTACTCTTTTGTAATACCTCTAATCTTTGGCATTTGTATGACCTTATTGTGGTGCTAGCTGTGTAAACTAAAGATTTAATCTTCACTATTTTATCTATTGTTTGTTGGTGATGGAATATTTTTACTCTAGGCTGTGGGGTACCTTATGTTATGTAGATTTTCCATTTCATACCAGCATAAGAGAGATAACAAGTTTTATGTATGATATTTGATTTATGTTATTTATGAAATAAACCAGTAGCATTTCAGTAAATGAAATTCATTTGAAGCCATTGAATGAAGAGAATCGCACACAACAGGAGCTCTCAACACACTCTTCTATTCTTGTGTCCTCGGGCTTCTCTTTACCCAAGCAAACAAACATGGAAAGGAAACAACCCTTTTAACTCTTTTACCGAAGGCGCAGGAAGTTGTCTCACTAACAAGGCAATCCCCAATGTCCAGATCGGATGCAGGAACAACTTTACTTTATCCTTTAGACCTTTTATAAACATTTTGCGTGTAGACCTCATTGCGTGTTTCATGAGATCCGGAAAAAATTCCTCCGGAACGTAAATAATTCAGGGGTTTAAAAGTTAAGTTGTAAAAAGTAAGTTGTTCTCTAATGGTCAGATGGATTTGATGTAAAGCATGTTTTTCTCCTTTGTTCAGATGGATGTGTTGTACCGAGCGTTTTTTGCTATTATGTTCTGATGGATGTTGTAAAGTATGTTTTCTCTCTTCTGTTCACTTGGATGTGTTTTCATTCGTAAAGTACATTTTTTTTTCTCTTTTGTCGGATGGATGTGTTGTAAAGTACATTTTTTTAGATAGATGGATGTGTTGTAAAGGATGTCTTTCTCTCACTTTCAGATGGATGTGAATGTGTCCTCGCGGCCCATGCTGGTGACTCCAAACCGTTTTACGCGGGCCAGCAACACATGCCAGTGGAATACAGGCAAGGGTAGTCCTGATGGCATCGCGTTCTGTGTGGACCGGCCAGGCATCGTCATGGCAGGCATCTGTGTCTACACAGGGTCCGGCACCAATGAGTACGAAGTGGAAGTGCTCAAAGAAGAGGTGAATGAAGGCCACCCTGGTAGTCACTGTTTAACCCTTTGTGTACTGATAGTTTACTTTTTTATCCTCAAGTCAAGTTTTAAGAGGGTGCTACTGATATGCCACTTCACTATCCTTCTATTGTTTCTGTCTGTTTATTTTTTTCCAAGATAATAATTATAATGATGATTATTATTATTTTTTAAACTGCTGTCCCTGATTACTCATTCACCTTTCCTCAAGATTTTAAAAATCCAGACAACTTTCGCTTTCCCTTTCCAGTAATAGGTCCTTCCTTTCTTTTCCTCTGTTGTTTCTGTCCGTCTGTCTTACTCTTCCCTTGCAATAAATGACTGTTATTGTGTGATTTTGGTTCTCTTAAGGTCGAGGTTGGCAGGTGCTCAGGTGTTGTTTAATCCTTCTTTCCTATCAAACGTCTATCGTCCCTATCTCTACTCCTTTTTTCTTGTGTTTGTTTCTTTCTTGTAACGCCTCTAGTCCTTGGCTCTTATATGGCCTAATTGTGGTGCAAGTGCTGTAAAACGCTTACTTAAACAAACAAAAATTGAATGACTATTATTGTGGGTATATTGTTTTCTTCAATCAGACAAAAATGAAGGGAAGTCACTTCATGGTGTAACTGTTACTGTTTCCCTGTCGGTTCCCACAGGCTCATCCGGAGGGAGCTGAGGGCCCCAAGCAGAGTGGCAAGCCAGAGTCCTGGTCCAGCATACTGTCCACCAAAGGCTCCTACTCTTTCGAAGACTGCATGAGTGACATTTTCGAGGTCAAGTTTGACCGACCTCTGCCACTGAAGGTTAGTATAACACTCTCCGTGCATGCAAATACTAAAGCAGGCTTGCACTGGGTTCCTTTAATTCTGTTTTTGGCTGGGACTCCATGTTTTGTAGAATTTATGGGAAAGATGAAGGTGGAATGAACCTGAGAAAGGTTAATATTTGTTTGCTTCGTCTTAATTGAAATCTTAACTTCCTGTTTTTTTGCCTTCTAACCAGTATTCTTGCTTTACAATATTGTCAGCGGTGTAATGGTTAGGCTCTTCACTTTGACAATTTGATTCCCAATTGGGGAAGTTATTTATCAAGTATGTCTGTCTGTCTTCATGGATGTTGTGTCCCACTCAGCCTTGTTTGGCTCAGACATACATAGCGGAATCAGACTACTTACTGAATTATGTAAATCGTGTCAAAAGAAAACATTTACTGTCAGTTACTACAATCAAGCCAAGCACTTTTGTAAAAAATATGGCAGTTATTAAGGTATTTCTATCTTCTTCTGTTTTCTAGTACTAATTACTGAGATTTTAGTTCTTCTTTTAAATTAAACACTACTTCTTGTACACATGACATGTCTTTTTTTCTTCAAATGTCAGTGTGCCTTTGATCAATCTCAGACTCATCAGCAGTGTGTATTTTTATTTTCCTTTGACACCCCCTACCTTCAATGGCAAAGTGCGTTGTGTGATGATTTTATCCCAATTACTGTCAGGTAACATGAAGAATCTGAGAAAACTCCGAAGTTCTCTGTTGATTGTGCCTGCCTGAACTAAGAATTGAACCCTGTGCTTTTCCATGTAATTCAAGCATTTAACTCCAGGGCCTCAATCTGATATTTTAAGATTTCAGCTTTGTAGTTCATTTACTCTTTTAGAATATAACATGTACGGATAGTAAGACAAAAAGAAAAGACCGCTCCCCCTCCCAGTTTCAAACATACTTGACCTGGCTCTTGGCTGTGATTGTTTACTCTTTATCTCCGAGGGGATAAACCCACTGTACACGGACCTCTTTTGGCACAAAATCTGATTGTGACATATACGTCACTAAATTGGTTGTTGAATCAAAACAAGTGAACCTATTTTGATGGTACTTCATCTAATGAATTAACTCCCAGAAAAAGAGACTTGTTTTTGGCAATTGCCCAAAACTAATTTGACATCGAAGTCGTCGTTGTAAAATAATGTGCCTGAGCCACTGCCAGCAGCTTGTTGGCACAGCAGTTCTGACTGCAAGTCGCTGGGAGTGGCTTGCCGGAGAAAAGGAGCTAATGTGGGTGGAAGACATGGGTAAACTATACTTTTACCAAACAGAGTTACTGTACCCCAATTGTAACTTCTTTTTAGGAGGGACAAAAGTACGCTGTGCTGCTGAAGAACACGGGTGAGAAGACAATGAGCGGAGACAGTGGGGAGACTAAGGTGCGCTGCACTGACGGTACAACTTTCACCTTCTCTTCTTGTGTGCAAAGCGCCAACGGCACCAACATCATCCGCGGGCAAATCCCTCAGATATTGTACTACAGGTATGCTGCCATCAGTGTGAGATAAAAGCTGTGTTTTTGTATTTCTTCTCTGTAGCATTTACGTGTTCTGTAAAAAGGGAAAAGAAAGGACAAGTGTATTTTTTAATTTCTTTTTTACTTTGGTAGTTTTTCACCTATCAGACCATGAATTTTTTTTTTTCTTTGGTATCTGTTTATTTTCCCCCTCTTCTGACTGATTGTTAAGTGGAATGCGAAGTCTCATCACGTTCATTGTGTAGTCTTATGACCTCTTTGGAGGGCTACATGACAATGAATCATTGCACGTGCAAACTCATGCAAAGAAACACCCCCCACTCAAACATTCACGAAAAATTGCACAACTTCACACACTCACGTACACACACACACACACACGCACAAACCAGTTTTAAATGATTGTTATTGTATTCATATATTAGTCTTGTGCTGAAGCAAAAATTTCATATTGTGAAGTAATAACTTACAATCTTGTGAAATCCACTCACCATAAAAATGTGCACGTTTTTTTTACCTCGTCACTTCACCCCATTTCTTTCCTTTATCTTGTCCACAGCACGCCTCAAGAGGGCGAGGCCCAGTCTCAGAACAGCCGCCACCTCATGGAGCTCCTGGCTCGCCGCAATGCCATTGACATCTGCGGTGCCATCTGCCATATGGCTACCGACCTGCTGCACCGGGCACACTCCCACCCAGGTATTTACTGTTTTGTTGTAGTATTGTACAGGGCGAGGAGAGGGAAGAGTATATACGTTTCAGCTCCTATAAAATGGCAGCTTGCACTGTATGCTTTCCAGGAAGTTGAGATTGTTTCAGAATGCTATCAGGTCTGCTGGGGTAATTATATAGATTGTAAAACCCATAGAGCTTGCTGTTGAGCGGGAATATGCGCGATACAAATGCTATCTATTAAGAGCTGTAGAAGAGTCACTTTTTGATTTTGGTCTGTCCTTTGCCATTATAGTTTCAGTACCCAAATAGTTTTTATGTTTTCTGTGTCCACTTTATTTTGTCTGCAGTGGCCACAGTAGGAGAGCACTTGGGCTCCTCCCATCTTTTCTCCTCTCTGCTGCCCCTGGCTCTGGCTTACGCTGGACCTGTGGCCGTGCAAGATCCAAGGGTGAGTATGTCTTCTGTTTTTATGTGTGTGTATGCATTTTCCAGTGTACTTAGAAATGGGTGTAAGAACGTGGAGTTGAACCAGCTCTAAGGGTTACCTGTTTAAGACAGTCGCATGTACAAAGAGCCACTTCCTCTTCCCACCCTTGTGGGTTTTTTTCTTTCAATTATAATGGCACTGTGTTGTAAGACAGCCTCTTTTATCCTCGGCAATGGGTGTCTGTCTTAGACAACTTCATTTGTACATTTTGAATTCAACACTTTCGTGAATGAATGAATGAATCAGACCAAAATTCAATGTTTGAGTTTGTGGTGTTGTTGATCCACAAGAGCTGTTCTGTATACTGAGGGAACCAAGTCCCAAAGAACTATAGTTCAAATAAAGTAAAGTTAGCTGTATTTTGAAAGCAGATCTGTAATCCATGTACTATGGTTTAGAAGAAATTCGCTATTCTCCTCTCCTGAATTATGTCAGTGGGGCTAATAAAAGATGCCAGTTGAAGCACTTGCCTCTGATGAAAGATGAATTCCTGTATGGAAAGAGTATTTATTGCAGTTTGGTTGTGTCATCTCCTCAAGGGGTTTTCATTTACTGTAATAGGTGGAAGATATTGCCTATTCTCTGCTAAGCACGGGTGCTTGGTCTGTTCTGCTCCATCTGCTTCTTTTCAATGCTTCTTTTGTCATATATGGTATTTTTGTAAAATGTGGATGTCGTCCTGCAGACTCTTTGAACTACAACACCATAACATTGACTTTTCCATCTAGTTGTTTATTCTGTTAATTGTCTTTTCTTTTTTACCCTTTCAATGCAACATATTTTGCATTCCATGATACATCAAGATATGGAAACTTGTGCAATTCCATGAGATACAAGGTACATCAATATGACAGTGAAGAAATTGATACATTTCAGTATTTGGATTCAGTTTGTCTGGTCAGTCTAGGTTCTTCACTGCCCTTCTGTTGTTTCTTTCTGTTTGCCATTTTCCCCCCTTGCCATGAACTACAATTTTGTTGTTGATATTCTTCTTTACTCCAACAAACAAAAATTCTTGATTTAGGAACTGAAATATTGCCCATGTATTTCACTGTAATGCAACATTACTGGTTGGGTGGTTGGGGAGCATCACTGGTTGGTCCAAAGTCTTATCTTCTTCTCTCTACTTTCCTGTTTGTTCTACATTTTCCCTGCATTAAATGACCATTATCACATCAATGTACTTATCTCTACTCAAACAACCAAAGCAAAATTACTGGCTTTAATGGAAAGAATGTGGTTGGTTGGCAGGTGCTCTGGTGTGGTGTGCTCCTTTTTCCCTATTAAACGTCTATCCTCCTTATCTCTTATCCTTCTTTTTTATTTTTGTTTCTCTCTTGTAACACATCTAATCTTTAGCATTTATATGACCAAATTATGCTACAAGTGCCGTAAAACGCTTACCAACTAAACTAACTAGAACTGACCGGAGTCCTCAATGCTTGTGTCCCCAGGGGGCAGTGCAGATCCTGTACCTGGTGCAGGAGATCCTCCCCGCCGTGTCTGGGCTCACCCGCCTCATGGTGCCCCCCGCCCCCATGACCACCAGCAGCAGCAGCGGCAGCACCAACGCTCTGGACAACAGCAGCACCAGCAGCAGCAGCAACAATGGTGGTGGAGGTGGCGATGTGACACACAGCACCACCAGCCAGCACTACGCCTCAGTGGAGAGTGAGCACCCTTACAGGCCCGCCTGTGTGGTCAACTACAAGGTGAGAGACATTCACATATTCGATTTTGATTGTCTTGATCATAACAAAATTGTTGTAGACATGTTTTCCAGGTTTCTCGTTGTTTAAATAATAATAATTGTAATAATAATGGAAACTTGTATAGCGTCTAATCCCTGGAAAGCGCCAAGCACTGTACAATGCAGAATTATCACCCAACTGAACTGACTAATCAAAAGACAGAAAATGCAAGTTATGAGACTGTGTAACAACACACACACACTCGCAAACACACATACACTCTTTCACACTCACTCACACCCACACCCAACTCCCAGACCCACGTACAATCTCATATACAAAATTTAGTGGCAGAAGATAGTGTTAATAAAATGTGTCTAGATTTTTCTTAAACTCTGTCTTTGTTCATATCATATGCATTTCTTTTGGGAGGGAATTCCGAACTTTAGGGGCCAAGGAAGAAAAGGCTTTTCCACCCAATTTTTTTAATTTTTCAGTGGGCATGCTTATGATATTCTCATCCACAGATTTCAAATGTAATGTGGAAATGCCCATTAGTTGTTTTGTGTTCTCAATTTAGCAGTTTTGTTTCTTGTACTAAAAATTTAATTGTTGAGACATCTAAACTTTTGATTAAGTCATGAGGTTGATTCTGATTTATTGTTCTCTCAAGGTTAAGATCATGGCAGCCTCATGACTCTGTGGGCAAGTTCATTTTATCGAGAGTCTGTGTCTTTCATCAGAAATGCGGTATCCCATTCAGCTCAGGGCTGCAGTGCCAGAAGGGATCAAAGTGGCGCCTTCTAAATGGTCTAAAGTGTTTCAGTGGGGGCATAAAACTGTTGCTGTTAATCACAGCCTCCTATGTTCACAGTGCTTTTTGAAAAATTAGTTCTTCTGCAATTATTCAAGTTATTCTTTGTGTCTGCTGCCTAGGTTGAGTTTCCTCTCGGTGTACGCTGGATGGTGATAGAGTTTGATGGCCAGTGTGCCACCAGTCAGCCCGAGGATTCTCTCCAACTCTACATCCCTGCAGTCACCAGCCATAGGTCAGAGCAGGGTCAAGTGGGCAAGGTCATCACCATGCCGATGACCTCCAAAGTGGACATTGATCCCAATGTAACTCATTGGCCGATCTTGAAGAAATATTATGGCAACCACGAGTGGCCTAAGTCTGCTGTCTTGCTGCCTGGTAAGTGCCTGTTTAAAAATAGTTCCTTTTTTTTTTCTTTGATTGCCTTATTGGTGTTTGTGGGAGACGTATGTTCTCTGATGAGATCGGAGTTTTCTGGGTTTTCTTTGCCTGTCGAAGAACCCAAATTGGAGTTGCATAAGATCCTTTTTTCTTCTTTTCTTGAATTTTGTTGCCGTCAGGTCGTACACAACTGATCGTACAATATGAGAAAAGACATTTCTTTTCTTTCGTTTTTATATGCAATATGCACATGACTTATTGTAAATGATATGAAAATACACATATTTATATGTGTGTATATGCAATGCATGTGCATTTATCATAATAATTTTTTACATAATCATAATCTCCTGGGGTTCTGGAGACTAATTTTTTTCCCATACTGTTATTTTGAGGGATTGTTTTGAGGAAAACTCTTATAGCTGGTCACGAAGTAGTTGGCAGATCTGGTGTGCTGTAACAGTTAGGTTTTGACAGCTCACATGGAATTGATTCCAGAGTAGGGAAGTTTTTAATCAGGTGTCTCCTTCCATCTGCTGGGACATTGTACCTAACCCCAGCATTGTATCTCACTCTGCCCATGTTGGCCCTAAATGTTTTAAGTTATGCTGATGGAGGTATAACACTTTACTATTTCAATTTTTTAAATTGTCTTCTCAAATACAAGTGAGCCATTGCTGTCTCCATTAGCATTTTGATGAAAGAAACCTCTTATTGGACAGTTTACCAGTTCAGGATTTGTTTGTGATATAAAACTTCCCTTCATGTACCTGCAACCTTCTGACTTGTAGGACAGACATTAGTATAAACTAATCTCTAATGGGACATTTAGACAACCATAAAAATTCAGTTTTCATATTTACCTGTAAAGTTCTGTGCAGGGTTTTGCTTTTTGTGTTGTCTACTCTTTCCTTTTCTTAACAGACATTTTCTGTTGTAACTCGTTTTTTATTTTCAACTTTTATGAATAAGGATAAAGGCCTTAAGCTTTCATCTGTCTGCAAAAATGCTGCAATTTTTAGAAACACAATGACGTAATAATGTTTCTTGCTTTTAAAAAAAATTTTACTTCATCACAGGCAATGAAGTTGTTTTCTCTTTGGAAACTGCATCTGACTATGTCAAGGATGAGAAAGCTTCATTCTATGGGTTCAAGTGTCAGATTGTTGGCTATGAATGGGGAGCCAAGCCTGAAGAGGTTTGTATAGTTTGGTGTTGATACTTTAAGGTGTCTTTATTTATGAATAAATTATGTTTTAATGGTATGGGTACTGCACATTTAGTAATTATGAGTTTTTTCTTTACTTTTCTTTGCCATGTCTCAAAATTTCAGTACTGAGCATCCTTCATCTCTTTGAATAAAGGAGTATAAAAAATGCCCCTTTTTCTTCGGTATATTTTTAATATCTTTTCAAGAATCCACGTGTTTAAAAGCAATTCATTAAATGTTTTGGTTTCTGGGTCTTAAAACAAAAATTAGTTGATTTTCATCATATGCCAAATATATGCTTTCGTTTCCTCAAAGAAGGAAAGTTTAAAAATGTCACTGCTACTTTCCAGTAGAAAAAAAAATAGTGGCAGTAACAGTGGGACATTCTCTGTACAAAATTGTCATGAAAGGGGGTTTAATGTTTCTGTGAGTGTTGTAAATGAGATACAAAAAGTTGTTCCCCCCAAAGTCTTTGAAATCATGGTTTTTCAGATGCTACACCTACACACCTACTCATTATTCCTTTCCTTATATAAGATAAGTCAGTGGGTACTTTTCTTTTATGTAGGGGTTTGTGATACTTTTCTTTGTTTATTGTGCTTTTCTTTTTTCTTTTTTGTCCTAATTGAAATGTTCTATTATTTGTGAGGAGGAGGTATTAGTGTATATGTGTAGCTCTTTTCTCTCACTGTTTATGGATTAGGTCTTTGTTTATTCTTTTGTGACCTTTGACAAATGCTCTACCCAAAATGACCGGTATTTACAGAAATTTGAGGCATGTTGATGTCTCCTTTTGGGTTGCCAATGGTCAAGTTTTTATTTGGTAATTGGAAGCTTCTTTTATTTTGTTTCAAATTGTTGCTGATTTTCTGAAAGATTCAAGTGAGAATGCCACATTTTTTATCTTAGTTTGGTACTGGTTACTATGTATTCAACGAATGCACAAACAGAATTGAGGGTGGACAATGCAAACAAAAGTTATAGCCCAAAAAGTTGCTTTTTCCAATTTGCAACGTGGTGTTGTCAGATACTAGGTTTCACTTCCAATAGCCAGCTTGTTGCAAGAGACAATTGTTTCTGTCCTGTTGCAAGTCTCTCAGATCTTGACACTGGTTGCAGGATATTGCTAGGTACATGAAGTGCCAACCCAAAAGTGCCTGGTCAAATCTAGCTGGAATTCACCAGTTCGCTGTAAATATTCAGATGCATGGAGTTGGAAGTTTTTCTTTTAGTGTGTTTTCAAAATTTCCCTGCTCATACTAAAGACTGCTGTAGATAGACTGAATTTTTTTTAGCTGTTACACTTTTTAAAATCTTTTTGTAGTTGTGCAGTTTTTTTTATACTGAGAGCATTTTTGGTTATTTTTGTGTTTGTGAAAGTCAGTGAAATTTTTTTAATACCCAATCATATGATATTTTCCTCCTACGATTGTTTGTCTTGAGAGAACATTTTAAAACTGGTTACAAATGGTTATATGTAAAATTTGGACTAAAGATGAAAAGCAAGTTAGTTTTGCTGAAACATAATTACTAGTTTGCCACTTTATTGAATATTCTCAGAGAAATCAAACAGATGATCTGAGATACTAAAAATGTTTTTAAGCACTGGTTATTGCTCATGCTGAGACAGTAGATATAGATATCTTCTCATTTCCTTTATGTGGAGGGTTGGAGGTTATCACTTGAGGGTCCAATATCTTTTCTTTTTGTCTGTTATTTCTGTTTTTCTGTTTTACTTTGATCTCTGCACTAAATGACAGTTATTATGTGTCAGTGAGTTTCTCTTCACACAAACTAAAACTCTCTCTCTCTCTCTCATAAGACTCATGCTCTGTGTGCTGTAGTGTCTCCTGCTCTGCTTATTAACATGTGCCTGGTATGGGGGGAGGGGGGCTGATGGGATTTTTCTGGTTGATGTTCTAGGCTGTGTGCCGTTTCTTTTGCTCTGTTCTGCTGTTAAAGAAAAAAAGACAGATGTTCAAACGGCATGTTGCTTGTGCAATTGTTATGTTTTAAACAGTTTCCATTGATTCCGATTCTATACTCCCTCCTGGAATTCAAGAATTGTTAACACCGCAGCTGATATTCAATGGGGTAGCCATTTTTTCAATGGAGATTTGTGCAGAGATCGCAAATTTTGAAAGGAAAGAGGGAAATATCTGGGTCGCATTGAGTGCCCAGTTCTTGAAAATAACCTGAAAAACGGGTATTACTAATTTGTTAGATACATGCTTTAAATGAAGGATGGATTCGTTAAGGTGGTTTCTGTAAATCCCTTCCAAATGTTTTTTAAGGTAGAGTCCATAATTCAGTGATAAATAATTGAACAGGGATAATACTTCTGAGGATGGGTGAGAATGGTAAAGGCCCTATTGGGTAAGAACCTCACCCCCTGGGTGTTGGCCAATTTCAGAACCAACTTCACTTTCACAGCTGATAGACTGAGTGTGTCGTCTATGTTTTTACCTTGTGTTATCTCAGAATGCAGCTAAAGCTTTTTGAGAATAGGATTTAGCTTCCTCCATGTTGCAAGGTTTAAGAGTTGCATAAACTAGATATGCTAACAGCATGCTATTCTTTGAGCTACTGTAGAGATGAGGCGAAAATGTTTGTAAGAAAGTTGGAATTTGTAGTTGATTTCACGGATAAATGGACGGTTTATCATTCCTCTTTTGCACTTTATTTTATCAGGACATACTGTAAAAAAAAAAAAATGACCGAAATTTGTGTTGAATGGATTTAAGATAAAGACAGCATTATGATTGATTTGTGGGTAAAAAGCTACAGATAGATGAAACCTTGTTATGGTCAGTGAATGCATTTTACTGTAGAATGGTTCTCAATTCTTGAATGTTTTTTACTTTTGAAAATGGCTTGATATAGTAAGTAGTTATGTTGTAGAAATCATTTTTCTTTTTCTTTGTCCCTGAACTAAGAACAAAATAAATAATGTACTTTTTTTCTTAGCCTTTTTCACATTTAGGTTATGTTCGCCGTTTCCAAAGTCATGCCCCGAACGTATCTTTGTTCAGTGTATTAATGCAAATATGTGCAGACAAATGGTGTCTCCTTTTTTTTTCATAGTTTTTCTCTTTGAAATTTGATTTCAGTTGCCTGTTTTTTATGTCGTTATTTGTTGAAAATCGTAACCATTCTACTTTATTTTTTACAAATAGAGTGAAGTTTATGCCTCGGTGGTTCTTCTCCACAGAGTATCCTGATGCTTGAAAGAGAACTGGCATTCCTCGGTGGTATGTGCTGCTCTGCGTTGATGAAGAAAGACATTCCCCTACCATCAGGTAAATTTGCCTATTTTTCTGGATAATTATTTTGTTTTAGTTATCAAGGAAACATCTAATTTGAAATTTAGATTATCTAGTAATGCACTAAATAACCATTTTTGTGTAGATGTGCTTCCCTTTACTCAACCAAACTAAAAATGTTACATGCTTGTGACCCCACACTGTGGGTGGTTGTGGGTGCTTTGGTGTGGTTTGTGTCTTCTTTCCTATCAAACATCTATCGTCTTTATCTCCCCTCCTCCTTTTTTTGTGTTTATTACTTTCTTGTAACACCTCAAATCTTCGGCACTTATATGACCTTGTTGTGTTGCAAGTGCCAAAAAACACTTACTAAAACAGACCCCACACTGTTTTTACTGCTTCTACCCTGGACAGCCAACCTGGAGGAGGTGGACGATGACCTGGAAGTGATAGAGGAAGGAGCTCGTGTGGTGTTTGAGAGCCACACCAGCCTGTTGGAGAAAGGCTTTGCCTTGTCCCAGCCCCCGACCATCTACCAGGCCCTGGAGGGGAATCTGCCTCTGCGCTGGCAGTCCAACGAGCACAGCTTCCTCAAGGACTTTGTCTCTTGTGCCCAGGGAACTAGCGGGGGAAGACTTGCCAGGTGAGGAAAGTTTCTGGGAGGGTTCTTTTGTAACGGTTGATGTGTTTCAACTTTGCAGGTGAAGTGGAGTTGGTTTTTTGTTCCTCTGTGTGGAATCTGTTATTTCCTAAGTTTGAAGAAATTGAAATGCTCTGAGAGATTATCATGAATATCTTTTCTAGAAATGTTCTCAAAATATCACATGGACTACAGTTGTAGATTATCCAGTTTAGTGTATTTACATGTTCAACTTTATATGTGATGTGGACTTGTTTCTTTTTGTAGTGATAATCAAGTTACAGAAGCCCCACCTCTTCTACATGATACTTGTAATTTCCTAAAGCTATAAGTAATGGAAATGCTCCAAGAGGTTGTTATGAATGATGCAATTGAGGCCTATTTCTATTCTGTTTTGTGTAATATCTCCGATCAGTTTGTATCGTGAAAGGGATGTTGCACTTTTTTTATGTATCCTTTTTGACAAAAAGCCTTTGTGATTTACGTGTTGGAAGCTGAAAAAAAATTTGAAAATGATATATTTAATTGAGTGATAGTCATGTTTTATTGTTGGGCATTTTTATCACACATTTTGTTCTAAGGCTGTGAAGTGTCAGTGTGCTTCCCATTTGGTCATTTTTCTCTGGAAATACAGTCAGACCTGTCCAAGACGACAACACATCGGTCATCTTAAGCAGGTCTGATGAAAATGAAGAGAAAAAAAACATTCCCCTCTGAGGTCTCAACTGGAGGTTGTCACTGGCTTAGGACTCTTTAAGCCCATTTAAATATTTTTCTTTCTTTTTTTTAGGCGTGGAGGGGGATGTTGTAGGGTTATTTTTACAATTTTTAACATTACCTTCTGAGTTCTCAACCGAAGTTTGTGGCAGGCTTAAGCTGCCATAGAACCCTTTTAAATGGATTTATTACTAAGTGGTCAACTTGGGTAAACAGTGGGAGGGACCACTAGCCTCACACATGCCGTGTGCTGGTCAGCGAGCGTTTCAAGCGTATAATAACAAGACATGAAGCGATTCTGACAGCTCATCCACAGAGTTTGTGACTGATAGAAAATACAGTTTATGACAAGGTGCTAGGTAATGAGAGACTTGCATGGTTGTTCTGGATAGGTTAGGTTTTTTTACTGCTGTTGATAAATTGTTGCAGTCATAGTCACATTGGACAGCTGATTGTCTTTGACATTGCCATTATACAGAAAAAAAAATCAAGGGGGTGGGAATGATCATCTTGGAGAGATGGTCTTACTGGACAGGCTGTCTTGGGTATGTTTGGCTGTAGTAAGTGAAAGAACAGCTTCCTATCGATGAATGAAAAAAACTGCAAATTCTAGGGCGTCGATAGACAAATCTGCAGCACAGTCTGTTTTTTTCTGTCCTTCAGATGGCTGCAGCCTGACTCCTACCTGGACCCAAAGCAGTGTGAGATTGAATGCAGCCGGGAAGACCTCAAGTGCAGCTGGCCAGCTATGGTGACTGTCTATACCAAAGACCAGTATGGGAATCTTGTCAATGTTCCCAATCTCAAGGTAAGAGTATGAGGATTTTTTAAAGGAACTATTTGGAGTATGTTTGGCATCTTCTCAAGTTTCCTACTCTTTAGTTTTGTTGTTGTTTTGTTTTGGTTACTTTAATTTGCCTGTCACTGATTTTAGTGAAGGTTTGTTCAGATATTGGGTGCTTGGGTGATCATTACATTGGTGTTTCTTTGCTTGACAATATTTGAAAACTGGTGATGGGTCATGAAGTAAATCTCTAAGGCTCTCTTTTTCATTTATTGACCAAATTTAATGAAACTTGGCAAGAGTGTCCTCCTGCTTAAAAAATTTCACACAGGACAGACTTGAGATATGTTTCAAAGAAATTCTGTATTTGGCATTTTTCTGACATATGTTGTTTGTAACCAAATTTGGGATACATAATCTTTTTTAAAGGATTTAACTTAAAAAATTAAAAAATGTTCTATTGTGTAAACTTTATCGACAGTGAAGATTTCCTGAAAGTATAAGCCTAGTGCAGATAGAATGAATGATCAAAAAAGTTATAGGCGAGAATGTCTGGGTTTTTTTTCTCATAAATTTGTCCTATTTTCATAAAGGCAATTTATGACAGGAATGAGAAGTTTCTAAGTTTGTCTTTGCTTTTTTAGTTACAGATGTAGCTGAACTTTACCAATCACTAAACTACTCAAATTTCATAATTAGATCCAAAATTGTTAGAAATTTCAAGAAGCACTTTATGCTATAGTTTTTGTATGTGATCGTGTGTTGGAAGTGTACTTTTAACGATTTCATAGTATGTTCGTCTCATACTGCTTAGCAAAATATTTACGACTTGCAGAGCAGTTTTTTAAGTATATATGTATGTTGGTGTTTTGTACTGTCAGTTAATGCACACTTTTGGGAACAAACCAAATTGCTCTCAACGTAGAAATATAGTTGTGTCTTCTATCTGCCCGTGGGTGGTTTGAGGGTGGAATTGTATCTGTCTGACAAATAAATAGAAGGTTTTTTAAATTGAGAAACTCCAAGTGTCTGTTGGTACGTTTTGTCCCGCTTGTACCAGCCTGACTCCTAAACTATTTAGATTGTGTCAATGGGGGTGTGAAACTGTTGCAGTCACAGTTTACCAAACGGAAGTTGCTGTTGTACTTCTCCAGATGGAAGTGCGAGCTATCCCTGTTGACCAACAAGAACTCGGGGAGGACCTGAAGAAGATGCGCAAGTTGAGCAGAGCCACAGAACCATCGGACATGACCTTTGGGGGTCACCCAGCACCCGTCTTGGACGTGCCATATGAGCCCATCCTGAAGGACAGAAAGGACTTGTTCCATGCCATCACCATCATGAAGGTAGACTGAATTTTTCACTAACAAGGCATGTGATGCATTTCTTCTTTGTCATAATATAATTGCCCAATTTGGTTTGTTTTTTTAAATCTGGTCTCTAGTTATTGGGATGATGTTAAAGGCAGCAATTTTTTTTTTATCCTCAATATAGCAGGATTTTCGTTCATGAACTAAAAATATAATCTCTGGGACATTTTCAGTTCTGCTTAAATCAGAAGGTTGACAAGGGTAAGTTGTTTTTCTTTCTTTTGTTGTTGAAAGTTTTCTCTTGACAACCAGAAAAACATTTTGTCAATTGAGTTACAAATGTGATACCATCATAAACAGGTCTCGTACCTGTTATAATCTTTTTTTTTCTATTGCTGTTAAACTCTTACCAAAGCAAAAAAAACATTCAATCATTTGCCCATTACTCTCCTCCCCAGCGCTATGAGAATTACTCCTTTGAGGAGCTGCGTCTGGCGTCCCCCGCGGTGCCCCGCCCCAGTGAGAACATGTTGGTGACCACGAACCGCGACGGGACCTACAGTGCCAGCTGGACGCCTGGCTCTGTGGGCGTGTACAACATCATCATCATCATTGATGGGGTGCAGTCAGGTAGTGAGTACATGCACAGCTGGCCGGGGAGCTTGGCCTCGTAAATACAACATTTGTGTTGCAGTTTTTAAAAAAGTTTTTATATCAGTGGCAGATTGTAGATTGTGTTTTCTTGTTACTCTAGATAAGCAAAATGATGCTTTTGTTACAATCAGTAACAGTTAAGTTTTAAGTTTTCTCACTTCGATTCAAATTTGATTGAAATTGTGACTTTTGGTTTTCCTGTCTTTGTAAGAGAAATGTGTGAATTTCTATTTCTGAAATGTACACACAATACAGAATTTATGTCATTATTGAAACTTTGATGTTTGCTAATGAATTCTTGTTCACATCCTTGGCAAGTTGTGCCCTAATTTTGACCTACAGAAAGATATTTATTTTTTACATGGAATGCTTTAAATTAACCTTTCTATCTGTGTACCTGGGACGTATAGATGTTGAAAACTAGGCCAGTTGTTTTAATGATTTTCCAACCAGAGGTGCCGGTCGGTAGTGCCATTGGCAACCAATAACAGGTTGTGGGAGTAGACCTTCAAGTAAATTCCGAAAGCCTGCAAGTGGTTTGTTAAGCTAGATCTAAAGGGGTTGGCATCATGTTTTAGGGATAGAACGCGACTTCAGCTTTCTTCTAGTCTTTATTAGAACAAATGTGTTTCAGAAGAAGATTTTCTGTCTATTACTTTAAAATTTGGATGTAATGTAGTTGGTCCAAAAAATTTTTAAGGGAGTGCTTATTTGGGCTGTATGCAGATTAACATGTAGTCAGCTAGGCCAAGATTCTTACTGTATTTTTCAATTTCCGTTTTAGCCCCTTTTTTATATTGTCTCTGTGTTTAACAACAGTTTACATGTGTATAAATTAAACAGACCTAAGAACCCCTGTGAGTTTCTGTTTCAGTTGATAGGTCCTTCATAATTCTTGATCTATTTGATTCGTTGGATCTAGATTTTGTGTGATCCGTAGAGAATTTTGACCGATTCATTCTACCATTGAAATACTTGAAGTAGCTTCATTCTTTATTGTTTTTACTTCTCAGGTGATGGCTTTAAGGTTGAGGTGAAGGAACCGCCTCAGGGAGCCCCGCCCCCTGTCACTGCACAGAAGTCTCAGCCTCCAAAGGTGGGCTTTCTCTTTTTCTTTGTCCCAGTGGATGATAAAAATGAAGATCATTTCTATGATTGCCTTTTACCTGGTGGCTCTAGGCACTAAATAAGATAAGGTTTATACCATTCTTTCAAATACATATACCCTCATTCACTAACAAAGAGCACATACACAAAAGAAAAATCACTGTTGCCTCTGATCACTTGCTGTTGAATAGAAAAATCAGTTTTGTTAGTACAATGGGATTTAAATAAATGTGTTTTTAGACCAGATTTAAATAGGGCCTACAGTCAAAGGAGGTACCTCTCAGGACATTCCACACTGAGGGAGCAGCTGTGCATGTCTGATGGGTTTTGTACTGTGATCTGAAGTAGTTAACATTTTGCTGCCGTAACAAGTTATTGCGTTGCCGACTCCTCAGTGCATGGGTGTCAGATCTTATTTGTTTTGTTAGAAGGTATAGAAGGGAATTGACTTGAGGTTGACTATTTAAACTCATGCATCTGAGAAAACAAGTCCGCTTCTCAAACACTTCATTATTTTACAGTTTAATGCTACTTTCTTCTTTATTGTAGTTTCTGATACATACAGATGCATATATAGACTCCAGAGTGCATTTGATAATTTGTGAACCAGGGTCTGTTGTAATGGTTAGGTTCTTTGCAGTTGCACATACATAAAAGATGTGAATTTCATGCCTGCATGGTGAAGTCTCTTTTGGTATCTCTGTCTCTGCTGGGATGCTGTATCCCTTTCAGTTTGGGTCAGCCGTGACAGGCTCTCCTACTGAACTGTCTAAATTGTTTCATAAAGGGTGTATAAAAATTGTTCTTATTTACAATCAGTCACAATTTGTGAGGGACTTCTCTGATTTATTCTTTTGTTTGCATATTTAATAACCCTTCTTAAATTAAGTTAATTGACTTTACAGTGTTCACTGGAGTGATAAACTCATGCTATACATAGCATATTTTAAAAATCACACAATGTTCAAATAATGGGGGTACTTCTTACTCACTGACATCTTTTGAACATTCCAGACTCGCAAGTTTGTGGCCAAGTACAGTGCAGGCTTGAGAATTCGGGTCAGCCCGACCCTTCAGAGTGAGCAGATAGGAGTTGTACCTCCTAACTGTGTCATCTCCTTTGTGGATGAGGTTTGTTTCTCTTGTGTCTTTGTAAAGCTTTTTTTGTTGGTTGTTCTTAATCAGCATCTTCCCATAAATCATTATTTTTAGGCAACAAATTAATTGAAGAACTAATTTTCTATCCTTTCTGCTTCATACCTATTTGTCTTTGAAAATTTATAGTATTTTTATTTTTTCCATTAGTTTTTATGATACCATTTTCTTGCTTTCCTTGCAGTTCACATTTGCAACCCTGACTCATTCACTCACAGGCTCATGCTCTCAAACATACTTGCAAACACACACACACACACACACACACACACACACACACACACACACTCACACACACATACACACTCAGTTATGTAGGGTCACCGTAAATCACATACCATTGTCATTTGCTATTTCTCTGCACATTAAAAATATTTTCAGTAAATTTTCTTTATCTGTTATGCGCTTTTCCCCCCTGTTCAGGTCTGCCAGAGCAGGTCTTTTAATCACGCTACTAGTTGTTCCTACTTCTTTACTGTCACCTTTGAATGTCTGTCAATCTGTCTGTCTGGTCAGTCTGTCTTGCCTTTTCTCGGCTTTAAATGACCTTTAGTGTGTTGATATATTTCTCTTAACTCAGCCTCTATGCAGCAATTCTTTATGAGAACGCATGTCCATACTGATAGCATGATGCTCCCATCATCTCCTTCAGACCATGCAAGGTTTGTTGGGTCTTTTTTCTTTCTCCTCTGTTGTCTCTGTCTGTCTATCTTGCTTGCTTCCTCTAAATTCATCGATGTGCTTCTCTTGACTCAAATGAACAAAATATTCTCTCAGACCACAAATGATGACGGCATGTGGCTGCGTCTGTCCCGAGCCTCACTAATGGAATTCTGCGGCCTTGAGGAGGATGGTTCGCGGTCAGAAGGCTGGTGTCTGGAGTACAACCAGCACCTAGACAAGACCCTGTTGATACCTGCAGAGACCCCGAAGCCTCTCCAGAGTCACCGCAGCCCACGACACGCTGCGGAGAGCAGGCGGGAACACCATCGAGCCCGCAGTGGGAGTCACTCGTCCCATGGTGTGGCTGCAGGTGGCTTGATGGGCTGGCCCACCAAAGGTAGATAATTTTTATTATAGATGTTCTGTGCCTATGTCTGAATAAAAATAGTCTGTGTGTGTTTGTGTGTGTGTGTGTGTGCATAAATATATATTGCATGAGAAGAAAGGAAGTAGTAAGAAAGGTTTTGAAAATGGGTATTCTAATATATAGCGCATTGAGCTACTTTTTTGGAAATGCGCTGTCTAAATGTTATATATTATTATTATTATTATTAATTATTTATTGAAATGTGCAGTCTTTGAATGGCACTGGTGTTTAATGATTGGGCTCTTCACCTTACACTCGAAAGCCGAGATCACACCCCACATGGGGAAGATGTTTTATCAAATGCTTCCATTTTTTTGCTGGTGCTGTCCTACATTAACTTTGGCTGATCGTGATGGGCAGGATTAAATCAGCATGTCTTGTAAATGGTCCTAATTGTGTGAAGAGAAGCATTAAGCACAGTCATACAATGATGAATGATAGTAATTCAATACAAAAACAGATGTTTTAGGGACTGTTAAAGGGTGACAATGCTAACTTCTTCACTTTCTTTTGTTTCTCCCTGTCTGTCTTGCTTTTTCCTTGCACTAAATAACCATTGTTGTGTTGATGTGCTTCTCTGCCTACTCAGATAAAGAAAACGGTGTTAGCTTTGGTGATTCCCCTTTCTCAAATTTACTTTTCAGGCCCGGGGACTTACATGGTGACCAAATGCGGGGCCTCAGGTCACAACATCCGCGCCCGGCCGAGTCTGAGAGCTGCTCCTATCGGCATGGTGACCAAGGGGAAAAAGATCAAAGCTGTGGAAGATGTGAGTCTCTTTGAAGCACATTCATACCAAAGTTCTGCGTCTGTCTGTGTATCGAACAGTAGCTGACTGGGGTTGTCGTGTTCATACCACTCCATGTTTTTGTCCATTGAAATGCCTTTTCTGCCAGGGGAAAACCAAGGTCACATAACTAGTCTATTTTTATAATTTCTTGGGAATTGAGTAACTGAGTTCAAATTCTGTCATGTTTGGTATGTTTTCTCATGTACAAATATGATATCAGATTTAATAATTTCAACAAAAAAATCTTTTTGAAAAAATTAGCTCAGCTGAACTTGCCCTACTTCATAGAATGTGATGGAGCAGAAATACATTCAAAAATACATGTGTCATGAAAGTGTTCAGAGAGTGCCTTGAGATGTGTCTGTGCCTTCTACTTCTTTTTAAGTGTTACTAGTTCTGAGTATTTCTAACCGTTATGTAAAGTTGGAACGTTGTAAATGTTGTAAACTCATATGCAATTTATAGATAATGGCAAAAACTAGTGACTTATATTTGAAGTGTTATTGTTATAGATATGCTATATTGTTAAGGAAACTACAGATGTTTTGAGGGTATGTCTTTGGATTCAATGTTGTGTTGTAATTGTGAAGAGCCAGTTGCGTTGTTTTTTGTGTGCAAGTAAGAAAAGTTTCAACAATGTTGGGAGCAGTAGGGAAAAGTGCTTGGTTTCAATAAAGGAAAAGCAAGCAGTCATCCCAAGGAAGCTCATGTACTGAAAAACCATGTAGACTCAGAAGACTAGGGCTCAAAGGGTTTTTAAAAACCTTAAAAAAATAAAAAACCCAACTATGTCTGGAAGATGGAATGCGTGTTCCTCATTTTACAATCAGCATGTTATGAAAGAAGATTGTTGCTCGCCTGTTATTGCTGTTTTCTATATATACACTTCTGGTCATCTCCAATCTTTCTGAATGGGTGAATAGAAGACACTTCTGTTTGGCCCCACCTCATTTTTTTTTACTTTCTGTTGTCTCTGTCTGTCGTCTCTTCTGCTTTTCTTCTGCACTAGATGACAGTTAGTATGCTAATGTGCTCCTCTTTATTCAAACAAACAAATAATACCGCCTACACAGGTGGTGACCTCAGAGGGCGTGTGGATCCGGCTGTCCGAGGACTCTGCCCACAAGTACTGCCTCAGTCCCATGGCCTCCGAAGCTTGGTCACTGGTCAGTGGGATTGACAAGGTGTGTGAAAGGAAAACTATTGCCATAGTTATATATAAAACTATTGCCTCGGTCATTCTTTATTTGTTAGGCAGCGTGGTGGAATTAGGCTCTTGTTGAAATAATCAAAGTGAAGAAACTTGCATTTTTCCGCAGGTTTGTCGATTTTTGTCAAATTTTTGTTTTTGGGCTCAACACCTTTCATGCCCATTAAAGAACTCATTTTTGTGTGGATTTTTCCGAAAAACGTTGATTAAACACACAAAAGAAGTAAATTTTCAGTTACCAGGAATTCTTAAGCTAAGGAAATAACAAATCTTTGGCTTTGGCGCTCATTTTCTCACTAATTTTACCTCTGAAAACAGGTGACCCCCACCTCCTTCATTCTCAAATGTTTCGACTTGTATTTAAGGTAAACGGATTATTTTTTTATCCAAATAAAGATAATTAAACAAGCTTTAAGATGATACCAATAACTGTATGTGCCCAAAAATTGACAAGAGCCTGATTCCACCACGCTGCCTCGCATTTGGTTTTTCAGTAGACTTAAAAAAACCAAACCTGAGTGCTCTCCTAATCAACCTTATCACAAGAACCAAGTGAAAATGTCTCAATAAGTGGATTTTCCATACACGAAACAAATCCCAGCTATACTGAAGTCAATATGAACAGGCATTCTTACTGTATAAGTAACATGAAATTAGGAAAAAGATTGCCAAAGCAATTATGTTTTTGACTATATTTTTAGAGACATCTAATTAGATGGCTTGATCCCTGAGACAGTACTGCCATCTTGTATCTAGCATCTGAGCAAGTTTTGCTGACTTCGAATGTGAAAGATGCTGCTTCATAAATGTTGTTGTGTCAATGTAAAACATTTACTGTAGATCAAAGTTTGTACTTCGGGATGCCTCTGTTCTCAGGCCCAGTACATGCAGCATGAGTCAGAGTTCCCATTTGGTGGGCGTGGACAAGACCCCTTTGCGTTCCGAAGCCTTCCACCGCAGTCCCAGCAAGGCTTTGACTTTGCCATGAAAGCGGCACAGTACGCCAACACTTTCCCAGGATTCTTCCCCAGTGAAGAAGGTGAGGGTTCTATATGGAACTGGAGCGAATTGTATGGTTTCAGTTGCTTGTCTTTTGTCTTTTAATGGACTGCTTTTATTTAGTCTTTTTATTTTTCATCTCATGACTGGCTTCATGGAAGAAGAACCTTGAATGTCCCTGAAAGCTGCAGATGGTTAGTTAATCTTTAGACAGAGATACTGATGAGTGAATTGGCTCCATTTTGCGAAGTGGACATAGACAAAAAAAATTCTTGAAAATCATACTCTGTTATGGTAAAACTAGCTACTTCATGAATGATTGTTTGTCCTTGTAAACTTTCCCTTGTTGCACTGAACCACAAGGATGGTATAATTTGGAACTGAACTACCACTAATGTCCTAGTTTTAAGAATGAGCTTTATTTTTTTTCAGCGTTTGGCAAGAGTAAAAGTATGCCATCATCTGCTTTCAATTTTGGAGGAATAACAGGTATGTGCTAAATGGGTTCTGCACATCTTTGTTCTTGTTGTTACATGAATTAAAGTTTTGTAAAGCTTTCTTTGACTGTTCTTATTCCTTTATATCTCAAAGGGTTGGCTTGAAAATCCCCCAAAAAATTATAAAAGTTTAGATTTGCTTTTTTTTCTATGCTGATGTCAATTTAGAAGTGAATACATTACAACAGCTCAAAATGAGGCAGAAGTCAATAAGTTTGACCATGTTTATCTCGATTTCTCTAGTAAGCTCCTGTAACTCTTTCAATTCACAAAATGGACTCAGAAACCAGATATTTATTGCTGATGGGTGTATATTTCTTTGAATTATGTGGGTTGAGATGTAGTGTAGGGAGAAATATGGTATTGAGTGTGAACATTACTTTTCTCTGAAACACAGTTGTTATTTTAAAATAAGATATAATTTTCATTTCTGGTGTCACTATAATGTAAGCTAATTTGGATATATGTTGAATTATCCTCTCCTTTCTCAACCAGTATTTTTTTAACTTATACCTAACCATCCAGCAGTTGCCTTACAAGTATTTTGCTGCATCAAATATTGCGCTGCTGTTAATTTTTGTTCAGTTTAGGGTGCGCATAATATCCTTTTAGTTCTGCAAAACTGATAGCTCAAAACGTATTCTGGCTTTGCTCGAAGAATGTTACTGAAATTACATGTTTTTGTTTTCACAGGTTTTCAGCCCAAGATACCTCTGCCCAGATTTGGAGAGCCCCCAGCTCCAGATGAAGCATTTGGTCACACTTCCTTCCCCCCATCCCCACCTCCTCCCAATCAGAACTGCAATGAGGAGGAGAATGGAGCAGATATTGGCCTGGAGGAGGCAATCCTTGCAGACAGAATTCTGCGCCAGAGGCAGAGGTGAGATTGTGGCGGGAAATTGGTGCCCTGTGCTCACACGTTGCCCTGAGTTCACACAGCGCACTGATCTCATGTGGTGCACTGTGCTCACACAGCGCACTGATCTCATGTGGTGCACTGTGCTCACACGTTGCCCTGAGTTCACACAGCGCACTGAGCTCATGTGGTGCACTGTGCTCACACGGTGCACTGAGTTCACACAGCGCACTGATCTCATGTGGTGCACTGAGTTCACACGTTGCCCTGAGTTCACACAGCGCACTGAGCTCATGTGGTGCACTGTGCTCACACGTTGCACTGAGTTCACACAGCGCACTGATCTCATGTGGTGCACTGCACTCACAGGGGTGGGAAAGTGAGCAAAAGTAAAGCTAACTTCTACAGTCCTGATTTTGATTCAGGTCCTTACAAAATAGGTTGCCTAGATCAGTTGTCACTTCTGTCTAGATTTTATTCATCTGGGTTTTTGTTTGAAGGTCTGTCAACCAGCAGACGACAAGATTCTTTAAGCACAAGCCACAACCTTCTCCTATCTGTACTCAAAACACCTGAGTGTTATCCACCTTCATCTTTCTGCACTCTAAACAACTTAAAGTGGGTGGTTGGCGGGTGCTCTGGTGTGGTTTGCTCCTTTTTTCCTATCAAACATCTATCGTCCTTATCTACCCTTCTTCTTTTTTATGTTTGTTACTTTCTTGTAACACTTCTAATCTTCTGGCGCTCTTAAGACCTTATGCAGTTGCGAGTGCCATAAAACCTCTACTAAAAAAAACCCCAAAAAATCCTGAATGTACCCCACCTTCACCTTTCTGCACTTTAAACGCACACCTTGGAATGCAGTGGTGTCTTTCTTGCAGTTGACTCTATGAAGCTCAGGTACTTGGGTTCTGTAGGCTCTGGGGACAAGACCTCAGACAGTCGGAGCTCTGTCAGATAGACAGAATACTTGTTCCTAGTTTACTCTTATGTTGTTATAAATGTTGGGTGCTGTGGCAAAATTTGTTTGGGGTGTTTGTGTGTGTGTGTATGTGTGCATATGTGTGTATGTGTGCGTGGGCGCTCACATTATGAGGGAGAGAGAAGAGATAAAGTGGGTTTACATATGTATTTTGTTCATGTGCTATTGATGAATATGTGTTCATTTTGTTTCTGCTACAAAGCTAATTATGCATTCACGGAGCAGAAATGTAGTACAGTCAAATTCATATAAGATGACTACCCATTGTATTATTATTATCATTATTATTATTATTATTACAACTATTATATTGTTGTTATTATTATTATTATTATTATTCTCATGTTATTATGGTCATTAGTTTATTATTATGAACTCCTTTTTTCTTCTCACAGGTCTGGCTCGAACCCCAATCCGTTCATGTCCGTGCCGCCTCTCCCAGCCCACCAGATGACCAGCCACCAGCGGTCATTGTCCACTCGCAAGGCCTCTGACCCCGGTCTGGTGCGGCTGACCCTGCAGGACAACAAGGACATCCCTCCAGAGCTGCAAGGGGTGCCCGTCAACGAGCTAGTCAAAGCCCTAGGTCAGTGTACACTAAAGTTTTCGTCTTTTGTTTTTCTGTTGTGCTAGTTTTAACACTCTACTTATTGTTGATGGTACTAGCAGTTCCTGTTTGCAAACGAAGTGCCAGCTTTGTAAGAAATGCAAAGTGTGTTTAGTTTCAGTGATGTTTTATATGTAAACAGCCACTTTCAGAAACGCTGGTGTAAAGGAACGTTGAATGGATATTACTATGGTTTCCAAGTGCTTAACTGTTGCTCTTACTCTTACTGTTCTTGTCGGTCAACATGCTTTCTGTAAAAACCCAGTAAGTCTTTTGCCAAATCAACCATCTTAATTTTGTTGTCACAGTTTCTAACGGAAATGTTCCTGGTAAAAAATTGTCATCACAATCAATAGTGTTGATCTCAATGAATAAAATGATACCAAATACAACTTGTATTTTAGTAGTTAGTCAAAACTGTTGTTTTATGAAAACATGAGAAATTTTTACATTTGTAGGGAATTTATTGGGAAAAAGGTTTCAACTGCAGAGTGTCAAAAGGAATGTGAACTAGAATTCTGCTTGTGCTCTGATGCTGCATCTGAGGCAGCTGAGTAAATTGTAAGAAAAGGCTTTCAAGAAATCGAATTAGGTAGAGATGGGACTTATACCCAGTTTTATGTCACGTTATGTACATGTAGTGTTTCTTCATTGAAAAGAAAAATGAACTTACTCATCCATACTTGTGTTTCCATCTCTGCCTATCTATTCTGTGCTGGACTGTGGTGGGTATTGGACTCTTCTCCTTGATAATGATGGGAAAATAACTGTTCAATTGTCACTATTTGTCCTTTATTTCAATGTGTGTTGTGTTTGGTGTTGTGATGTGTTAGACACTGCAAAGGGCACCAAAACCACCAATCGATCTACTTACATTTACTGTGATGATGATGTCATAGCGTGTCCTAGTTTCACTGCCCTAGGCCTTAAACTGTGTTATCCAGCCATTAACCCTCGGAAATTGGCAAGATTAGTGGGTAAGATGATTATGATATATTAGATGCTGTGCGAAGAAAAGTGTTCTTTAAAACATTTTCGTTAGTTCTCATTACTACTGTTTTCAAAAAATTGTTTAGGTTGCTTGAACTACAGTTGTTTTATCATCTGTTACTCTGTGAATTTCTTTATTCCAATATTCCTTTAGTCAAACAGCAAGAAATTTTTGGCTATTTTTCCCCTCTGAAAAGTATCAGCCTAAAGTTTGTTTGGTAACGAAGGAGTTGAAAATGCAGTTGAGGTTTCAGGCCTTCAGTGAAATGAGGAGTCTACTTACTTTATAGTAATTTTCAATTTGTGTGTTTCATGGGTAGTATTTGCACTATGAGTGTACTACTTTATTTATCTGTTACAGACACATTTTTGGGAGTTCTTTATAGTAGTGTTTTTAAAAGGAAATTCATTAACCCAATGAGCCCATGACACTGATATATCGATGTGCTGGTTATTTTCCCATGCTCCGAAGCACCGATATATCAGTGTGTGCTAGTCTGCCATAGAACAGTAATCCATACAAGGATAAAAACGGGATAAATGACGTTAAAAGAACTTGTAGGTTCCTTTTAACTATTGTAAAGGTCAAGGCATCTCATGGAAGAGAGAACTGGTTTGAATAGTCTTTTGTGTTTTGTGTGTAGCCATAAAGGCATTTTTTGCTCAGGAAGCCAGGGGACAGGCTATTTTGGGCTCAGGAGGTCGGGGCTCATTGGGTTAAACTGCTATTTATTGTCCCTGCTGTCGATGTGCCCTTTCTTCAACAACATTTTCTTTTTGTATTCTCTCTCTTGATATCCACATTGTAAACTTTGTCTCTTGTAATATGTGACAAGTTTAATGAGCTTTTATGTTATTGTTTCTTTCACTTTCACTGTACAGAACCCAAACAGAAGCTTTTTTGTATTCTAACCCTTATAGTGTATTACGGTTTTGAAGTTTATACTGTTAATCCAGCACAAAGTAACTTAAGATGATTCATGTGATGTAAGTGAAAGTGGTGTCTTGTCACTGTTGTGAAAGTTGTCCTTCTCTCTGACATTACATGTTTTTTATTGTTCATCCTTTTTAAGGAGAGGTGGCTCTTATTTCAAATGTATAAGAAGGCTGGTTGGGGAGGGGGGGCACCAGGAACTGATCCTACGTTTTCACAATCTTTACTCTGTTGTTTCTGTCTGCTTGTGTTGCTTTTTCTTCTTCTCTTTTGAGCTGTTATCTAGTCAAAGTGCTTCTGTTTAGCTTTCTTCTACTATTTTAGTCAGTCAACAGGCTTTAAAAAAAATTAAAGCACGGATTGATTATCACCATATCAGTGTACTTATGTGCTAGTCAAATAAAATTAAGACTAATCAAACAGGTGCACTAGGTGGATATGCAGCTCACTGGGAAATATTTTCAAAACTTTTTAACTCTTTCCACCTACCCAGCACACAGAGCACAAAACCTTTGTCCCCACATAACAGGAAGCAGGTGGGGCACACCATAAAAAATACCTCAATCATTATGAAATTTTCATCACTTTCAGAAAATTGAACTTGACAGTTGCATCTCTATCGAAAAAGGAATCAGAATCGGATAAAAAAAACGTTAGATCTAGCTAATTCATTACCCAAATCTTCATCATGTCGTTAGTGTAAAGCAGCACTCATCCATGGTCTACTTGACATTTTTAAAAGAAAAGTTCACTCCTGTTGTTGTAAACAAACTGATTTTCAGGCTCAAAGCCCACACAAACCATTCAGAAAGGAAATTATAACTTTAGCAAGTGCACATATCTAAAAGTAGATCATTCTTGTTGTTGAATTATACTGTCGCTGATCGGCGTTCCTTGAGGGAAAGAGATGGCTTCTTACTGGTGCCGATTGTCTTGAGTTTTTAGAATAATTTTGTCACTTTTCCCAAGGGCTTTTAGGTCTCTTCCTTTATCAACTCACTTGTGCTTAACTTTTTTGCTTGTGTTGACTTTGTGGAGCCCGTGTATTGCGTATCGTAATAATAGTGACTAGTTGTCTTTGACTACTGATAGCCGGGAGTGACTTTGTGGGTTGATTTATTACTGGAGTTTCTCTTTTAAAATCTATTTGAGTTTGTGGTTGATGGGTGTCACGGTATGGGTCTTCACGACCAAATGTGGTTGCTGTCTGGTTCACTTTGTACAGTTATAACTGAACAACATTTGTCGAGTTGAAAACTGTTCTTTGGTTTTATATTGAGGGTACGAGAATCTGAGCTGGAAAGTGGTTGTTTTTTTCTTTTCACCCACAAGAATTAAAGCAACGTGAGAGTGCTGATGTGGCAACCCCCTTTCTCTTGACTTCCTTGAACTTGAATTCTCTAAGGGACATACTGAAATATAGTCTGCGGTTCAGCTTGGAACTATCCCAGCTGCTTATCTCTACTAGATTATCGATTTCCTAGATTCCAGTATTTGGTGGGCTTATTCTTTCTGTTGTAGTGCATCTTTTGAGAATATGTTGATTGCAGATGCTGTTCTCAAATGATTCACGCAAAACTATGTTGAAAATAGAAGTGGAGTCCTCACATTCTAACTCTTAACCGCATTCTGGGGTATCCGTTTGGTTTAAATCCATCCAGTATACATTTGTGGAGATTTCGATTTAGTCCTGACGTAGATAGCTTTCATTTCTCTCTTTCAAAAAAAAAATCATAACGTATACGCCATCTTCATTTGTCATTTTTTAACCAGGAGCACACATGGTTCTGCCATTTTAATCCAGTACTGTTAAATGATAGTTGCACATTCTCTCTTCTACTGTGGTGTAAATTCCATAGAGTTTTTCTTTTTGTGTCTGATCTAAGAGGGGGGAAGGGTAGCTCAGCACACCATTGTCAGATATCTGTTGTATGTTTAGTTTCCAGGTTTGGGTTAGGTTGCCTCTTGTTTTGTTCTTTTGCATCTGTGAAGTAATGTTACGTTTATTTCCAATTTGTTTTATTTTATCATGTTTTGTGTCATTTATCATCATGTTGGCTCTTTGTTAATATGTAACCAAAACAGAATGTTGCTTTTTCCGTACGAAATCTTTAGTCTATTTTGTGGTTTATACTTTGTGTTGTGTTTTGTATGTTTCTTTTATTGAAATTATGAATATTTAATGTTTCTTTTCTTTTTTCTTTTTGCAATGTTGATCATATAAAAAGGACCTGGCTGTTGTTCTTGTACTTGTATATATTCGTTTTCCTCTCTTGACTTATGCAGTTGTCGCAATTATTTCACTTATTTAATTATGCGTATGTGTTTACATCTCAAAGTTTGACCTCATACCATGTCATGAATGTGTGGGTTATGTCTTTTGTGTTTGAGACACTGGTCTTCCAATCTATTGCTAAGGCCTTGGAAAACTGTAGTACGTGGGTGGTTGGTGGGTGCTCTGGTGTGGTTTGCTCCTTCTTTCCTGTAAACAAAACTCTCGTCTTTATCTCTCCTCCTTCTTTTTTATGTTTGTTGCTGTCTTATAGCACCTCTAATCTTCGGCACTTATATGACTTTATTGTGTTGCAAGTGCCGTAAAACGCTTACCAAAACAAGGAAAACTGTAGGTCCAAATGTATCTTCCACTAAACGTGTGCTGTCATGCTTAATGTCCGTCTCAGGAGAGTCTCGGGCCAATGGGAATGGTCCAACGCCCCAGCCCTCCCCACCTGGCTCACCAAAGCGAGGCTCACGTGAGAGTAGCCCAAAACCTTCAGAAAAACGTGAGTGAAGCATATGTGTATTATTTCTCTTTTCTGTACTTCTGTCTTCAATTACTTGCTCCATAGTGTATTCACAGCTTTGCATCTAACATGATCTTTTTCCCATAACTTTAGTGCAACCCTTGGAAAAAATGTTATGAAATAATCTATCGGAAATAAAAATAGAAAAGTCTGTGTAAACAGAATGTGAACTATCAGTAGTTGCATACAATTATTCTTTTTGGCCAGTGTGACACAAAATAAGTTGTAAAAGTGAAATAGTGGGCTCATACTCTCCTACTAATGTATTGGGAGTGCCTGACATTCTCATTTTAAAAGTATACTATTGGTCGTAATTTATGAGTGGTTGTATGAGGTGAATAACCTTATACTTTTCGCTTTGCCAGGTTCATCTGAGAGAGAATCTTTGGGAAAAGATGAGCAGTTCAAAACCCCGCCCAGTAGCCCGATCCCAACGCGGGTGATTCGAGGCCCTCTCCAGAAAGTGGACTCATTTGACAAGTCCAACACACCCACCCCGCCAACCACACCTCAGTCAGAGAGATCGGACAAGGCAGCGGGTTCAAAACCACCACCAGCCTCAGGCTTGACCGCTACCTTGCCAGAGAACAACAAAAACACGTCAGAAAGTTTAAGTTCTTCTCCTATGTCTGTGGATACAGATAGCTCAAAGACCAAAGACCTGGATCTGAGCCCTAGGGAAGTAAGAATAGGAGAAGGGGCAAAGTTGAAGCTTCTTCCTTCAGACACGGAAAAGTTGCTAGGTGTGACCGCGTCAAGCTCACCTCTGGGTGTTCCTTCTGGTGAGAAAAAGATGAGCCCCGTGGCGGTGGTGGTGCCCACGGTGAAGACTGTGGCATCGTCCAATAGCACAGTGCCAGAAACAGCCCAGAGAAGTGGACAGGGCCAGGACCCGGCCGTCGCTGGAGGTCTGGCCACTGGGGGAGGTGTGAGAGCTCGCTTCCGGTCTCCACCCGTATCCAATGAAAGGTGAGGCAAGGTTTATTTCCTTTTGGCTTTGTGGTTGTCTTGATTTCTCTGTGGGAAAGAAAGGTTCTCTCTTTTTGTTTTTTTTAAATGAAAGTAAAGTATAACCACCCTTTACCTTACACATCTAAAATGGGAACGCACAACCGCAACAACATGTTGAACTGAATAATTTTTAAAAATGTGAGACAAAATCTCTGTTAGACACAAGAGGTCGTTTTGAAAAAAGAGCGTGTGACCCAGTGGTAAGAAGAGTTGAGTAGAAGAAGGGAAGATGGCAGAGACACAGTATGGTTATGTAAATGTCTCTGACAAACAGCCCAAGTACTTTTGTTTATGTGCATTATTATTCTGTTTGAGGAGGTAGCACCTCCTGTTAGTGTGCAGTGGTTCATTTTACATTTTTATAATTTTTTTAAGGGGCTGTGTGTGCGTGTGTGTGTGTGTGTGTGTGTGTGTGTGTGTGCGCGTGTGCATTAATGTATATTGCATGAGAAGAAAGGAAACAGTAAGAAAGGTTTTTGAAAAATGGGTATTCCAATGTAAAGCGCATTGAGCTACTTTTTTGGAAATGCGCTATATAAATGTTATATATTTTTATTATTAATTATCATGTGGATATATGACGAGGGGAAAACAACTAATTGCTGGTATTTGTTTTTGTCATCTTTACTGTAAATCTTTTTTAAGTGTTCACAAAGTGAAAATGCACTCTGTAAATGCTACCCAATGTTCTTCTTTCTATTTTTTTTTGTTTTTTCAGAAAGGTTTATTTTATTTTTTTGTTCTTAACTTTTCCTTGCATCATTTCTCATTGCTTATGTTTCTCCTCGTCACGAACATGTCGTCTGTTTTCTCCACTCCCCAGACATGATGTCAGCAGTGGCTCTCAAGGTGTAGATATGGTGGACATTGGAGCAGTGGGAGCCAGCGAAGGCACGGCGGTCGCGGTGGCGGGAGCTGCCAGTGGGAGTAGCACTTCCTCCAGTGGATCCAGGAAATCCAGCATGTTCACCATTGGGACGGCTTCGCCAAAAGACGACTCTATACGGTTAGTGCACAGTGAGAGGCAACAGAAATGTGTTTTGTGGAGAAGCTGTTGAGATTTTCGTTGAAGGAAAGGAAATATTATTTAGTAGATACATTTTTTACCTGACATCATAACTGTTGTCAATTAGTCATGACTTGTAGTAACGGTTGAAAGCAATACACGATGGTCTAAGCTCCAAGCTCTAGGTTGTTATGCTCAAGGCACCCAGGCATCTAGTGAAAATACAAATGTGTTACTTTGCACAAGTTATTCCAAAGCTATTAAAAGGGAGAGAATTTATGAGAATTTATTTTTTGTTCCCTTGGCAGAAAGTGTAGTTGTGTTCGAAATTCTCATTGTTAATGTAACATTCTTGATAAGTTTTTCTGAAAATTCCAGATCAGAAAGATCTATGGGATCTGCAGATCTTGATTAAATTTTCGTCCACATGTTTTAAAAAATTGAGTTAATGAGGTGTATTTCTTTCATTGTCCAGACTGTCTCCCAAGTCAACAAGAAAAGATCGGAGTCGTTCTAGTCGAGTGAAGCGGGAGAGAGCATCGTCACCATCAACATATGAAGTAGCTCCCCTTCAGAGAGCCAGATCTGCATCTGCTTCAAAGGTTAAAACTGATGACTTTTTGTTTTTGTTTATGTTTATTTACTTTTAAGTCCTTAACCTCTGTGACTACATATTTCCTTCCTGCCTTTTTCTTTTAAGGTTTGTTCCGCTGTATGTAAGTGAAAGATGCAGGAGGTTGGAAATCGCCTCTAGTAGGTCTACTTCTTTCCTTCTATTGTTTCTGTGTTTCTTGCTTTTTTCCTGCAGTTTATCGCCTTTATAGTATCGTTATACTTTACTTTACTCAAATAAGATAAGTTTTTATTTTTAATGTCTGAGCTGGCATATTTAAATCCTTTTATCGGAAGAATTTCGTTGCTTTCTACTCCTTGATCATTTTCCATCTACTCTTCAGATCCTGGACAGAACCCGTGGTGCTGTGGTGAAGGATGCCTTGTCCCCAGCTGCTGCCGAGTGCCTCCGTGCTGTCTTCGCTGCCTTTATGTGGCACGAGGGCATCGTACATGATGCTATGGCCTGTGCTTCCTTCCTCAAGTTCCATCCAGATCTCACTAAAGAGATGTCTAAGTTTGTCAAGGTAGGATGAGTTGCAGTCAATAGCACAGTAGCAGTGCCTGAAGGTGTTATGGTTATACTCTTCGTTGTTTCATGTAGAAGACATGGATTTGATTCCAGGATGGGGAAGCTGTCTTTTCAAGTGTCTTTGTTGGGGTGCATTATCCGGCTCAGTTCAGGAAGGTCATAGCAGCCTGCATCCTTGGTAATCTAAACTGTGTAGAAGTGGACATAAAAACTTACTCATTTAATACTGGCAGGGACCCAGCAGTTTCTATGCTGGTGCCCTGAATTCAGTGCAGTTGCTGTGCTATTGTGCATTTAGTTCTTTTCTAATAATTACGGTATTGGGGTTTTAAAAAAGTATAATAAAGATATGTTCTTTTGTCCCTAACCCCTGAACTGATGAACTGTTGCATGTTATTGTAAGTTGCAGTGAGCAAGTTTGACTTTCTGGTACTGTAAGGAAAAACCCAAATATTATTTATTATGACACTGTGTGAGATGTCCTCCCGTCTAAGACAATCACTCTTCTCCTCAATAATAGGTGGCTGTCTTTAGGCAATTTCAACTGAATTTTTTGCCCCACTCCTTGGTGTTATCTTTCTCCCTTCAGGAAAAGAAGCACGCCAACACAGAACCCCGGCGCCAGCGCCATGCCACCGAGTCCAGCAAGGACAGAGCCCACCCCCGCCGTAAGGACAACATAAACGAGAGCCGTGTACGCTTCAACCTGGAGCCCCAGTACTCCGATGTGGACATAGAAGGGCCGTGTGAGCCGTATCTGCCCCCAAAACCGAGGTCAACCCGTGTTGGCTCCAGCCCTGCTGTGGATATGCCGGTCAAGCCTCTGTTGTGCGAGACCAAGTCCGATGCCTGTGAGTATTCTTTTTGAAAGGTTTCGATATTCTTGTGGGTCCTTTATGTTCTTAGGAATGGAGATAAAAGGAAAGTTACACACCCCCTCCCCTAGTGCACACCCACCAGGATCGCCGTTGGGGTCTTGTTAGATCTCAGTTACGTCTTACAGCAACAGAGAGCAACACTCTTTGATTATCGTGGTGTGCAAAGATGCGGTGGTTAAACTTTTCTTTTTACCTTAGTCTGTAAACTGTGGTAACTCTAGGGGCTTCAGCAAATTTACTGTAATTGTTCTTAAGATGATGATGATGTAAGTCATTTTGATGTGGGATTTGGGGGGAGGGGGGGGGGGTGAATTGATACACTCCCTACCCATGGTTCAAAAGTGTAACACCCATAATTGTGGAATGACCAATGAAATGCCTGCACATGTACTTTGGGGTGTTTTTTTACATGTGTTATGTTTACTTTCATACATCAACCCTTTCTTTGTAACCTATTCTCTTCTTTCATCTTTGCCCTGGGCATAGGGCGCCATTTTTGAAGAAATTTGCATCAGTCAGGTAATACAGAAACGAACTTCATATAAAAATCAATAAAACATACAGACTTTAAATTATTTGAAACATGGATGGTTGAAGGGTGCCACAGGAAAGTTTTACTTTACTCTCCATCTATTTCTGTCTGTCTGTCTTACTTTTCCCCAGCGCCTAATGTCTGTTATTATGTGGTGTTATAATGTGGATGTGCTTATCTTTTTTCAAACCAAAGGAGTTAATGGAGAAAGCTTGTCTCACTGTCTTATGGTGGATGGTTGGACGGCGCCAGTGGTAGGTCCTACTTCTTAACCTTCCCTCTGTTGTTTCTGTCTATCTTTACTTTTTTCCCTAGTACAAAATGACCACTATTGTGTCGATGTGCTTCTCTTTATCTGAATAAACAAACAAACTGTCTTATGGTTCTTCCTTCCTCTCTTGCCAGACGTGGAGAGCGGCTCCTCGCCCATGGGATCCATCAAGCGACAGGTGGAGCGGCACAAGTCGGAGGGAGGCACCGCCCAGTTCCACGCGCTGATTGAGGCAGCAGCCAAGCCAAAAGGAGACAAGGTTTGTCTGAGAGTTACTGCTGATGGTGGTTGCTACATTTTGTGTAGATCTGTCATTTGTGATGACAACTTTTTGACATGTATTAAGTAAGTACATTATAAAATACGAGTAGCTAGTTTCTTTTCTATGTACCCTGTCTGTTTCAAAAATGGATGGTGGAAGGGAACCTCTTGTAGTTTCTTTCTTTCCCTCTCATAATGCTATCTGTTTATCTTGCTTTTTTCTTTGCTTTGAGTGACCGTCTTTGTGTAGATGTACTTCTGTTTACTCTAACTCAAACAGATTCAAACCCTTTCTGAGCATATTCTTCATGACACCTATCTGAAAACAGATATTTCAAGTGTCACGTGTCTAGCCTCTGTGACATTTTTCTTTAGTCATTGAGAGAGGTCTAGATTCCATCTTTTTAATTATCCTCTGCCACATCCTTTAAAAAAAGCTCCCTTTTCTGAACAGACAGAGATATTTTGAAAAAGATGAGTAGTTCGTTTATGGCTCACCTCTCTTGTGCTGGATTCATTGCGTAAGAGTGTGAGATCGAAATGTATCTAGTCTTTATAAATAGTATTTTTGTATGGGGTGTCTTCTGAGAAAAGTTGTCTTAGATATATTATGTATGACTATGAATTCTGTCCAAATAAAGTTTTGTTAGCAATTTTCTGGACTTCTTCATTTGTCTATGTTCCCCTTTTTTGCCTTAACTGTTGATGATTGCTTGCGCACCACGCCCCCATTATTGTTCTGACTGAATGAAAGGTTAGTATTCCTTTGTACCTTGTATCAGTGTGCCCTTCTCTCTTTACAAAAATTGTGTATTTAATGAAGATGTCACTCTTTCCTTTTTTTTCAAGAGTAGATTTTTCTAGAAGGTAAAAAGGAACAAAAATACTCACTTTATATTTATATAACCACATTTTGACATAAAAAAAAGAAAGATATCTGCGCCATGATATTTATATAACCATGTACCGCATTTTGACAATCATCCCACCCCCACCCCCCAAAAAAAGGGAGGAGGGACGGCAATTAACATCCTCATTGTATTTATAACACCACAATTTGACTTTTTGTGCCCCTCCCCTCCCCCCAGGAAACCCAGCTGCCCAAGACCCTTCAGCACTTGGTCCACTTCTGGGAGGAGCTGTCCGAGTCTGTGGTGCAGGTGATGAGCCAGGACGCCGTGCCCCCGAGCCCCGCCATGGCCGCCCGCATCAAGCAGCACGAGCGACGCGAGAAGGACCGCGACAAGGAGAAAAAAATGAAGAGGAGGAAAGGAGCCAAGCCGGCCCCACTGCCCATCATGGAAGGAGGTGGTGGTGAGTGGATGGAATGTTTTCAGGGTTTGCCTTGGTGGGGATGTGTGAGGTGTAGGAATGTAAGAGGTGCCATTTAAGTACAAAAGCGTTGCTTTACGGGAATATAAGGATTGCCTTTCATGGTTGTAAAGACTTCCTTATTTAATATGTGTTTTCAGTGAAAATAATGAATGAATTATGTGTAGCAAGCTGTCATTGAATCTTAACCATCAGTAATTTTTCCCGTTGCATGTTTTCTCTAGTGTTTTCACTCTACTATTAAAGTCAAGAAACATCTTGGTGTTTTCACCTGAATATTAAGATTTAAAGACTTTTAGAGTTTTTCTGCTCTAAAATATTCTGATTGCCCACGTCCCCCTCAGGTATTCCCAACCTGGCAGGGAGGGCCCAGGAGATGTTTGGTGATGCGTTTGTCCGCATGTTCCGTCCCCCGCCCGGAGGAGCTGGGGGAGACGTTCATCCTTTGGCTGCAGCGGCCGCAGCGGGGGGAGCTGGGAGAGATGCCGACACTTTCTGTGATCTCTGTCAGGTAAATAATCCTCCTCCTTTCTTTGTCCTTTAAAAAAAATTTGAAATTTAGCGCAAACTACTCCTGTGGGTGGTTGGCAAGTGCTCTGGTGTGGTTTGCTTCTTCTTTGCTATCAAACATCTATCGTCCTTATCTGCCCTTCTTCTTTTTTATGTTTGTTACTCTCTTGTCACACCTCTAATCTTCTGGCGCTCATATGACCTTATGCATTTGCAAGTGCCATAAAACCTCTACTAAAACAAAACAAACTACTCTTGGATCTGCCTTTTGGTGCTGATTTGACTTGGTGTGCAGCTCTGGGATCACTGGGCTCACAGTGTGGTCGAAACAGTGTATATTGTAGGAAAGGAAACAGGTAGCTGTATTCGTCAATGTGCATAACGACATATGGAGGTTATGCTTTACTCTTACTCCCAAGATGGCCTGCTGTGCATATACATTTTTGTAATGGAGTCAAAGACTAAATGTGAAAGGGTTTTGTTTTTTTTCCAAAGGTCTCTACATTAAAACTGGTGCTATTGCATATGTGTAGAGTCTGTCTCTTGCTATGATGTAACTGTTCTAAGTGAACTGCCGGTAGACAGTTATCTGTTTATTCGGGTTGCCATATTTTTTGGTGTTTATTGCATTGGTTTCCGGAAATATGAAATGCTCCAGTCTTTGTGTTTGTTGTATGACAGACTTATATGTCTCTATCTCTTCATACTGTGCCAGTCTTTTTCTAATCACACAGTCCTTTAGGTTCTGGAAATTCAGCCTGCGCATCTTGATACCATCCATATTTCTTTGCTAGTGGGTCTGTGGTTCTGGACTGGTGTCTATGGTGCAAATTTTACTCTCTCCACCATTGCTTGCCGAAGGCATGAGTTCAAATCCTACTCAGGGGAAGTTATTTTATGAAGAATTTTTTCAAGTTTGGTCGAAGCAGCTGCCTCCTAAATTATTAAATGTTGGCGGGAATCATAAAACATGTCTGTGTACTAAATCCAAAACTTTTCTCTGGTTCACTGCCAGTGTTCTTTGTCTTTTTGTTTCATATTTGATTGTATCTGTATTTAATTTTTTTTCAGCAGAAAATGCAAGGGGTATTAAAAATAATGAGTTTTCGTAACTTGTATTTATTTTGCTCTTTTACACTACGGTACTTCCATTGCTTGCATTCTGGTGTCACCCTTAGGGTATGTTTCCACACCCTGTGACTTACCACATGCGCCAGGCTCACCCGGGCTGTGGGAAGCATGCAGGAGGCAAAGGCTACAACTCCAGTGGTATCTTCGGCGGGGGCTGGGCTGGCACCTGTGGTGAGGGCGGTATTGGAGAGTGCTCCTGGTATCTGCTGTGTGAGAAGTGCCGAGAGAGGTACATGAAGGTGAGTAGAAGGCCATGCTCTAAGTAGCTCTCTGTTGATAATGATTATAATAATAATAATAATATTAACAATAATGATAATGATAACATTAATGATGATAATAATTTTTTGGGTAGGTGTTCTGTAGTTCCATTGAAATGGTGTAATCTTACTTTTGATCATTAGGTACTTTCATAGAGTATGTCTTGAAACGGTCCATTTCTTGTTGCAGATAATAATAATAATAATAAGAGCATTTGTATCCCGCCTTTCCCCACAACATGGGCCCAAGACGTACATAGGAGATTAAAAACGCATTCATACAAACACCATACAAATTCATCATGTGCGCACTTTTTGACAGCAACATTCTTTAAGACAATTAAAAATGCTCATACAAAAAGGCAAAGGTACTGTCCATTAATTAAAATATTTCTTAAATAGATGTGTTTTGAGTCCCCTTTTGAAGGTATCAAGTTTTATTTCGCTTCTCAAATCATGACGGAGAGTGTTCCAAACTGTTGGCCCAGAAAAAGAAAAAGCTCTCTCACCGTATTTCTTCAGTGACACATGAGGTGTTGAAATTAGTCTAGAGCCACTGGATCTTAGTTCACGTGATGGTGTGTATGGTACAATGAGTTCTTGAATGTATGTGGGAGACTGGTTAGCTTGACCTTTGAAGATAGACGGGACATTTTTTTTTTTTAGGGAAGCATTTAATTGTTACTGGGGTTTCTTTGGGCTTTTTCCTAGCAGAGTTACCATCTTGTCAGAATTTTATGTATACAGAGGTGCAATTTAACTGAAGAAAATGTTTGTAAAAGAAAGGGAAAATGTCCACCTTTTATGAGGAACATATCGTGAATAAATTCTGAATTTCTAATTCCCATCTCTTTCTTCTTGGAGGAAAAGAAATCTTCAAAAGACAAAAATCGGAAAGGAAGGAAGAAAAGCATGAGCCTGGCTCCTGGGTCTGCTTCCTCCGCCGGTGGCAAGCCCCAGAACTTCCTGTCTCCCATGGAGGCTCACCACATCCTGAAGAACAACGCTCAGTTCCTCCTGGAGCTGGCCAGTTCCTCGGGACTCTCCCTGCCCAAGCACAACAAGTCGCGGCCCTTGTCCCTCCCCCGCGGTGGGGACATGTACCTTCCCAGTGTCAGCGAAAGTGGCACCGACCCCGACCCTTTCCCTCCTGTACCCTTCCAGTATCTCAACCTTCACAATGCGGGGAACTCGGACTCGGCCTTTGCCGAGGACTTTTTCGTCGCAGAAGATGAGAGGGTGTTTTTACGCTCAGGGTCCATGAGCAGTCCGCTACATCAGAAGCAGAATTTGCCTCCATATCGGCCACGTCTGCCCACTGAACCGCGGCATAGTCCTCTGGCCAGGTCAGGCTCTTTAGGGCAGGACACACGTCCATTTTCACAGTTGCTGCCATCTTTGAAGGTGAGATCTCAAGATGGGCTTTTTTAGGAAGGTCATTTTTGTAACTTTTTATTTTAAATGCTCAAACCATCTCTGATGTGGACTGATATGTCTCTACCTCTCTTTGTTTTTGTCCATTGCTGTGGTTACTATTTTTATTTCTATTATCTAAACAGAGATCAGGGTTAATGTAATTGTTTCATTCAGCTTTACTAATCCTCAAAGAACTAATGATAATGGAAAAAGGATCACATACTTTCTTCCATGCAAATAACCTTTAGGATGTTAAACGATGTGCCAGGAGGATTAAAAACTTCATGGCTTGTTCCTGATCCCTTTGATGTAAATGTTTCTTATGTTATCTTTAAGGATGACATCTTTAGGGTATTTTGTATAAGTTTATGTCCCCCTTTTTTTCTTTAGGAATGTTGACATAACGTTTTCCTGATGTTCCAACAAACTTTTACTCTTTACTCAGGCTTTTAAAAAAGTGGATGCTTTGTGTATTTGTCTGTCTTTGTCGCCATTTTTATTTTCAAATGCTCTTTTCCACTCTTGTTTTTACTCCAGCATGAAAACACAAGAGCTCTGCTGGAGAAGCAACCAATGACAAAGAGCGCTGGCACCAGCCCGGACTGGGAGCAAGAGGGACACAAAAAGGCTTTCCACCGCAGCGTCTCTGAGTACACGTCGGAGAACGATGCTGACGAGCAGGAGTTTGTCTTCTCACGGGCTGTGTCTGTGTCTTCGCGACGACGCAACAACAGCGGAAGTGTCGTAGGTAAGTGAGGCAAGCTTTAAAAAAGCCAAAACAGCCTTAGCCTTATTATACATAAAGATATGATTGTAATCCCTACCATTGGGGCCTGCTGTTTTTCAAACGTTTTGTTGTGAAGTGTAAATTTCTATGCATCAAAATAAAATTCGAAGGGACAGACTTGCACTACAAAATGTAGCCCGTTCTCCAAGCAGTCGCCTAATTCAAACAGTGGAGAAGTTGAAATGAACCATTCAGCTTAAAATTTTCCTAGGTTGTGGATCAGAAATAAACTGAGTGTGTGTGTTGTGCCGTGACACCCAAAAGGGTATAAGCGGCGGATAAAAGTAAGTGTGTGTTGTGGTAGAGCAACAAAACGTTTTAAGAAACTTCTCAATATTCCACTTCCTGGGATGCAAGTCAGGAAGTGGAGTGCACTGTCAGAGTGAGTTATGAGCCTACAACACGTACATTCACCTTTAAATGCGAATCTTCCTTATTCAAACTTTAGACTTGATTTGCTCGTCATCGTGAATTTAAGATTTTAGTCTAATTACCACACAGGGTACTTTAATATTCAGGGCTAGTGCATTGATATCAGTTTTTCAAGGCGGGCCTTGAAGACATTTTGTGCTGTCTTAGTTTGAAAACCCTGCTTCAGAAATGTGTATACGCTGTCATTGTTGTCTCGACAAATTTTTCATCCCCATCATGTTCCACACGTGATGTGAAAGATAATGACTCAGTACATGATTTCTCTATTCATATTCAAAGTATTTTTTAAATATCTGAACCAGATGGAGGAGTTTCGTTGCTGAAGCACCCGTCGGCCGCAATGACCAGACTAATCAGCGCTGTGGAGAAGAGGAATGGAGGCCACACTCTGCAACGTCCAGTCATGGAATTCATTGTCCAGCGACACGATCTGGAAGGCTTACAGCTGGCCATGAAGCAGGCATTGAGGAAAGCCATGTGTCGTGTCTTTGCCATGCAGGTAAGAGGAAGGGGTATCCCTTTTATGGAAGTCAGTGGGGTGTGTGGAAAGTCACATTTTGGTATCTGTATAGTTTCTTGAAGGACTGCAGTTCAGCATGCATACCCCAAACATGCACACAGCAAACAGAATTTCAGGTCCCAAAATTTTTTTATGTATACATCCTTTTGCATATGTGCAAAAAATTAATGTCAAAAACCCTAATGAGCTTAATGTTTAAGTGGCTACGAACCCAACAAGCTTGGTGGTGTGGCATTGGTGGCATTATTCATGTAAAATTTTGACCCAATTGCTAGACTTGGTCTATCTCCTTTGATGTAGCCTGAAATTCTTACATAGAGAATTTGGTAGGTTTTCACATCCCACCAATTTTTTTATGTGTATACCAGACTGTATTTGTGTTACCTATAGCATATCATCAGTGTCTTACACAATCCTCTTTAATTTGGAATAGTAGCACATTTTATTCTGCACATTTCAATGTAAGGACCACATGGAACTTCCATATACAGGATGGAACAGTTGGGCTCTTGGACAGCTATAATTTGGCCTGTTTAAATAACAGGTGTATTCGATAGTGAAACATTTTTTACTGTGAAATCAGAGCTGCATTCCTCTGTGCTGGCTACTGTACATAGGGCTATTGTTAAAATAATAGTCAGTGGGAAAATGACAATCTGTCTCCTTTTATAAGATATATTTTGTTGGGAGGTTGGGGATTACGTCGACCCTGTTCATGTTTTACACCACCATCGACACAGTTTAGGCCATTTAAAGTTTTTGAGGAGGAGGCGTTAATAACCTTTTAATGAACGCGAAGCAGATGTGTCATTTTACTTTTTAGGTTCTTGTTCCTCTTTAATTTCAACTGGTGTTTTAGCTGATAGTTTATACTGGCTGGGTGAAATTTTTCCTCTATAGGACCACAAGGACCGAGTTTGAAATGTTGATAATTTGATTTGGGTTTTTTTTCCCCCTGGACAGGCTATGAACTGGTTGATCCGCAGTGTGGTGCAGCAGATTTGTTTGCATGACTTACTCTGGTTCTTTGTCGACTCACTCATACCTGCTTCTGAGGATGAGACAGATGCCGAGGAAGAAGGGGAAGGCGAAGCGAAGAAAAAGGAGCCAAAGAAAGACCTAGAGGTGAGAGATAATCCTTTTTCTTTCAGTGGTCTTAAAGTGTTGGTCACTTGGGAGCTACGATGCCTTAGGGGAGCATGATTGGGAAATGCTGTCTGAACAAATAAACCTTCTAAGATATTATAAGTGTGGGATTTTTTTCTTCTTTTAATATATGTGTGACATTGTGGTGAAATCAGACGTTTGTCAAAATAATGAAATTGAAGAACTCTGCATTTCTCAGTTTGTAGGGCAATTTTTACCGATTTTTTAAATTTTGAGCTCAACACCGTTCATGTCCACTATAAAAACACTCCTGCATGGAATCTACTGAAAAATGCTGATCAAAGACCAAAAAAATATTAATGTGCAGTTTCCAAGGACACTACAGGTATTCTTTTTTTCATTTAAATCAAGGCAAATGAACAAGCTTTAACATTATACCAGTAACTCCCTATGCTAAAAAAAAAATTAAAAAGTGCCTGATTCCACCACATTGTGACATGATCTGCAATATTAGAACTTTTTTCTCTTTAGATCATTAGAGGGATCTGTAATCTTTAGGCCCTACAGCTAAAAATGTCTCGTCGCAAAAGGTGCTGTGACCAATGATTTTGTACTACTTCAACTCATTTTTTTTTTTTTTGCGTAATAGCTCACCTTATGGTGACTTAAATAAGCAGCTGTTTGTTACTTTTTCACTGTTTGGATACAATTCTTTTTTTTGCAAGGCACTTAGTATGTGATAACTGCATTGCATGTGACAGTTTGGGATTACAGAGTAGGCCTGGCTCATTTGAGCTTGACTGAAGCTCACTGCAGGTATACCCAAACACATATGCACACACACACACACACACACGCACACATGGGTACACATGCACACACATATTCACACTTACAGGTACAAGCAGGCACACTCTCTCACATACACACGCACACACACTCATATGCATGCTCACACTCGCATGTCCCCACAGACACACACATACACACAAACACACATGGGTACGTGTACATACTCACAGGGGTACACACTCATACACAAACACAACACTCACATTCTCTTTCATTTCCATCTTCCTGTCCCCAGGACGTGCCAATGTGTGACCACCCCATGTCAGATATTGTCATTGCTGGCAAAGCTGCCGCCCAGCTCCCTGAGACCTTCCACACTTTGCTGCAGACCATCAGTGATCTCATGATGCTCCTGCCCATGGGATCAGCTTTGCAGGTAATGACCCGAATTTTACTGTCTAGTTTTGTCTAATCTGATAAGATATTTTGTGTAATCTGATGAGATATGTGGGCCGGTCTGAGAAAATCAGGAGCTTCTTGCTAAACCTCAAACCAAAATATTGACAAAAATAGTCCTTGCAGCCAGTTCTGGTTGATTTTGAGTTATGCATACCCCAACCATTTTAGAATATAATTCAAGAGCTGTTTTTTGTAAAAACCACTTGAAGATATTTTTTCTCAATTTAAAAAAATTTGCATTCAGATATTAAAAAGAAATAATGGTGAACTTTGAAAGCATTTTTCTCAGTTTGTTTTTTTTGCATTTCGTTACTTCATAATGCAGAATCTCAGCTTTTAGAAACAATAATTGAAAAATTTTGAATGCATAATAATCAGGGAGATTCTAGCTTTCTGAAAAGCCCCAAAACTCAAAATGACAGAGAAGTGACAAGTTCCTGATTTCCTCAGACTGACTGGAAGAACTTGAACAGATAGGAGACATGAAAATATTGTGATGATATATAGGGTGGTTCAAAAAGAATGAACCGATTTTATGATGTATTGCTTCAGTTCTCAAGCATTGTTATGGAATGAGTTTACTTTGAATAAAAAAGAATAAACAGATTTTGGTCGAGTGGTTAGGCTAGCAGACTCATAATTGTGGGGTTGCAAGGTCAGGGGTTCAAGCGCATGTACGATCTTGTGTTCTTGGGAAAGGTACTTTTCCAGAGTTTTCCTCACTTTACCCAAGTGGGAATGGGTACCCAGCCAGAGACAGTGAAAGGTTTTGTCAGTAAGTTGGTGCCTTAGCACCTATAAAATGGCAGTTTGCACTGTCTGGAAGTTGAGATTGTTTCATAATGCTATCAGGTCTTCTAGGGTAATAATATAGCAACCTTTTCCCTGCAGTGAAAGACTCATTTTCCTGTCAATGTGCTTTCCTTTACCCAGAATGTGAAAGATTAAATCTGTGCTCATTTCCCAGCAAATGGCGGTGCGCTGCTACTGCCTGCAGTTCATGCAGTCGGACCACCAGTTCCTGCACGAGTCTCACGTGTTCAGCAACCTCAGCCGCATCCTCAGCAAGTCAGAGGAGGAGCCAGAGGAGGGGCAGCTGGATGCCTCCATGGTCAGTCTGACCCTCATACTTGTCTCTCTCTCTCTCTCTCTCTCTCTCTCTTTCTCTCTCTCTCTCTCTCTCTTTCTCTCTCTCTCACCCTCTATCTCTCTCTTTCGGTCTCTTTCTCTCTCTTTTTCTCTTTTTTGTCTTTCTTTCTCTCTCTCTCTCAAGCTCTCTCTTTCTCTCTTTAGAAAAAAAAAAACAGCCATCAGTCTATGAAGGTAAAAAATAGACACTTTAGTATTTGGCTAGCTGCATCTCGGACACTCCAAACTGAATGGAGTAGGAGTCCAGTGCCAGAGGTTTTGCTTCTTTATTTTTATTGTCTCTTATACGCTGGCATTTGTCTTGTTTTGTGTAATGTCTAGTGATGTCTGTCTCTTAAGAGCATCTAATTGGTTATAGTAATCTGGCAGGACCCAGGCAGGCAGTTGCAGGGCTCAACTTTTAAATCTTGCTTCTTTTCTTTCCCTGTCAGTCATTCTGTCTATCTTTCTTACTTTTTCCTTGCATTGTGTGGATGTTCATCTGTTTGCTAAGACAAACTGGCAAGACCTAGATTCATCCCTAATATTGTTTCATTTCATTCATCTTCCTTACAATTAGAACAGACATGCAGCTATTACAGAATGACATCATGCAGAAGAGTTAACGCTCAGATGCTGCTGGATCGCTAACAACAACAACATGCATCTTCCTTTTCTTTTGTTCCATTCTGTCTGGGGTTTCATGAACTCCTCTTCTTCTGTTGTCTAACTCTGTTCTTTCTTACTGTGCTGTGTGTCCTGAAAGCCTTGGAAGTCCAAGGTGGACGTTGTTGGAAGTGACCCTCGCTCGTGCACTCTTGACCTGTGTCTAGTTTTGGGAATGTTTGCGTATATTTATTAAAAAGTATTTTTTGTCTTCCCCTCTGTTGTTTCTGTCTATTTGTCTTGCATCATCCCTGCACTATATGACTGATATTGTGTAGATGTGCTTCTCTTTACTCAAACTCAAACCTAAGATTACCTCTTCTTTTTCCATATTTCCCCACGTAGTCAAGTTTTCTTTCCTCGTTTCTTACTTTTTGCCTTTACATATTCTTCATCATCTCCCCTCTCCCAGTTTCAAGACGATCTTTTTATCCACTTTTAATTCCTTTCTACCTTTCTACCCCCACTTTCCCTTTGTTTCAGTTTCAATCTCTTTCTCTTCAACCACAGTGTTCTCCCTTTGCCCCACTCACAGCGGTCCAGTTCTAATAGTTCACATTCATTTCCTCTTCTTAGCCTTTCACCATTTCTTGCTATTAGTTGACTTTTCACAAATGTTTTTCCTCTCAGTTCAATGTCTTTGTTAATTTTTTATATTTTTTAAACAGTGACTCTTCTATGGCTATTATTTGATACTGTTCTGTTGTGTTCTAAGCTTCTCACACATGCTCATATTCACACACTACAAACACACTCACACACACACACACACACACACACACACATACATACTCACATGCACGCGGGAGTGGATGGATGGATGGCCGTGCTGTGAAGGTCTACTTATTTACTATTCTTCCTTTGTTTTTATCTTGCTTTTTCTCAGCACATCATGACTCTATTTGTGTAAAGCTGACTCGCAAATTAAGTTTCTCAAATTAACTAACTAAACTACTCTCACTCATACACAGACACATACACAAACACACACATGTACACAAACACACATACATGGACTAACGTGACTCAACACAAACAAGTTACTTCTTACTTCAACTAATTAAAGTTCACTCAGTACCGCAGTATTGTGTGGGTGGTTGGCCGGTGCTCTAGTGTGGTTTGGTTCTGCTTTCTCTCAAACATCTCTCTTCATTATCTCCCCTCTTGTGTTAGTTACTCTCTGTAAAACCTAATCTTTGGCACTTATATAACCTTATTGTGTTGCAAGTGACATAAAATTCTCACTAAAGTTTGAACAGGGGTATTTTGTTGCGTCTATTATAGAGCTATGTGTTGCCTGTCCAGCTATGTCCAAATTGTAAGGCTGGCAGTTTATATCAAGTGTCCATCAGAAATCATCTCATAGTCAGAGATTTCTCTCGTCTGAAATCACCTTGCTTTATTGAAAGTAGCCATAAACCAATTCAACTATTGCATGTGCATGTTACTCAATTAGATTTCACCAAGGGGATAGATTTATTTCTAGCTGTTGCATGTCTTTATACTTGAGTCTCATACTATGTTTGGGTACTTTTTGGTATATATAGGTATCATATTGTTTAAACATGGGCTTAAAGTTTAAAGTAGTTTGTCAAAGTTGTCCACCCTATACTCAATGCTTGAGTTATTCTCTGAAGAGCAAACCTAAATGATCACCTATAGGGAGGTCAAAAATTCGTGCGTAACTTATTGTCAAATATCTCCTCAACTATTGAACATAGATTCTCCAATGTTTGCACAATGACTTATATCAATTTGTCTTAACTGGTGAATATTTTTTCAAACACCTGTAGACTATTCTAGAAAAATTCCTTCGTAAATACTAATATTGAACCCATGTTTTGAAAACCTTTAGTGCAAAAAGATGTGTTCGCTGTAAGATTAATTTCTTGTCACAAGTTTTGCCAGTAAAGTGTCATTGGTGAGCTGTGACGTAGGCCATATACTTATACAAAATGTGGGCAAGAAGCGGAAAGTGCTGTTAATAATTCCATTTTCCATGAGACGGATATTTATAGTATTTTATGTAAATTTATGAAGTAAAGTTCTTTTTAGCCTCAATTGTTGTGGAAAAATATGATCAAGTTAAGACAAATTAATACCAACTGCTGTGTAAAGTATGAGTGACGGTCATTCACCCGTTTAAGAAATATTTGAAGATAAATTGCGCCTCGAATTTTTGACTGCACTATAAATGATAACTTTTATATGATGCCAGAGAAGGGTACATTGTGTTTTTTGTTGTGGTGGCATGGTTCCAACGTGCATATTTGATCGTTCTTCGCTCGCTGAACACCTTTGGACTAATTCAGAGTGTGCCTGCCAACCTCTCCTGTGTCGTCTTCTCATTCCTCTTGTTCTCAGCGTTAGTTTTATCTTTGTCAGTTCATGATGATGTTGGGCCATTATCCTGTCATGTACAACAGCAGTTAGGGGTCATGGATTGTGGAATTTCTGCGCTATTATTTGTCCTTAAAGTTGTTTTTGATTTGAGTGCGCAGATCTTGGCTTCTTTTTTGAAAAGTTGTTTAAGTTTTTTTATGGATTGGAGGACATTTACAGTCACATGACTTGGTTATACTCTAGCTTCCATCCATGCAAGTGGAGCATTGTTTTTGTCTTGGCATGTTTGTGCATAAACTAAAATCTATAGCAATTGCTTTGGCTGTAAGAAATATGAAAGAGGTGGAAAATTGTTTGTTCAATTATACCAAACAAATGACTCTTTGACGATGAACAATCTTCCCCCAGCTTTTAGACAGGGTGAAACATTACTTGAGTATCTGTTTGGAAGTAATAGCCATTGGCATATATGCTCTGCTACCTTGACATTATTCCATCCAGCGTTTTCTTTTAGAGATCCATTTCCTTCTCTCATTTTCCATATTCAGTAAAGGACTGAAAGCATGACTGTCCTTTGTGTCACTTAAATCTTTGTGTTCTCGTGCTAGATCTCAGGAGTAGTCGACTGCTGGTTCTTTAACCTGCAGTGCTACTGATTTTTATGTATATTATGACCATTTTTCCTAGGGCCCCTTGTCTTCAGGAAGACACATTCTGATTTCAAAGGTACCCTGTGTTGGGATGCGGTGGAATCAGGAGCTCGTCAATATATTGGAATCATCTGAAAGCTGATTTATTTGCCTTGCTTCTTATGAAATAAATGTCCATTTATCTTGAATAGAACACAGATATCTGCAATTGAAGAAAGTGAGGTTGCCTTATTTCAATGGTGAAATTATCGAGAAAGTGGCCGCCAAAGTTTGGTAACTCCAATAGTTAAAGAGTCTTTGAAAACTGAAAAATGACGTATTTTGTGCCTTTAATCAATATTTTTCTGTAAAATTCACATGGAAATATGTTTTTATATGGACATAAAAGAGGTTAAGCCAAAAAATAAATATTCGTTCAAAATTTCCAAACTGGCGGAATAATGCTTGTTTCTACGATTTCGTTATTTTGACAAGCACCTGATTTCATCATGCTGCCTCACATATACTAAGGCATTTTCAGTTTTGGTGGGAATTAATTTTGAATTTTGCCCAGATGATGTCATTGAGGTTAAGTGTTAGTCTCTTTGGTGGGTGGTTGGTGGCAAGTCTGGTATTGGCTCCTTTTTGTGCTTTACAGGTTTTCCTACTGCCTCATCCACTTCCCAGTGAAGTTTGATTATACTCAACAATGACAACACACACAGCAACAACACATAGCAACTACAGCAACAACAACAACTCATGGCAACAACACACAGCTACAGCACACAACAACAACACACAGCTACAGCACACAACAACAACGCACAGTAACAACACAGCCACAGCAGAACAATAACACAACAACAACACAGCAACAACACTATTTGTCCCTTACATGTTTATCACCAAAAATCAGTCAGATCAGGTAGCCTACTTAAACTAACACACTTTGCTTCCTATTAGAGACTTGTGTTGTTTGCTTGCACATCGCTTGGAATATGAACAGGGGATAAAGTGTAAGCCAAACCTCGAAGGCTTGAATGGATGTAAAGCGTTAGAACAATGTCAAAAGACCTGAAGAGGCCGTTACAGCTTTCGGCCTGAAGAAAATTGTCTTGTACAGGAAGACTGTGCAAATGATTTCCTGTTGTGAAAAATATCTTATCTTTCGTTTTTGTTTGTTCTGGATAGATGCGAAGATCTGTGTCCATGTTTGATCCGGTGAGCTTGACATTTTTAGTCCTATTTGTCTTTTTCCCAATATGAAACATTTGGTACTGTTGCTGCTAACTTTTTCCTGATAGCATTTTTGTTTGATTTTGCCAACTGCATTTCATTTCTTTTTTTCCCCTTGCCTTACTTTTATTCAAGATAATTATATTTCTTTGCCTATTGAAGATTGTTGCATTCTGGAATCTCAAACCATTATGGTTCTTGATATGAATTGATTCTTTTGCACTGGAATGAAATTTTCTATTAAAGATTGAAAATGTGCATTTTGATTTATGCGAATAATATTTATACTTCCAATCTAAACTCTCATTGCTTAACTTTATTGCCTTGTCCTCCAGGGAAAAAATGGTCCTATGAGAAATAATTTTGCAAGAATTTGTAACAAATTGTTTTAGCTAGTATGTTGTAAATGTTCACTCGTAAGTTCCTGCTTCATTAACTGTTGACTTAGGAGGAATTTGCAAAAGATAAATCATTTGATTCAAGTTTTGATTTGGTCTTACATTGTGCGAAGTTGCTTGAATACTAAATACCTCATCAATAGATCAAACAATTTTTGCTACTTCTCTGTTCAATTATGTGAGAGGGCTTTCGTGAAAAATTATCTATTTTATTTATTGCTAATTTCACCTGACACTGTTATGTCATCAAAAACTGCTGTTCTATTAATGAGAAAAGTTTGCAACTATATTTTCCTTTCTTTTCTACTGACCAACTTTGGAGTGACCTGATCCGAAAAACATTTTCCATAACCCACTTTGTAACTTGAGCATCATCAATCTTGTAGCTATTTCCAGGTGCTTTGGTTAAGTTGCCAATCTTTTTTGTTTGTTCAAAGTTTTGTATAGTTTTTTCATCACCCTACTAAGCCAACACATAACCTGGCACCAAAGTTTTCCTAAGTTGCTGAAATGAGACTGTGGTGTTTTAATTACATTTCTAAGCTTTGTATAGTGTTTGCATGGTTAAAAGCCCCCTGTTTTCACGAACAACTCCTTGTATCTTCTTCTTTCTTTCTTCCTTTCTTTTTTGTATGAGCATCACTGAGGTTGCAAATTTCTTACTGACTTTACACTGCTTTGAATTTCTGGAGCTGTTTCGCAGGGACAATGTTTTGTGCACCCCTTGTAGGGTCAAGGCTTGTTGCATATCTTACGTTAAAAGCTTGTGGTGCATCTTGCTCTTTGTCAAATGTTGCTGTGCTAATGTTCTTGTCACCATTGTTGCCACAGTTTTGGCCAGTATCATCTGCATCATCATGGCCAGTGCCACAGAGACTTCAGCATCAATTTCAAATCCATTGTTGGAGTACTTCTGCACTCTTCAACTGCACCCCACACACACACCCCCCCCCCAAAAAAAAAAAAAACCCCTCCTTTTTTTCTTCAATAGTTTTCCATACACAATGTGTGTGACCATTTTCTCTATAAATTAGGTAGTCACTCAATTTGTTAGACGTAAATTCTAAAGTTGATGAACCTGTCTTCATCTACTAGTATTGTTGTGGAAAGGATACACAAGTAAAAATGTGTAGTTTTGTCTTACAAATGTGATGGACTCACTGATAATCGGATAGGTTACCCCTGGTATACCTCTGGTGTTCTTTTACCACCTTGGCCTTGATGTTAAGCAGTAACGAAACTGTAGAAAAATGGGGGGGGGGGGGGTGTCCCTTGTGCGATATTCTGATGAAAATAAGAAAGAAAAAAAATGAACGAATAATAGTGCATATTTTTCAACCAGTTGCTTTGAAAATTAAGTTTTGAACTGTCTTTACAATTTCCTGACACCTGGTGGATCGAATAACAATCATTAAAAAGAAGAAAAGTAAATCGAAGAAAAGTTCATCCCGCCAGTTTGTTAAGACTGTTTCTTCTTTAAGACTGTTATCTTCCCAACGCTTTCGTCGTTTGCTTTTGGAATCCTTTTCTGCTGTCCCCTTGAATGTTCATTAAATTATCTTTTTTTGTAGCTGTTTTCTGTAGCACAGTTGGGAATGAACTTGGCGGACACACAGTCTTGGGTTAGGTTGGAATTCTGATTTGATCCAAATTCTCCTCACCTTCCTAGAGTATTTTCACTCCCAGCAGGATTTCCCTGTTGGGTTCCAGATACTCTTCCCTTTAAATGATCTACAGTGCACTGAGCTTAGACTGCGTTCAGGAAAAAACTCCCTTAATTTTGTCCTCAGATAAAGGGTTGAAGGTGTTCATTGGGATTATATTTTGATAAATTCACAAGACAAAAGATTTTAGTGGAAGAATTGAGAGACACTTTGCATTGGAGTGTAGCCCAGTGAGAAATCATGACTTCTTTTAATTGTTTCAGTGAAGTATCATTCCTTATATATTAATATTCCTTCGTCTCTCCACTGAATTTCAGTTTCTTGGAAAATAGGCTAATGGCTAGGATGAATCAGTTCATATTTAATTAGATCACTAAATCTATCGATAAGATTTTTAGAAACAATTTTTACGTTAAAATGGTCTTTTTTTTAAAACTTTGGAATAACAGGATATCTCAGTTTCGTAGTTTGTGTTACAAATTAGATTTGGTCTATTCTGAAAACTTGAATTCTATGTAACATTGGCATCAAATTTTAGATTTCAACCAAATTTCTTGAACTTTTCGTAACATTGGTTTACTTTTAGATTTGAATTAAACAGCTTGAAAATGTACTCAGTACCTCTTTGTCATGTCAAGGTTTGATACCCACACAGCTAGAGCAAAAGTTTGTTTGGTTTATTTGGAGACTGAAATAAAGGTAGACCAGTGTGCAGATCTTTCATGAAAGATGACAAAACAATACCATTCAGAACATGAAAAACAACAGTAGAACAGAAAAATCAGATTGGGAATAGATGAGGAATAGACCAATGTCAGGTTTCCTGGAAATCATTGCCCTTGACACGACCCTTCCTCCCTAAAAAGAAAAAGAAAAGATGAACAGGGATTTGGCAGAATGATATCAGCAGATCTAATTTGTTACAATATGACAAAAATGCAGAGATGTGGACATTTTTATTAAAGATTAGAATTTGTACCAGCCGTCTTCGTAGTTGATAAAGTTGCTTAAGTTATACTCTTCTTGCAGATCTACAGTGAAAAATTACGCTATTGAAATGTTTTATTTAATTATTCATTTTTTATTGTTTTTATGGACAAGATATTTAACGTTTAAAACCGAACTTTGGGTTCATTATTGGAAGTTATAGGCTTTGGTATGCTTTTTATTTTTAATTCTGAAAGGTCTACTTGTAACCAATATTTACCAGGAACTATGAAAAGGACATGCAGACAAGTCTTGCAGTAATCCCAACATGATAACAGTCTCTGGTGGATTTTACTTTTTCAAACCTAAAAATTATGCCAAATTGTTACCCCGAAAAAGCAGTGTTCCAGTATATCGTTTTATTGGATATTTCATGCCAGAGATTGGTTCGGCAACCTTTTCACCTGCAGCTTAGCTTGTCTTAACAATGATTTTATTGTAGAAAATTAGTTGTATTTCTATGTGAATATGTGTCAGTTCAAGTTTTCAGGAGAATTACGTGTTTGTTTTTGTAACTTGGTAAAAGCCAAGTGTGAACCACGTGTCTCACATCCCTCCCTTTTCCTTTTCAGTCCATGATCACATGCTTTCACCCTTTTTCTATGTATCTCCATTTCTTTCAAATCCCCCCCACTCCCAACCCTTCCCAAATTCACTGCTATGACTACATTCTACCCTCTTAATGTTTCCATGAATCCAGACCTCACTTTATTGATTGTGACAAAGTTATTAACCCGTGTCTCCTTTCCGTCCCCTTTGCTTCCAGTTTAGATACTTGCCTTTTTACCTCAGCAAATAGAACGAAGCTGACGCTGCAGCATAGACTTGCATGTTGAGGTCTCTTTTAAAAGAGAAGAAAAAGAACTTCAGGAAATATGCATTAAAGCGGTATTTTTTAAAATGCGTACATGAGTTTTTGTTTGAATCATTTTTGTTGCTCCCCGTGAACAGATCACTCACAAAGTTCTGTGCCTCAAGGACCTCATGGGCATGACAGAGATCAAAGCTTCCAGTAGACAGGCCATGATAGGAAGCCTTACAGGTAGGATGTGGGGGTTTTTTGGGTCACATTCAATGTTTCCTTAAGCCGTGATTCTGTTTGTGCCCTTTTTTTTTTGGTTAAGTCAATCAATCAGTTGGGTTTTTTTTAATTGAACAGAATACCAGTATTTTATCATCATCAAGTGATCTGCGACAGACTTAAACATTTGCCATTCATTCCTTTGCTTGGATGATGTTAAAAAAAGCTTTTATTTACATATCTTCCCTTGGAGATTTGAATACGTTTTGTTAATTTTAGTGTTCTCTGATGTACAGACGAAGGAACTGCCATGGTGAAGAGAAGAAAGTTTTCAAAAATAGCTTGGCATTCATGTACATAGAAAATGATTTGGCTTATTAGCCAGCAACATAGACTTCACTTAAATGTGTGAAAGAATCTTGTTTTACTCTCTGATCACTAAAGGATTTTGTTAACTAGTTTTTTTTATTGTTTAAAGGTGTTACCTGTCTGTTGATTGATGAACTAACTCTGTATGCTTCTTTGAAGAACAAATAAGATTTCAAACTTGATATAATACTTGCCTGTCGTTGATTCGGAAAAGTTTATTGTTTTTAAAATCTATAGAAGACATTTATGTCATCAACAGTGTTCACCGTTAATAAATGTTATGTAAATGAGCATTTTGTTTACCCCCTCTGCTTTCAGACAATTCGACAGAAACATTTTGGGAGAGCGGGGATGAAGATCGCAACAAGATGAAAGTCCTGACTTTGATCTGCTCTGAGAAGACGGTGCCCCAAGTGATCTATGTACACGTCGACAACATACGTGATATAGGGGTGAGTCATCTATGTGCATGTCGACAACATACGTGATATAGGGGTGAGTCATCTATGTGCATGTCGACAACAAACGTGATATAGGGGTGAGTCATCTATGTACACGTCGACAACATACGTGATATAGGGGTGAGTCATCTATGTACACTTCGACAACATACGTGATATAGGGGTGAGTCATCTATGTATATGTCGACAACATACGTGATATTGGGGTGAGTCATCTATGTATATGTCGACAACATACGTGATATAGGGGTGAGTCACGTGGCTAGTGTGGTGGTAGCTGAGGGTTACAACATCCATGTATGTTATTGGTGACATTCCATACTTTTCCCACTTTAC